ATTTATAAAAAAAACCCAAGTACTATTTAAACATAGAAACACACCCAAAATTAACTTCAAAGTCAACTTTTTGGGTGTGTTTATAAATGGGTTTTGAGTGTGTGTAATGATGGGTTTTGGGTGTGTTTATATGTTTAAATAGTGCTTGGGTTTTTTTTATAATTTCAACCCCCATTTTGGGTGTTTTAGTGAAACTCCCTAAAATGTAAAGCTATTCTCTTAAAACCCCTTTATCTAAATAGTCTTTAGTTTGCAGACATAGACTTAGTCAAATTGGGTATAGCATATGTGTTTCCCACTGTCCGTTAGAGTTCGAAGCCCTCTCCTAGTAGTTTAGATTAGATTAAATTAGAATATCGTTTGTATAAAATAAATAAAAATATATTTAGTTTGTATTATTATTTTTCCTCAATTTTATAAATGTTTTGGACAGTGCCATATGTGTTGTATTGAATTGAGTTTACTATCAGATTCATTGTCGAGTTAGAATGAGATCCAATAGATTCAAGATTGGAGTAACTTGGGTTGTTCTATCTTTGTGTCCTTCTTTTCCTTTTTGGCTATTTTGTTTTTCATATGATATTCCTTTCAAGTTCGTTAATTTGCTTGAGCATATCCAAGAAATCAAAGTAGATAGATACGTATGGTGGGACAAAATTAATCGAGAAAGGTAAAAAAAAAAATGGTTTGAACAGAAAAACAAACCATGTAAGGTGAAAAAAAAACACATTATGTGTGGAAAGAGTGAATGTCGTGTTACTGTTGTTAGAAATTTATGTGCTTTGTTACCCCATGCACCTGGCACACCAAATCTCTAATTGACACTTGTCCTTAATTTTGTCGTGTGTGTCTGTCTCCTCTCTCTCCAATGCTGCTTATATAAGTGCGTCTTTCCCCCTCTCCCAGCAGTGGCTCAAAATTAGCAAAGCATACAAGTCCTCTCTGGTTTTACTACAAAAGGCCACTGACCATTTAACATTCTCACTAAGAGAGAGGAAGAGAGAGAGAGAGAGAGAGAGAGAGAAAGAGAGAAAGAGATGGATGCAATTTTCACATGCGTTTTCATCTTCCTCCTAACCCTTCTCTCATTTTTAATTTTCATGAAAAGGGACAAGAGAGAGGAGCCCCGGAAAAGGGCTAAGCTCCCTCCAGGTTCATTGGGTTGGCCTTATATAGGAGAAACTCTTCAGCTCTATTCTCAGGACCCAAACACTTTCTTTTCGACCAAACAAAAAAGGTTAGGTCTCGCTTTCTCTCATGTCCGTATGTTTTTTATTTTATTTTTATGATTACATTGAAAGGAATCGAACCTTGAACGTTTTTATTTTATTTACTCTCAGGTACGGGGAAATTTTCAAGACGCATATCCTCGGGTGTCCATGTGTCATGCTGGCAAGCCCCGAGGCCGCCAAGTTTGTATTGGTGACTGAGGCTCACTTGTTCAAACCCACATACCCCAAAAGCAAAGAACGTTTGATTGGTCCTTCAGCACTGTTTTTTCACCAAGGAGACTACCATATTAGGCTGAGGAAATTAGTCCAAGGATCTCTCTCCCTTGACATTATCCGAAATTTGGTGCCTCATATTGAGGCCATAGCTGTGTCTGGCTCAGACTCCTGGGGCGCTGGCCAAGTCATCAACACCTTCCATGAAATGAAGAAGGTGAGCTTATTCCTTCTTCCTTATTATTAATGCAAACACGAAATTATATTTGACTTTGCCGTTTTCAAACAAATGGGTTGGGTATCTAAAAAGTTTTGTTCATATTTCTTTATTTATTTGTATGATAAAGTTTCTTATCTTCGCCTATACTTTTTATACTTATTTTATATTTCTTGATTGATTCTAGTATTCTTTCCAAGTGGGCATACTTGCAACTTTTGGCCATTTGGAGGCACATTACAAACAAGAACTCAACGACAACTACACCATCGTGGACAAAGGCTACAATTCCTTTCCCACAAACATTCCGGGAACATCATACAAAAAGGCTTTATTGGTAGGGATTTTTTGTTTTTATTATAAATATTTATTAAATCTTATTTATTTAATGTGTTTGATACACTAATTAATTGTTCATATAATAGGCAAGGAAGAGGCTAAGAGAGATTCTTGGCGACATTATCAGTGAGAGGAAGGAGAAGAGGCTACTTGAAAAAGATCTATTGGGTTGCTTGTTAAACTCTAAAGATAAAAAAGGTGAAGTCTTAACTGATGACCAAATTGCAGACAACATTTTGGGCGTGCTTTTTGCTGCCCAAGACACCACAGCTAGCGTTATGACATGGATTCTCAAGTACCTCCACGATGAGCCCAAACTTTTAGAGGCGGTAAAGGTATATATTACAATGCTAAAATCAGTCGCTTACGCATGAATGATTCATCACCATTAATAAATGTAGTAGGACCACGCTACACTAATGATCAAGAATCGAGCACACGTTTGGACAAAGTGAAATCCTTATATATATGTATATGACAAGTTATATACAGCTATAGCCATACCATCATGATTTACTCTTAGCTCTAGAACAACTCACTTTCACTTCATATCTTGTCTTTATCTTTGAAAATAAATTGCAACATGTATATTTATGAACTTGAATAATTTGCAGGCCGAGCATAATGCAATTCGTGAATCAAATAAAGAAGGAAACCAACCATTGAGCTGGGCACAGACTAGAAACATGCCAATAAGCTCCAAGGTATGGAATATACATGCACTGTCTCACGGGACAACGTATATTTTGCCAGCAATTCATGGAATGATAGAGTAATAACTTTATTGCTAACTATAGGGAATTGCGTATCTTCTTTCTCAGGTTGTGTTGGAGAGTTTGAGAATGGCGAGCATTATATCTTTTGCCTTTAGAGAGGCAGTGGTTGATGTGGAATATAAAGGTAATTATAGGACTACATAATATTTTTTTATAAAAAAATTTCCACACAATATATCATGCGATCATCGTTTTCCCTACTTTATGAGTGACACATATATACAATAGACTTTGTGTCAATACGATGTAATCATAGGTTACCATTGCTCATTTAAGTGTAGACGCTTCTATATCTAAAGCAAAATGTCTCAATAAAACAAATAGAAGACAGTGAAATGTTATTGACCTCAAAAAAAGTGGTCACACTAACTAATGCAAACATAATACTATCTAGCTAAATAACAAGATTATCTATCTAGCTTTATGAAACTAAGTTTATCTTGAGTAATGACAACCCCAATACTAATGATCACCACAAACCCTAGTTTCAAGTAAGCATATGTGAATGAATTTGTCCAGCTAGAAAATGATGTGTATGTATTGTTGGTAAATGATTGACTTTGGAATGTGTGACAGGGTACTTGATTCCAAAAGGTTGGAAGGTGATGCCTTTGTTCAGGAACATTCATCACAATCCTGATTTTTTTGCCGACCCTCACAAATTCGATCCTTCTAGATTGGATGTATGGACGGTGACTACTGTTTCTATTTCCATTCTATTCTCCCTCTCATTCTACACCTTTTAATTGAAATTATATCAAAATTTATTTTCGAGTTATATTCCCCAGGTTGCACCAAAGCCGAATACATTTATGCCATTTGGCAGTGGAGCGCATGCCTGTCCAGGAAATGAGCTTGCCAAGCTAGAATTGCTGATTATGATGCACCATTTGGTTACCAAGTTCAGGTATAATAGAAATTCATGTTCAATTTCAGACTTTCAGTACCCTCCTAATCGGTTAATAAGTTGATAAGACGCTAACCACTTGTTTTTTATCGGTTAATAAGTTGATACGACACTAAACACTCCTTTTTTTGGTTGTTTTTGCAGATGGGAAGTAGTAGGATCCCAAAATGAGATTCAATATAGCCCATTCCCAGTGCCTATCCATGGACTCCCAGCCAAATTTTGGAAAAAATCTACCTGCTAGCTGAGCTGTCATACTCTCCCCAAAATTAACTTTTTCTCATATTCTATGTTTTGGGCTGAGGCACTTTTTTTATTTTCTTTTTTCTTTCGGTTTTCCTCACTCTAATATTGTTGTCAATTTTTGTCATTCAACAAATGTACTCTATGATTGCGTTTGTTACACCGGATTTGCAAGCATTCCAGGATAGGACTAATTTGGGCCAGTCCCGGTTGTATCAAACACGACTTTATTTAAGAACCTGACCATGGAGGACTGGATTAGAGCCTTTTTAAGTTTCGTTAATTTTGTCCGGTGCCAAGGCATGGACTTAAATAAGCCCCGCATCTATTCTTTTTCTTTCTTATGACTGCTGTATGTGTTCGGGTCTATGGCTGCTCTGCTCACACATGTTTACTATACATTACTTCTTTTTATAATAACACTATAATTCTATAGTATCGTATTTCTTGGGAACTTTGATCTTAAATACGAAACTTAGCATTCTCTTTACTTTAAATACCACCAAAGTTTTTAGATTAGTGACCAATTGAAAATTCAAATGAGAAACTAATATGAATGTTATTAAAATCCAATATGTTTACATCATTTATCACCATACAAATACAAAAATCTATGCCGAAAAGAAAAGAAAAAAAAACAATTTCACGTTTTTCCTTTCGGAAAGGAAAGATTAGGAGAATCCTATTGATTGTAGCTTTCTCCGAACCTCCGAGAAAAGCATGAAAAAAGTTTTGAATGGTACGATCCCTACGTCACCTCTCTCTCAGTAATCTATTATTTATAACTTCTTCCCAATTCTTTTTGCCGTAAGGGAAATACACAACTTGTCTCAAGCTTTAATGGGATCTTTTATTTCGGTGTGAGGAGAAATTACCAAACGTCTAGCATTCCCTCACACTTGGCGCCAATAAGATTTTGACATCATTTATATACGCTATATATTAGATAAAGTAATGAAATCTCATCCAACATATCGGAGCTCCAACATATTACAATCCACAAATGAGTCCATAGCACTTATCTTATAACCTATATATATGTTGAGGGATTGAATTGCTATAACTAATGTAGCTCAAGCGTCATCTTCTTCAGATGCCGGCGATGTGTATTTACTAATGGCTGCATTAATCCTCTCTTTGTCTCTGGTTGGGAACGCCTCCAAGAGAATCCCATCTTTGTAAAAATGGAAGAGGGGCACCGTCTGCATCATTTCATCCCATCCTAATCAACTTAGAAATGGCACACAAAGACAACTTTGTAGAGTTGATCAAAGAAAGTTACCTTAATTCTAAGTCGCTCTGCAACCTCGGATTGTTCATCGTACTCATCAATTACCTGCAGCAAATAGTAGCAGGGCTTTTAGGATTATGTCTTGAGTTGGTAAATGAAAAACTAAAAGCACAATACTCACATTATGCTTTAAGAAGATCACTCCGGCTTCTCCATTGCCAGCCCCCTTGCACAACTTTGAAAACCCCTGTTCTATGTACTTGCAGCTTCCACATGATGTGCGATAAAAATCTACAACGACTAAAGAACCGGTTTTTTTGGCCGTTTCGAGAATTCTGAACAATTCCTCGTCAGTCTTAAATTCTCTAACGCATTCAACTGGACACAGATCATCATCTTCATCAGTCATTTCTGCTTGGTTTACGCTTCTTTCGAATGCGTGGCAACGTGGAATTTTGGCCCTAATAAGACATGATCTAACATGCGTTCTCCCAGGAATTGAGGTGGGAAATTCAGAGGGACTCGTTGAACCAAGTTTTGTGTTCAGTTTTGTTCCAAAATTGAATGATGCTCTGGCCTTGCCATATAGAATAGTATGACTTTGCATCGGAACGAAACACAAGCTTAATCTAATTTGCAGGATGAGCTATTGATCTTCAGTACATTCTTAAATTTCTATCGTCTTCCACTGGTTGAGTGTGAAAACATCAGGGCCTTTTCTTCAGAAAATTACATTCAACCTGTGACATTTACATACAGAAATGGTGGAAAACTGATATGAAAAGAGAAAAAAGAATGGAAAAAAAAAACCATGAAACAAATAGCTCCAAAATTCTGATCTATCTCAAGGATATGGTTCTGCAATCTTGAATTGAAAAACAAAAATGCATATAAACTGAAATCAAAGAGATGAATGAGTTGAGTTGAGAGGCTTACCTCTGGCAGTTGATGAGAAGTGAGGCTCCAATTGCCATATCTGAATTCTGAATTATGCTACGAATGAGAAGAAGACACGACATCATTAACCATATCAGCTCATGTTTGGGCTTTCAATCATGGCCCTGAAGCCCAGTATGGGCGTTTTCGTATTTTACATGGGCTTAATGGGCTCCTTCGTAATTTTCATGGGCTGAGAGTGAATCCAAACTCTACCCAGAACCAGAAAGAGCGTGTAGGATTATATTTTCGTACGCGCGACCGATTTCCAACTAGCGGAAATATAATCCAATTTATGACGTCATCAAGACCAATTACAACAAACAATGTTATGGGAATGCGTGCCTTGTCCGTCATCTGATCTCTGCGAAATTGCCAATGCCAATGCCATGCTAGCGACTGGGAGGCCCGGTTTGTTCGCGCGTGATCTGAATCTGATGACAATTAAATTCTCAAACCAAACCAACCAAACCAACAAACCAGACCAAATTATTTAATATCTCTCTGGAATTGAATGATAAAAACGACGTAGTTGCGAGGGCACAAGGTAATCGGATAGAGAGATAGAGAAGCTATGGGAAGCAGCAATGAGCTGAAGTCGGAGAGCTTGCTGGAGCTGATGAAAGAGCACCTGACCACTGATGCCGGCAAACAAATCACAAAGAAGATCGGCCTCGTCTATCAGATCAACATCGCCCCCAAGGTAGGCCCCACCAATCTTCCCTCCCCTCTCCCCTCCCTTCCCCAAAATGCCTAAAACTCCATTTCACTGCTTATTTCTCACAATTTCTGAATTGAACTGCAGAAAATTGGGTTTGATGAGGTCATTTTCACCGTTGATCTTAAGAAGGGGGAGGTCAAGAAAGGTTAGGGTTTCTGATTTTGATTAGCTCAGTTTAACTTGAGCTTAATTACTGAAACTATAGATCTTGAATTTCAGGGCCATATGAAGGAGGGAAGCCAGATGCAACTTTTTCCTTCAAGGATGACGATTTTGTGAAGGTTGCGCTGGGCAAGATGAACCCACAAGTTGCTTTCATGAGGGGTGCCATGAAGATCAAGGGCAGTCTGAGTGCAGCCACGAAATTTACTCCTGACATATTCCCCAAGCCTGCCAAGATGTGAGGCTTCCGAGGCAGGGGCCGCCAGAGATAAAGTTTGCATTTTTAGGCGTAGCCTTGTTTGCTTTGGTTGCCTCAAATGAATTTCTGAAATACTAGGGAACTTGAACTGGAATTTTAGCTTTCCGTTGAGAGAAACTAGAAATCAATTAAAGCTTGTACCCTTTTGATATATGTATGATCATTTCATAATTAATGCAATAAGCTGCCAATAACAAGCTTTCTTTCTTCAATCATATCTGATTCTGAGGATCTTTCTGTTATGTTATCCATTTTCATGTGCTCTGTATATTGGTCATTTGCGTTGCTTATTGCCATGGCTTGCGATTTTTCATGTTGTGAGAATAAACAACTATGAAATGAAGCAGTGAAGTGTTTGGTAATTTATACTTGTAAAAGTATTGTGAGGATAAAAAACAGTGTCATAGCTTTGGGAAACTTTGTTTTTTAGAGGTGCTGTGACTGTATAATGAAAAAAAGGGTATGATATTACCCAACCCCACCCAGTACCTACACGCACCCATTACGACCAAGAGATGCCTGGTAGTGCCTTTGCACATTGAATTTCATCATACCCTCTCCAGTCTATCCCTTTCTTCCCCATCCTAAAATTTTAAAAAAACCCTTCACCCTCTGTCCCGTCAACCTCCAGCCACCGCCTCCGCGCCTCACCTCAAGATCTCCTCGGCTCAACGCCAGAAAACAGATATGGGTGGTTGTAGGTGCTGGGTTGGGTTGGGTTTGTGGAAATGTCGAGACGAGAGATCTGTGAGGAAAATGAGAGATTAATGGAGAGAGCTACAGAGGACTGAGGTGGGAATGAAGATCCGATCGTGAAACATGAAGAGGGTAAATCACGTCATTTTTAAAAATAAACGAGGACAATACGGGCATAATGAAACATTCCTTAAAGAGCTCCGCATGCTTCCACCCACAGCAGCTTTTAAAAACTGCTGCCAGTGACCCACAATTTTTTTAAAAAACCACTTTTTTTTCTTGATTTACCAAACGCCTTTTCATTCAGAATTTTGAAAATAAACTGCTTCTTTTAAAATCACCGCAACCCCAAACTGAGCCTTAATGTGCGGAGTGACGACGGTTAGTTCTTGTCCGATGTCCTAAATGCATTGCCTCCAATTCAGTTGCTTGTCACTTTTCATAAACTGTGCCTAACATTTAGAAAGCTGATTGCACTTGGAGGAATGTACACTTTGTTTGCCCAACACCTACAGCATGACGCGTTGAATTTTTTGCTTCAGTGTATATCTTGTTCCGTCGTCTTTCTAGGACTTGTCCATCATCATTCGTCTCCCTTGACTCTTCTCTGCTATCTCCTCGATGGTATCTTGCGGTTCAATCTCGGCCAGTCATTTTAGACTGTGTTGCATTTCTAGAACCATGAAGCATCCAACTTGTGTGCCATTTGGTAAATTCAACTCAACCAGATATGAATATAAGATGCCGTCCAACCCATCCCATTGCACATACAACTTCAAAAGGCAATATGAATTTTCTCCTTTCATTCTGCTTTTGCCTCTGCGTTTCTCGTTTGCCATCATTCGCAACTCCAGCTGTGTTATTTCAGGTAATTAAGCCATGCTCTCTCTCTCTCTCTCTCTCTCTCTCTCTCTCTCTCTCTCTCTCTCTTATATTTCATATGCCCACGTGTTTATATGCGTACATGATTATACATGGTTCTAAGTGTATCATCAAGAACTTGATGATATCATATGAATATGGTAGGGGTTCAATTGGGATTCAAGTAAAAAAGGAGGATGGTACAATTCCCTCAAGACCACCATTCCCGAACTCGCTAGCTCTGGAATTACCCATGTCTGGCTTCCTCCTCCTTCCCACTCTAATGCAACTGAGGGTACTTGCTTCTACTAATCTATTTACTTAATTAACGGAAAATGCTACAGATTCAAACTTTTGTGCGAAATTAATGTGACACTACACGATCAGGATACGACCCGGGAAGGCTATACGATCTCGATGCATCAAGCTATGGAAATAAGGACGAATTGAAGTCCCTGATTGCTACAATGCATGAGAAGGGAATCAAAGCCATCGCTGATATTGTGTTAAACCACAGATCAGCTGTCAAACAAGACGAGAATGGAATATGGAGCATCTTTGAAGGTGGAACAGAAGACGGACGTCTTGACTTCAATGCCTCATTGATCTGCAGAGATGACAATGACCATCCTTTTGGAACTGGAAATCCAGACACAGGGGACAACTTTCCTTACACTGCTGATGTGGACCACACCAATCCAAGGCTACAAACCGAGCTCTCTGATTGGTTGAATTGGTTGAAAACTGATATAGGGTTTGATGGATGGAGGTTGGATTATGTGATTGGATATGGCTCCAGCTTCACCAAGCTCTACATGGAAAAGACTTCACCAGAATTTGCAGTTGCTGAGTATTGGCGTTGGAACATATCAAAAGGGCAGGATGGCAAACTTGACAAGAACCAAGATGCACATAGGAATGAAATAGTGAATTGGATCGAGGCTGCTGGTGGCGTTGTCACGGCGTTCGATTTGACAACCAAGTACATCTTGAATGTTGCTGTGGAGGGTGAGCTATGGAGGCTCAAGGATTCTAATGGAAAACCACCAGGGTTGATTGGGATCAAACCAGAAAGTGCTGTAACATTTATTGACAATCATGACACTTGGTCTCAGGGACTTTTGCCTTTCCCAGATGACAAAGTCCTGCTTGGATATGCTTACATTTTCACCCATCCTGGGACCCCAAGCATAGTAAGTAATACATCAGTCATATCATCTTACTGAATAGGGAATTGTTGTCTCGTCAGATCGTCTAACAACACACGTAGGTTATATATGTTGTCAGATTATGAATTTAGATAACAGGTGTCATAAATGCATGTATATCTTGATTCTGGTTGATATTTCATTTCTAAACCATTTGTTTGGATGCAGTTCTATGATCACTTCTTTGACTGGGGGTGGCCAAAGGAGCCTATACGCAATTTGACTGCAATTAGGGCAAGGAATGGAATAAATTCCGGGAGCAGTGTGACTATTTTAGCTGCAGAGGCTGATCTATATATGGCCAACATTGATGACAAGATTATCATGAAGATCGGGCCAAGATTGGACCTTGGAGACCTTGATCCCACAAAGTCAAACTTCCATGTTGCCACCAGTGGACAAGACTTCGCTGTTTGGGAGAAAAATTGAACTAGAAAGAAGAAAGCTTGTTTCGCTTATGCATTAGAATAAGCCCTATTCAGGATATTGTAACTTAAATAAACAGTTAACGGGGTCTAGTCCATTGTAAAAGGAGTTTGATTTGCAGATCAGTGATCTCAAGTTTAAACTCTAATGACACCTTGATAGTGAGTGCAAGAAACCCGCTTAAATAAACAAATTTGTATTAATAAACCAATCTAAATTTAAAGGGATTTACAATTGAATTATCGAATTCAGGTGATAATCAAATTATCTGAAACTTCTTTATATCCTACCAAAAAATAACTAAGTTTTATATTCGTGGTCAGAAAAATATGTTACATATAATTGTGTTTATTTTTATAAAATTGTGCTTTTTATTTGGGGCTTTGATTGAATACAAGTCAAGAAGGTTGACCAACTTATAAGCAAAATTATAAAAGAAGCTGTGCACGCTAACTGTAAAGTCTGGCGCCAAACAGCAGAATATGAACTTGGCCTCTTCTGTTGGTCTCTCTACGAAGCCTAGCCTTCCCTGTTTGCACTCTCTGTTAAACTCCTACATTGAAAGCAGAAATCGAAAGCAAGCACTGCTTCTCTTTCGCCAGTTGTTGGAGTACAATGTGAAGCCCAATGACCTCACTTTCTCTTTGCTCCTGAAAGCCTGTACTTCGTCTTCTTCTTCTTCTTCTTCCTCCTCCTCCTCCTCCTCAGCTTTAAATTCCGTGAATGTTAAAAGAGAAGCAAATCAGATTCATACCCACTTGCTAAAATCGGGTGTTGACCGATTCATGTATGTGAGTACTGCTCTTCTTGATCTCTATATGAAACTGGGATGTGTTAGAAATGCTCATAGGCTGTTTGATGATATGCCTGACAGAGACGTTGTCTCTTGGAATGCATTGATTTGTGGGTTTTCGCGAAATGGGTGTGATTTTGAAGCGTTGAAACTCTTTGTTCAAATGTGTAAAGAGGGATTTTTTCCTCATCAGACGACTTTGGTTAGTTTGGTTCCATCTTGCGGTAGGCAAGAGTTAGTTTCTCAAGGGAAATCTATTCATGGGTTTGGAATTAAGGCGGGCCTTGATTCAGATTCTCATGTGAAGAATTCTCTTACCTCAATGTATGCTAAATGTGCAGATTTGGAGGCGGCAGAGCACTTGTTTGAGGAGATAGTTGAGAAGAGTGTAGTTTCTTGGAATACTATGATTGGTGCTTATGGACAAAATGGCTTCTTTGATGAGGCAATGCTTGCCTTTAAACGAATGCAAGAGGAAAATGTTCCAGCCAATCTGGTGACCATGGTAAGCCTTCTGTCAGCAAATGCCGATCCAGAGTCTACCCATTGTCATGCCACTAAAACTGGTCTTGTCAATGATGCTTCTGTTATTACTTCATTAATTTGCCGATATGCAACACGCGGGAACACAGAATCCGGCGAACTTCTTTACAAGTCCTTGCCTCAGAAGAACTTGGTTTCCCTAACTGCACTTATGTCAAGCTATACTGAGAAAGGTAACCTGTTTCAGGTGATGTCGTGTTTTGCTCACTTGCAGCGGTTAGAAATGAAGCTTGATGCAGTTGCTATGGTTTGCATCCTCCATGGGATGAAAGATCCCATGGACTTTGGTCTTGGACTTGCTTTTCATGCTTATGGGCTAAAGAGTGGGTTGAGTGCTGATTCTTTGGTTGCAAATGGGTTGATAAGCCTGTACTCGAGGTTTGACAAGATAGAAACTGCTTTCTCTTTACTTTCTGAGATACATAGGAAAACATTGATTAGTTGGAATTCTTTGATATCGGGCTGTGTACAAGCTGGAAGGCCAAGTGATGCCCTAGAGCTTTTTTTCCAAATGAAAATGTCTGGACACAGTCCAGATGCCATTACCATCTCTAGCTTACTATCTGGTTGTTGCCAGCTCGGGTACTTGCAATTTGGGGAGAGGCTTCATAACTATGTCCTAAGAAACAATCTCGAAGTGGAAGATTTTGTTGGAACCGCTCTTATAGACATGTACATCAAGTGTGGAAGAATAGAGCATGCTGAAAGGGTGTTTAAGAGCATCAAAGAACCGTGCTTGGCAACATGGAACTCAATGATCTCGGGTTATAGCTTGTATGGGTTAGAACATGAAGCTCTTGCTTGCTTCTCAGAAATGCAAAAGCAGGGGATAAAGCCTGATAAAATAACTTTTTTGGGAATTTTAGCTGCTTGTACTCATGGAGGTCTTGTTCAGGAGGGAAGAAAACATTTCCAAATCATGAGGGAACAGTTCAACGTGGTGCCAGATTTGCAACACTATGCTTGCATGGTTGGTCTCTTTGGTCGTGCAGGCTTGTTCGAGGAGGCATTAATGTTCATCAGAAATATGGAAATGGAGCCCGATTTCGCAGTTTGGGCAAGCTTGCTGAGTGCGTGTTGCATCCATCAAGAGGTGAAGCTTGGGGAATATGTTGCCAAAAAGTTGTTTTTCTTGGACAGTAACAATGGTGGGTTCTTTGTGTTGATGTCAAATCTTTATGCGGTTAAAGGAATGTGGGATGAAGTAGCTAGGGTGAGGGAGATGATGAGAGAGACTGGAGGGGATGGCTGTTCAGGAATTAGTGTTATTGAGATGACTTCATTGGAAGACATGAATGTAAACTTAAGCTCGAGCAAGTCTAGTTTGAATGCAAATGCTTGGCAACCTCTACTCTCTCTATATTAATCGCTAGTCCTGACTCCTGATTACGGTCGTTTCCATATTTTCAAAATGAAAATTACTCCGATGTAAATATTGTGGACTTCATTAAAAGTAACATTTATTGTGTAGCCGTAATATTATAATTTGTGTGAATATTAACACTACATCGACATCTCACGTTATGTTACAATTATAACATAATAATTTTTCTTGAATAAGACTTAGAAAATATAGATTTCATATCGATTCATCTCAATCTTCATTCAAAACGGTCATCCAGAATAGATTGTCTTCAAGAGGACTTCAATTAATTAACTAGACCACAGATGGTTCAATAGTCGTTAAACCTTCCTTCGGATCTCATTAATTTATTTGAAAATGCATCTGCACATATTACTTATGATTAAAATGGAATGCGTGACATGAAAAAATTGGTTTTATAAATTTAACATAATTCTTTCTTTTTATTCTAAATTATTTAAAAAAAAAAAAAAAAAAAAAAAAAAAAAAAATAATAATCCAATTGGGCCGAGCTTAATATGAACGTGTGGATAAAGCCCAAATAGACCAAGATCCGACCCATTTAGAAATAATCCGTTCTGCCCAATCGCCCTTTCAAACCTTTCACTTTCAGAAACCCTAAAAACCGCAAAGCGCTCCCATTTCAAATTTCAAATTTGAACTTCAAAATACCATCTCTGTTGACTGTTGAGAGTTGAGACGCCAAAAAACTTTCCGCCTTTGCATACATGTTCCAGTTCTTACCTTTCACAAAAGGCAAAGCTACGACAATGGGTGGGGCTCCCAGCCGCGAAGATCCTCAGCTTTCAGATTCTGACGAAGAGCAGAGTGAAGAGGAAGAGATCTACGAGGACGTAGAAGAAAGTGTCGAGGAAAAGCGTCGGAGATCGGCGGAGCGTGGGCCCAAAACCCCGTCGTCGGTGGACGAAGTAGACGCCATGCTCAAGGCTTTGAAGCTCAAGTACAACCCAAATGTCAAAAATCCGGTCAAGCTCTACCATTTTGTCGCTGGAGACACCCCTCAAGCCAAAGGAAAATGGGTAACCTCCGAAAAGCTCACCTCTTACTCTTTTAGAAAGACCTCTCGAATGGAAATTGATAATGACGAAGATGGTGAGGAAGAAGACGAATCTGATGAGGAAGGCGGGGATTCCTGGTGGATTTTGAGTGTTGGTGACCCTGACAAGATTCGGGCTAAAGTTAAGGTCTCGGACGAAATGCAGTTGAATGGCGATCAACGTCGTGTTGATTTTATTGCCTGCGCACCAACGCGAGGTGTGTGGGCAATGAAGTTTTATACTGATGAGGACTATAGGGCGTTTGTTGCAAAGTACAAAGATTGTTTGTTCGAGAACACGTATAGGTATGAGGCCACAGATGAGAACAGGGTTAAGGTTTATGGGAAAGATTTTATTGGGTGGGCAAAGCCGGAAGTGGCTGATGATTCGGTGTGGGAAGATGCAGAGGATAGTTTATCGAAGAGCCCAGGCTCCGCAACACCATTGAGAGCTAATGAAGACTTGAGAGAGGAGTTTGAGGAGGCTTCCAATGGTGGTATACAGAGCTTGGCATTGGGTGCATTGGACAATAGTTTCTTGGTGGGGGAGTCTGGCATTCAGGTTGTTAAGAATTTTAGTCATGGAATTCAGGGGAAAGGTGTTTATGTCAATTTTGATGATGGAGGTTATAGAGGTGGTTCAAGTTTGGCACGGTCGACACCTAGGAAGGCTCTGCTAATGAAGGCCGAGACCAACATGCTCCTTATGAGTCCTATGAATGAAGGGAAGCCTCATACAACAGGTCTCCATCAGTTTGATATTGAAACTGGGAAGGTTGTTACAGAGTGGAAGTTTGGGAAAGATGGGACTGATGTTACAATGAGGGATATAACAAATGACAGTAAGGGAGCACAGTTGGACCCTTCGGGATCAACATTTTGGGATTGGATGATAACAGGCTTTGCCGGTGGGATATGCGTGATAGGAAAGGGATGGTTCAGGACCTTGCAGCTGCTAGTGGCCCTGTTCTCAATTGGAACCAAGGGCATCAGTTCTCCAGAGGAACTAACTTTCAGTGCTTTGCTAGCACTGGTGATGGCTCAATTGCTGTTGGGTCCCTTGATGGGAAGATCCGGTTGTATTCGAGCAGTTCGATGAGGCAGGCGAAAACAGCTTTTCCAGGCCTTGGTTCGCCTATTACTCATGTGGATGTTACCTTTGATGGGAAGTGGATTTTGGGAACAACTGACACCTATTTGATCCTCATCTGCACCATCTTTACTGATAAGGATGGGAAGACAAAGACTGGTTTTGGTGGGCGTATGGGGAATAGAATTTCAGCTCCAAGACTGTTAAAGCTGAGTGCTGTGGATTCACATTTAGCTGGTGTTAATAATAAGTTTCGTAATGCTCAGTTTTCGTGGGTAAGTATACATTTTCAGTCTATTAGAAATACTATCTGTTTTTGTGTGGGAGTTTGTATGTATTTGTTGGTTCTTTTCTTGGTGGTGCTGAAATTTTTTGAATCTATCTACTTTAATCTGCATGATTTAGTGGACTGGGTTTGCTCAATACGAATAGCAATAATAGAAAGTACATGTGATCTACGAGTTAGGGTGCCAAAGTATTCTGACTGTGGTACTGATTATTCTGCTCCCTTTTTTTTTCCTTTCTTTTCATGAGTTAGTATGTACGTGGACAGTCCGCTTGAGATGTGAATCTTGGCATCATTTTTTATTTAGTATATGATTTATTGTTTAATTACTTAAGAGGGAGGCTGGGATTGGTTTTACTTAGCAGGTTTCTCCAGGTAGTCCTCTGATGGATTTGAACTAATTTTTCTGGCCCTTTTTGCCTTTTATTGCCCTAGTAGTTTGTAGATCAAGAACTCTGATTGCTCTTCTGTTGATTTAACTAAATCTCAATCAGGATCTTTTCCATAGTAATGGGATGGATATAACTTCTAATAATGCCCAATTTTATTTGCTTCTAATGACTTTTGGAAGATTTGAGAACAAGTGCGTCCAAGATCGTTGTCTTGCATGACTTTTTGAAGGATTTCTGTACTTTGATGATGTTAGGACTGATTTTGGTTGATTGGAACATTGTCCTTGCATAGCATGTCATTCCTTTATTAAGATAATGAGTTGTGGGTGGATTGGGGTTCACCAAATGAAGTTGAGCGTAGGTCTGTTTATTTATGTATTTTCATTTAATAATACGCGCAATACATCTTTTTGTGAACTCAGCTTGCCTTTTCTTGTAGTTTGGTGATGATCTTGTTTAACATTATTGTTTAGGTCACTGAGAATGGGAAGCAGGAGCGTCATTTAGTTGCAACTGTGGGCAAGTTTAGTGTGATTTGGAACTTTCAACAGGTGAAGGATGGTTCACATGAGTGCTACCGCCACCAGGAGGGCTTGAAGAGCTGCTATTGCTACAAGATAGTCCTTAAGGATGATTCCATTGTTGACAGTCGCTTCATGCATGACAAATTTGCAGTTACCGACTCACCTGAGGCGCCACTTGTGATTGCAACCCCGATGAAAGTTAGCTCCTTCAGCATATCCAGTAGGCGATTATTTTCAGAGACATGAGTGACCCTTCATCTGCTTTCAGCTTTCTTTGCTGCATTGATGAAGTTTCAAATATTTTGTTTAGAACTTCCAAATTGTATTTTATGTTCTTCGATTAGGGTATGCTTCTGTAATGAATTATGTCTAATTGTACTCACTTTTCGAACAATGTGTAATCATGACTTGTGATATTCAGTATCTAATGGAATATGTTGTTGATCTAATGATTTGCAAGTGGTTCCATGTTCTTTAGATGTAATTCTTAATGAAGCATGATTTGCCCTGTTTCAATACATAGAGAAACCAAAACCCCCTCAAACTAATTGACTGTGAAAATCAAATCCGCCTCAAACCCTCCCTGGTAATTTAAAGTCTATTACAGTACAGCCTCTAATTGCTAGGTGCAGGAACCCAGCATTTTCCCTTTCTCAGGGGTGTTTTTGTAATCAATCCTTAATTGCTAAATGTTATGTTTGTGTGGACCCTCTTTTTATTTTTTATTTTTACGTAGTTATATATACATGAAAATTTGTGGACCTTTTGTTCCAGTAAAGTAGCTGGAGATAAAAAGATAGAGAAGCAGAGAAATGGCAGCTGCAGTGGGGGGGAGAGGTTTCCTTGTGCAGCCATGCTCTTTATCCTTTGTTTCTAATAAGAACGTACTGAAGCACTCATTTGGTGCAGCAAACACTTGCTGGCATGTCAAACCAGCAAAACCTCAAGGTTTTGCCCGACACGTGGCCCATGCCCAGCTGCGCCCTACATGGCTCCCTGGGCTCGACCCCCCACCCTACCTTGATGGAAGGTAAGTCCCTCAAGAAGCTGTTCATATTGGTTTCATTTTTTTATTGCTTTTTTTCCCCCTTGTTTAGCTTCACCCTCTGTCTCTCTCTGGAGGGGAATTTCGTCTTTTCAATTAGCTTGGCTGGGGATTTTGGGTTTGACCCCCTTGGGCTTGGGGAGGACCCGGAAAGCTTGAGGTGGTATGTGCAGGCAGAGCTGGTTCATGCTCGCTTTGCAATGCTTGGAGTTGCAGGAATTCTTCTAACAGATGTCAGTAGTTTCAAACCTCTTGTCTTTCAATAGCTTCATTCTTTTTGGCTTTGAACTCAATAGAAACGTCCACTTAAATTTCAATTATTTGACGTTAATGCCTACCACATATTGTAGATAAAAAGTTTGAGGCCAATGTGTAGGATATATATATGGAGTTGAAACATAGCAATCATTGTGGATAAAATAGAAAAACAACTCTCTTTTTTCTAAACTCTAGATCAATTTGTCATGTTTTTGCAATGTTGATGATCATTTTAATACTTTGCTGCAGTTACTGCGTGTAACAGGGCTTCTCAGTATACCAGTTTGGTACAAAGCAGGTGCAGTAAAATTTGGCTTTGCCAATACAGAGACTCTGTTCCTTGTCCAACTAATCTTGATGGGGTAAATTCTCTACCCAGTTTTAACCATTGCCTTGATGATTTACTGAAACTTTTTCTTTCATCAAGTCAAGAGGGCAAGTCATAATGCAGAAAACATTTAATGATTCACATTTTACCATTAAAGAGAGTTCTCTATCTTCTCTTGTGATTTCATGCATGCAGCTCTACTTATGTTCTGCTTTCCTCCTGATCTGTTTAGATTTGTTGAAACTAAAAGATACATGGATTTCAAAAGTCCAGGATCTCAAGCCCAAGACGGTTCCTTCTTCGGATTGGAAGCTGCACTAGAAGGTTTAGAACCTGGGTAATCTTATTTGACTCAGAACAAAGTTACCATCTTCAGTTTTAAGATAGTAAATCCATGATCTTAGCAAGAACATGTTGGTTCCACTTCCACCAAAAGAAAAAAGGTATTTAAAGTTAACATGGATTTGTGGTGTCTTATAAATTATCAGATATCCTGGTGGGCCTTTGTTAAATCCTCTTGGTCTGGCAAAAGATATCAAGAATGCTCATGAATGGAAGCTTAAAGAGATTAAGAATGGTACAATGTGTTTCAGTGTTTTTATTATTATAAAATAATAAATCTCTGCAATTTCATGAGTTTTCTTGTTTTCCAGTTTTGACTGTTGTTAAATTCTCTTTGTTGCAGGGCGCCTTGCAATGGTAGCCATGCTTGGCATCTTTGTGCAAGCTTCTATTACTCATGTAGGACCAATTGATAATCTTGTGGATCACCTATCCAACCCATGGCACAGAACCATTGTTCAGACTCTTGCTAACTCTGCTTCTTAAATGTAAATCCAAGTTGGTTTTCCGCATCAGATATAATATGATGAAATGAAATGCACATCCATTTATAAGTCCCTTCGGCTTTCCCTTCCACTTTTGAAGAAAGATTTTCCAAACATTGGTTTATGTGCCAATGATATTGTATTGTTTTAAAACCAGCATCATCTTTGGTCTTGTGTTGATTTTGGATGTTGGACATGATCACAATGTCTAGACATAGAGAAGCACAACTGAAATATTTTGAGCATGTCCATAATATCGCCACATATTACCAATCCACATGTGTAAATAAGGATAGACGACGTGGTCATGTTTTAGAAAATAATATTAATAAATAAAATATATTATAATATAGGTTAATTCTAAACACTAAATCCTAAACGCCGTTTGGAGGAGGGAAAAAAATAATGCGGAATTGAGCTAAAAGTCGGGAATATAAGAGAAGAAATTGACAATTCCCAAATTTGGCAGCTTAAGCTCATAATTTATTAAATTAGGCATGGAAAAAATTATGGAAATTGAGGCATCAAATTCCTGAGTTTAATTTCCACCAAAATATGAGTTATTTCACAATTTCTATAGTGCAATTTACAAAATTCGACATACATAAATCCAAACATTGAAATCTTCAATTGCCAGAAATTGAAATGTTGGAAATTAAACTCCGTCAGTTTAGAATTCTATGTAATTTTCAATTTCTTCATCCAAACGAGAGGTTATTTATCGATGTTACAGGCACTCAAGAATCTCCAACAGATTCTCCAAAAAAGAAAAAGAATCTCGAACTGCTGGGCTCAAGTATATTAGGCTGCTGTGTCAGGTTCTGGGTCTTAAAGCTAGGCCCATATCTGACTCTAGGTTTGGTTAAGCCAAAGTTAAGCCCAACGGGCCAAATGAAAAAACCTAACGGTTGGCCTGCGTCGGTTTCACGCAAATAACCAGACGTTCAAAATTCAAATCTCAGCTGTGGTCTTAAAAGAAGGAAAGAAAGATTGATTTGAGTTTCACATTCAATCTTCAGACAAGCCAGACTGCGCAGAAGTTTCCCATCCAAAAATCGAACTCAGGTTAGTATTGTTTTTTTGTTCCTTATGGTAATATTCTGTAGAAGTTTTGGGTTTTGATTTGGGGTTTTAGGGTTTTCTAGGGTCTTTGATTTGTGTTTCCTTTGGGTTCTAGGTTTTTCTATTTCCTAGCTCCATTGGGAAACGATGCTTTGAATGATTTTGTATTTGGATTAGGTTTTATTCTGTATATAAAGCGATGAATGTTTTGATTTTGAGATAAACTGCTCTTTGGATGCCTTTTCAGATTTTGGCTTTCCATTATATATTCGATATATAAGTTTCAAGTTAGGTCATTGATTGCTCTGATATTGTTCTGGAAATTATTTCGCAAAATTGTACAAGAGCTTGGTTTGTCTATTTATTCGATTGTGTTCTCATCTCAAGACTACGAACCCTAACCCTAGGTCCCTAGCTCTGATTTTTTATATTTGTCTGTGTCTCTTTGTAGAATACAATGAGGAAAGGAGCTAAAAGGAAGGTCAGCCAGAGAGAAGACAACAAGGAAAACTCGACCAAGCCAGACAACCACAAAGAACATCCCAGCAAGGCCAGCACTCGATCAAAGCGGGTCAAGGCCTCCCACCCTGAATCCGAGCCAGAGTACTTGGAGGAGCCCCGCAACTTGGAAGATCTCTGGAAGGCTGCTTTTCCTGTTGGGACAGAATGGGATCAATTGGACGCGGTGTACCGGTTCAAGTGGGATTTCTCAAATCTGGAACAAGCATTTGAAGAGGGGGGCAAGCTGTATGGGATTGGGAACAACAAAGTCTATCTCTTTGGTGGTACGGAGCCTCAACAAGTTCCTTTCAAGGGTAAATTGGAAATTGTTTACATACCTATTGTGGTGGCTGTTGTATCTCCTTGCCCACCTTCTGATAAAATTGGGATCAAGTCAGTTCAGAGAGAGACTGAAGAAATAGTTCCAATGAAAGAGATGAAGATGGACTGGGTTCCATATATTCCTCTGGACAAGAGAGACCGCCAAGTTGTGGAATATGGGCGAAAATCTCCTCAAATATTTGTGTTGGGATGCACTCAGAGAAGGGCTGCTTTGAAGCACATGAAGATAGACCGTCTAAAGAAATTTGATTACTGCTTGCCATATTTGATGCCGATCAAGGAAGAGGAGCTTGAGCTGAGCACTGAGGTGGACATACTTTTCCCAGCAGAGCCAAATCCACCGGTTTACTGCGTATTTGATTGGCAGTTTGATGAAGTTGAGGAGTTTGCTGATGATCGGATAAAAGAAGAGGAACTATCGGCTGATCAAAAGGATGCCTTCATGGAGTTTGTCAAGGAGAAAGTACGCCAGCAAAAGAGAGAGAATCGAGAGAAAAAGGAAGCCCGCAGGCAAGCCTTTGAGAAAATGAGTGTGGAAGCTAAAGCAGCATTCGAAAATTTGAAGTATTATAAGTTCTATCCGGTGCAAACAGCGGATACTCCTGACATATCAGCTGTTAAGGCTTCATACATCAATAGGTACTACAACAAGGCTCATGAGGTTCTCTGATTTCACCAAGATCCTTGTTTGGCCTGTGCCTCCTACTGTTGCTGCAGTAATTGAACCTTTAGGCTCATGAGGTTCTCTAATTAGTCCAAATTTTTGTAATCTTTTTCTTATTTGAACTCATCGGAAATTATATGAACACAAGGTTTTATTTCCTCGTTTAAGTTGGACTACTTATTGTTACGATCTCCTTTGCTAATAAGAACTACATAAAACCCAACTTCACTTGGGTGCTTCTCCATTGCAATCTTGAGTGCTTGCTATTTCCCAGATTCAATTGTTCTTCCAACCTGCCCATGCTTTTCAGCTCAGACTCCTCAATTTGGGAATTTGCTGCTGCAACTCTCGTGTCAGCAAATCATCAACACACACCCCATTGGTAGTAGCCCATATTCATTGACTTGATGATTTGTTGAATCTTTTCCCCATCAAGTTAAGACTAAACCTGACACAGATGTGTTCCTGTCATTTTCGTTCCATTTGAGATTATGATCAATTCAAACTCGACACGTTAACTTGTCATACTCAAGTATATAAACCGAAACACATTCGCAAATTTTGCATATCATGTCGTGTTTCACCCATTCCTCTCCCCTCTCCTTTCTTTGTATCGAACCACCCAAGTATGAAGTGTTAAATTTCAAATAATATCTAGTCCAATTGTGATTTGGTGTAAAAATATTCATGTTCCTGACTGATTAATTTTAATATTTCAGTGTTTGCGTGTGTATGTATATATAATGAGCTTCGATTGAGGGATTTTTCAAATAAGTTTATTTGAGAGACACCCTTATAGGGCCCACCATACATTGTATTTCATTAATTAAAACCATCTATTTTGTAGATATTCATTCGAAGATCATCTCTACGAAAAATCACTTGAATCCGATATCATTTGACCACTCAATTGAGTTATTGAAATTTTAGTACTTTCTTGAAGCACCGTGTTCATTGATTTTGTAGGACACAATTGGATATCGAAATGGTTTCTATAATTTGTCTAATTTTTTGCACAGATAATCTATGAATGTAGACTTAAAAAAAGATAGTTTGGATCATTGAAAAAAAAATCTTAGGAGACATTAAAGGGTGTCCCTCAAATAAAATTATTTGAGGAATCCCTCAAATAATTCATATAAAATTATATATATCAAGGTTGTAGTAAAACTATGAGATTGATTCTTGCATTGTTTCCTTTTCCCTCAAATGGGAATATCACCAACCTAATGAGTTCACAAGGCCTCATAATGAGCAAACTCGCACAATAGCTTGAATTGAAACTCTCAACAATTTAACATCATTATACCACATGATGGTCACTTACCTTTTAAAAAAAAATTTATTTACCTTTTTTTTTTTGGAAGAATAAGACGTGGTCACTTACCTTTTATTTTTGTAATAAAGATGACTTTTATTAATTCAATAAAGAAAGTATGAAAAGAAGAAACAAGTGAAACAATAAATTGAACATATGCGAGATAGAAAAGTAATTTGAGAAATGTAATTACAATTATAAAAATATAGAAAGAACCTTATATTGTCATAAATACAGGTTTGTATTAATACCCATGATTTATCGGGCTTGCGTTAATTTTACGCGGGAGCTGATTTCAAATCTCAGCCGTGGGATAAAATCAACGGTTGTGATCTAATATGTGAGCAAGACTTGAAGATAGACCGTGTCATGAAATTTCAGTACTCGTTGCCTTACTTAAGGCAGATTGTGGAAGATGAGGAGGAGCAGAGCACTGAGGTTGATACACTTTTTCCACAAGACCCAAATCCGCCGATTCTCTATGGGTTTGATGAAGTTAAGGAGGTGGCCGGTAAGCTGATAGAAAATGAGGAATTGTATAAAGATCTAAAGGATGTCTTCATGGAGTTTGTGAGGGAGAAAGTGCGAGAAAAGAGGAGACATAACCGAGAGAGAAACGAAGCCCGGAGAAGAATAATGGAAGAAAATGAGCCAGCAAGAGATGAAGATATGAGGATTTACAACTTCTACCCCATACAAACACCACAAACCCCTCCCATAACTCTCAGGACTCGATACATTAACATATATTACAGAAGTGCTCATGAGGTTCTCTGATCCCAAGAAATGAAGATATGGAATCCCAAGCCTTGTTTGGCTGCTGAATTTGTTTACATTTTTAAGGAACCATAATATAAAATTCTTGTTTGTCTTTTGGTGCCTGTGCAAAATCTTCCATTGAATTCGATTTTGTCTATCTGAGTACAAGTTATATACGTACATGTATGTGTTATATATCATCAATGTAGAACTCAGTTTTAGTTTCAGCATTAGTGGCACCAGCCCTTGATGAGTTTAGAACCATTTCAGTTTTGAGGGTTTATTTCTTAGGGAATTACCATTGAAGATGATAGATGTTTTAAGGGTGCGTGAGTCATATATACAATTATACATCAATCATGCAAGAAGCGCAAACCCAAATTCTTTCATTACAGCAAACGCGAATCACTTGTTTTACAAGAGGTCTGACTTCAACATTTCAAGCCTCGTACACATTATACAGAATCCTCCTATTCTCTCTCTCAATTTACCAGGCACCAACTATATAACCTTATTGCTCCAAAACCAACCCAGCAGCCCTTACAATGAGCAAAACTTTATCATACAATAAATAATTACCAATATCAACATGTACACTCAAGTAAACATATGTCAGATCGGATCCGGCATTTACTGTCACTCCCCAAGAGAAATCACCCTGTAAAAAAATGAAGAGTTACGTTGACTTGTTTTGATGTGCCTTTCTTCTGGCCAAAAACATAAAAATCCGTGGGAAGAAGGACTTCTTTTTCTTCTTTCCATGCTTTGCTTCTGGCGCATTAGTTTCAATGGGGCTTCCAAGTCCATACTTGGGGCTTGAAGACACAGCAGAAGGCGCCCGATCAAAGTTCTTAGATTCTTTCCTTCCCTCAAAACTAGCCCTTGGGCTTTTAGTGGGATTTACTGCTGCCTGGCCAGATTCACCAAGCTTTCTTTGTTGCTCATGGTCAGCCCTCCAACTTCTCAGCTCCTGTTCAACACCCAACTTCCCTTCCTTGGCCTTCTCAGCCTTCTCCATTGCGATCTTGAGTGCTTCTTTTCTCGCAGCTATTTCCTGAATCACTTCATCCAACTTTTCCAAGCTTCTCAGCTCAGACTCCTTGGCCACTTCGATTTGGGAATTTGCAGCTGCAACTCTTGTGTTTGCCTGTTCTTCTGCCTCATGGGCCCGTTTGCTGAGCTCATAATACTCCCCTATAGAAAGCGTTACCCCAATGGGTGAATCATTGCTGCTTCTAGCTTGTTCACTCTCTTGCAAAGCTTTAATTGCTGCTAACGCCAACTTTTCCGAAGCCCTTGCCGCTTCTATTTCCTTTTGTGCTGCGAGTAATCTACTTTCCATAGTACTCGCTCCAGCCTTTGCTTGCTCTGCTTCTTCCCTTGCCTTGCGAAGCTCTTCAACAGCCGTTTCAGCAAGTACCTTTGCCTGGTCAGCCTCTTGTGCTGCTTGCTGTAATTCTTTGGGTAGCTCCACCATCTTCTCTCTGGCTTCTTTCTCCTTCATCTGAACAACAGCTATTTCAGACCTAGTCTTCTCCAGGTCAGCTTCAAGAGATGCAACAGCCACCGATGCCATTCCTTCTCTCTGCCCAATGGTGGCAAGAGCTGATTTCTCACTTTCAAGTTCCGATTTTAATGATGTGGCAGCCACCTTCAAGCAATTTACTTCAGCAACTGCTTTCTCTATGTTGAGCTTCACTTCCTCAAGCTCCTTCTTTGCAGAAGCAACTGCTGCTTGTATATCGGTATGAGTTTTCATCCCTGGTTCCTGTAGCTCATCTTTCAAGTGTCCTCCATCACTTTCCACCTTCAATCTTGATTCCATATATGCAGATAATTCAGATTTTAAATCAAGTAGCAGGGCTGAGGCTGTGTCTAGTTTTGACTTGAGATCCTTAGCTGACAGAATTTGGTGGCTAATTTTCTGAAGCTCCTCTTCTGCCTGCTTCAACTCCTTCTCCCAGTGAAGAGAATCTTGTTCCTTGGCCATGACTGCTCCAATCCTTTGCTCCTCTGCTTCCAAATGGGCAGCATGCGCAGCCTCTAATGACTCCTTTGTGGCAATCAGCTCAATAGTCAGTTCTTCCACAGTTTTCTCGACTTCCTTGGATGCAGAAATGGCCTCTTCAGCTTTTTTAATAGCCATGTCCTTCTCAGTCACTAAAGAAGCATATTCCTTGTGCAGTGCTTCCAGCTCCTCTTTAACAGATTTCAGCTCTGTCACTGCAGCCGTATGCCTCGCCTTAGCAACCTCAAGCTGTGCCTTGGCTGCAACACTAGCTTCATCAGCAATACCTTGTTCCATCTCCTCCACCCTTAGTTTGGCAAGTTCTGAGTCTTGTTTTGCCTGTTGTTCTTCTGTTTGTGCTCTCTCCAGGTTGAGCTTCAATTCTTCCACGAATCTCTTAGTGCTGTCCAGCTCCTTCAATACTTGAACCTTTGCTTTTTCAGCAGCCTCTGATTGTTTCCTATACTCAGGAATCTCCTCCTGTGCTTTCTCAAGTTCTTGCTCCACAATCTTGCGTCTCTGCACAGCCAAGGAAGAAACTATGGTTTATTTTTTAAAACAAAGGCACGGTTTCTGATTTCAATGTGAAATTTAAAAGTGAATTAGGGAGAACATCAAATCACAGCTCCATTATGGATTCCCAAAAAAAAAAAAAAAAAACACCAAGAAAAAAAAAAAAGGTAATAAACAAGAAAAGAAAAGAAAAGGAAACACGGTATAATGAAAACAAACCAAACATACCTCCACAGTTTGGATCCTATGGGCTTTCCAATCAACAATTCCTCCAAATTTGGAAACAGCTTCTTTAACGGATTCAAAAGGAGCAGTTGTATCAATAAGACCTCTGTTCTTAGCACTCTTAGGAGAATCAATGGCTCCTGATTTTCTCGCAGAAAAGCTAGCGAACTTTACTTTGGGTGATGACACTACATTGTTCACATAAGCCAGCTTCGCACTCTTAGGAGAATAACTGGCTTCAGATTTTGTAACATTATTTCTGGCAACCTTTATATTGGGCAGAGAACGCGAAGTGGACGTCACAACATTGTTCCCTTTCTTAGGACCAGAATTTTCCACCACAGTATCCAGAGTATATGTCTCTGTTTTATTGACTGTAGTTATTGAAGCTGATGATGAAGTATCTGTTGGAAGAAGATGATTTTGTTCTAGAGATGGGCTATTTGAATCATGGTCGACATTTCTGGGACCAGAATCTGCCACCGGTGTATCCTGAGTATCTTTCTCTGTTTTATTGACTGTAATCATTGAGGTTGAGGCTGGGGTATCTGTTGGAAGAAGTTGATTTTGTTCCAGAGAGGAGCCACTTGAAGCAGGTTCAGCAATTGGTAATTTACCATTTGCTATTGTTGATGAGCTAGAAGCTGGGTTATCTGCCGGAACTAGTTGATTTTGTTCCACAGATGCGCTATCAGAAGAACTTTTTGTAGTTTCTAATTTAGAGTTGTCCGTCGTTGACAAATGACTCTCACTTCCAACTCTGTCATGCTTTACTGGATTTGTAGGAGCATCCCCACCAGAGTGTTTATCATGGTGGGAGGATGAAGAAGATTCTGGAGAAGCCATTACTTCCGCAGTTTTCACAACCTCCATTCCAGGAAAGAAAGTGGAAAGGACTGCCAGGTGCGAATCTACAATCCAAGTATATAAAATAAAATGGATCAGCAAAACAGAGAGACTAACAATAGATGAAAAATCATATGAAAATCAATCAATCAATCATGAAATCTTCAGTTCCATTAATGCCTAAAAGCTATGAAAATCATATTCTCTAACATAAAGGAGCTTATATATAATATATTGCAATCTTTTAACATATTACAGTCACACATATAATCAATCCTTTTTTTTGTAAAATATTCTAATGGTCAATATCATGTTCTATGAAACTAGGAGGGATGCAAATTTAATCAAATAGTATTGATAATAATAAATACAATTTCAATCCAGAACCAGCCAATTTGGATCTGCCACATCTACGTATAGCGTATTTGTGCTAAGAAATTACTATTCAGAATTTCCTGGTGTTGTTTTGACTTTCAAATATCGAATTCTTAGGAAAGAAATTAAATTTGAAAAAATAAATTCTACCAGTTGCCAGGTATATAAGGAACATAAACAATTGAAATGCAAGCTGAAATCTTCATATAGAAATAACAACAAAGAACATCACATACTCACTTAAATCATCTATTTCAACATAAATTCTAATTCTAATCCAAAACCCAGCTGAGAATTCAAAGATAAATGTAACCAGAGCTGTTTGCACATAATAAAGCTTCAAGCTTGAAGAAAAAAAAAATTAATTAAAACAAAAAAATATATATATGAAAAAATAAAGAAACTCAGAGCAAAAAAGGTAAGAAGGAGCAGAGGAACGTACCGGAATGACCAGGAGCGATGGGAGGAAAGTGGGATTGGAGAGACGATATTAAAGATTGCTGGAAATAGCCAAAAAAATACAGAAACGATTAAAATTAGCAAAATTGTGTGTAGAAGCAGCGAAGAAATCGCAGCTAAAAATAGTGAAGAGAAAAATAGTAGCGGGGAGAGCAGAGATGAGTGGAGCCTACCTCGTCACACGGACTAGATCCATCTGTACGCTCTGTCTTCCAATCTCAGATTTTTCGAATTTAATTTTTTTTAATTTTGGGAATTTAATTTCTGTATTTTCGTGGCGAGCTCAGGCTGTGGTTTCCATGAACTTCATAATTAATTCTTCTTGTTTTTTCGGGTTTTGACCAAAATCGGAAAGCCAGGGAGGCTTTGAACGTTCATTGGATGGTTCGGCTCAGCTCACCTCAGCGCAGCTTAGCAGCCCCTTCCCTTTGTATCCAGCTCACCACCCCTCAAATAAAAAGATAAAGAGGTATATTTTCCACTATTTATAGTATTAAATTATTAATATATGAGACCACCTTTTTTTTAGTGTTATGTTACTGAAATTTATTAGCTAATTTCCTCAAAAACAAAATTAAGACAGGTTTATTCTAATATTTCTTTGAAAAAGGCGTACGTGAGTTAAGTCAATGAGTTAAAATGGTGTGTTCGTCCTTTTACATTCGAGTTTGATTCCCTTATATTATAAATTTATATTAGGGTAGCTTAGAATATTACCCTTATCAAAATATTTTAATAATAAAAAAAAAATAAGTATTTATCATTGTGTTTGCTTTGTCTATGGTTGTGGGTCGCCACTAAGAGACATGTATTAGTTAGAGAAATTATTCATATGATTAGGTTGAAATTCCCTTTTGATTTCATTAACTCTAAAGAAAATTAAAGTCAATACAAGAAAATTGCATATTTTCTAAAATTTTGAATTTCCTTACATTGCATTGGGTGAAGATTTGGATTGGAGCACACACACACTGTTGCAGCAATTTTAGGATAAGATATAAAAATAAATAAAGACACCGCCCACCGTGGATTATGTCTTTACCTGCTCGGTAGAGTGTGGAGATACTCTTTTTCAAAATGACTATTTAGCCCATGCAGCGTTTTCTTTTGGAGGTCAAATAGTGAAACTGGTAGTTTTATCTATTTTTAATTGCTTTTTATAATTCAACAAATGTCAATGACAACAATTTCAAATATCATAACTATTGTAGTAAAGTTCTCAAATATAATTATTATTGATAATCTCCTAATGTCGGTATCATCTTCATATTATGCAGATACTGTCGATATTGTATCCTTATTCGATAGTGAAATAGTCTCATATAGTCGTTATATATATTACATAAAGAAAATATCAAATTTCTGTCAAAAGTGTCGACTTGCTCTGTGAATGATGAATAGCGTGAGTGTTGTGTTAACTTTGTATTAGTAGAAATAAAATAATTTTGAAAAATAAAAGGAAGGTTTTGTGAAGATGGGCAAATAGGTAAATAGGCTGGAGGTGTTGTGTTAAATAGGCGGTTGCATTGCATGCAAAGTAAATGTGGACGCGGCCCAACGGTCCGAAATCCAAAACCCTCGTTTCGTTTGGGCAAAAAAACTGGGACCAATGATTCCTTCGGCTTCCAGGATTTGAATCTCGCAAGTTTGGTGTCGTGTTGGGTAGGAATGACATTCCCAAGCAAGTCCAACAAAAAAGAAAGAGAATCTTCCATTTCTATGCACACACACACAGACAGAAGAAGAGAAAGGGGGATAGATAGTTTGGGATTTGTGGATTGGAAGAGGGCATTAAAATATTTCCAAAATATATTATATATTTACTGATAATGGGCTCTTTTTATAAAATGGAATTCCAAGCCCCAAGGTCAACCACTAGTTTCTTTTTGGTTTTGTTTTCTTCCTCTTGGTGTAGCCCATCAACTTGTTTCAGCCCATCAACTTGTATGGTAAATTCAATTGCCCAATAAAAGTTCCGGCTAAGGTAACTCTATTCACACCCAAAATATCATTCATTACACCAATTTAGATTCACAATACCATTTTTAATCCTCATTTGTCCAATTTCTTTCCTCTTCCTTCCCCAGAATGCTTCATGATTATGTTTAGCTGGTTTTAGTAAGAGTGATTTACACTAACACCTCCTATGATTTTTGGTATTTTAAAAAATTTTCCTAAAGTTTTAAAAATTATACAAACATCCTTTTAGGTCTTAAATTGTTTTCACAAAATTCCTTTTCATTGATTTTTCATCTAAAAAGTAATAATTTTATATACAAAATTTCTTCAAATGACAAAGTTAGCTTTTAAGATTAGATTGCACATACATTCGTCGAGATTAATTTTGTTATTTGCAAAAGTTTTTATGTATGAAATCATCAAATTTTTGGATGTAGAATCAATGAAAATGGATTTTGTGAAAACAAATTGAAATCTCAGGGGGTGTTTGTGTAATTTTTAAAATCTTATGGGGTTTTGTAAAAACACCAAAAACCTCAGGAAGTGTTGGTATAAATAACTCTTTTAGTAATAGCAACCCATAACTTCCCAAATGGAAGAAAAAAAGTAGATGGCCGCTCAACTGATTCTATCCATTATTTTCGTAATGGGAGTATATTATATTATAATAACATTTCTACCTGCTCCCAAAGATTATTTTTCTTTGCTGATCATATCAGATTCGTATGGATTTTAATTAAGACTTAAGTCACTTAATGCTATTTAATTAAACTAATAAACCACAATTTGGCTCTTCTAGTTGGTTTGTTTTGTTTCTTCTTCGGACATTATACGTGTCTGTTTTCTAAGCATACATGATATACCATATATGATACTTTAGTTGGTGCACCTAAACAGTTTTGTTCAACCAAATCTTTCACCATCCGATCCTTTCCCTATCACCCCCTAATCCACCATCGATCCTTGCCTTCCATTACACCCAATCAAATTATTAAGTTGCTTCTCTTAATCTTAATGATTTTTGGTGGCCAAGCCAACTAACAAACTATTGAATTTCGCGGCGGAGTTCGTTAGCACAGTAACAAAAGTCAATCGGCAATTTTTTAAAAACATTCAGATGAAAAATTGCACAAAATAACCCATAATGATTGGTAGCTTTCTTCCATAGTATAATGTAACCAACATGTTTGTTCAAGTGTGATACTGAGTACGTTCACATTTTATGTGAAAAATATGCGTTTTTTTTTCCATGAACAAATATGCGCTCTTTCGATCGTGTATATGCATTATTACGTGTTATGAATAAATATGCGCTCTTTTGATCGTGTACATGTATTATTAACACATAAATTACAAGTTAAAAACAAAGACATTATCTCAAAACATATGAGAATGTGCATATACATGACATTATATTTACAAAAAAACCAAAAAAAAAAAAAAAAAAAAAAAAAAAAAAAAAAAAAAAAAAAAAAAAAAAAAAAGGCCAAGGGCAAAAAAAAAAAAAAAATAAATCTTCTATGCCACCAAATGCTTCCGTCTAGGATCAGTGACATTGATCTTCCAATGCTCATCAGGAAACCCAAATTTCCTCGCCTTTCTCCGTTCCCAGTCCAAATAAGTCCTTCTCACCTTGGTCAGCCCACAAAACCTCTGCAACCTCCCGTCCATGGCGTCGTGCACCCTCCACCACCGCTCGTGCGCAACGTCACTGGCGTAGACGCGCTGGTCCGCCACGTCCCAGTTACAGTCATAATCCCTGTAACAGAGCCACGGCTTCCACCCCAAGTAATGTATGGCGTAAAGCTTTGGTGGGTCCGCCCCGAACAGCTCGTTCTTCACGCTGGCCTCGATTGTCGTATTCGCCCAGAAATTCTTCAGGAAATTGACCCTCCGAGGCAGCCGGTGCCACCACACAAAGACCTCGTTGAGGTAGCCCTGGTCGCCGCCGTTGTACGAAACGATGTCTTCGCGGTGGTCCATGAGGAACTTGAACGTACAGTTGGAGGGCTCGATGACCATGATGCCGGAGTTGAAGAGGTACACGTCGTTGCCGGTGGCAGACATTTGGGGGAAGTGGAAGAGGAGGTCGAGGTTGCGGAGGACGATGATGTCGGCGTCGATGAAGATGACTTTGTTGTATTCGGTGAGCTGCCAGAGGCGGAACTTGCTGTAGTTGTATTCGTTGTAGGTGCCGTTTTCGGCTCTCGGGTTTCGGATCCTTTGGATGAACCGGAGCTTCCACCCGGCGGCGGAGAGAGCGGAGCGTTTGGAAGCGGGGATAGAGTCGTCCAGGAGGAGGATAAGGTCGCGTTTGGTTCCGGTTTGGAGGAGGCTCCTTGCCAGGGTTATGGCGCCGCAAACGTAGGAAGCGGAGGAGTGGAGAACTGTGACGTAGGCTTCTCGTTTGGGTTTGTTTGTTGTGCTTTGGATTTTAGTCAGATCATACACTTGATCAATTCCTATAACAAATTAAGCATTCCTCATCAATTCTGAGTTTTTTCCTATAACATTATTTTATTTGTGTTCAATGATCTAAATTCTTATTTGTTCAGGTTGATGAGAAAAATAAACACATTTACACAGACAATAAAAGACTAAAGAAAGAGAGCATACCTTGCTGTCCCCATATAGGCAAAGCCAAATTGCAAGAGCCAATAGGCAATGACATCTTTTGCTGCAACCTAGCCATATCTGGCTCAAACAACCACCAATTCCCTTCCTGTCTCACCAAGTCATTGCACCTAAATATTTCCAACATTGGTCTACACTTGCTCCATAGCACCACTTTAGCTGCCTTCCTATTCCAATCCCTCTTTCCTTTCTTCACAGCCAGATTTGCCGCTATGAGATGAACTTGGAGCCTAAACACCTCCCTCCTCCACCCTTCTTCCGGATACTTGCATGGCAATTTTGCCACCACCATGTCCATCTTTTGGTAGATTCGAAAATCGGGCATTGGTATCTCCGGGCAAGTTGGGACGTCACTCTCTTCCTCTTCGTCGATCCACTCGGGGAATAAATCATCCCATTTGAATAAATCCGAGACCCGGTCGAAAAGGATGGGTATGGTCTGCCCTAGCCTATTCCACTGACTCACATCATCTTCTTCCATATTAACCATACCAATTTTCATCATCCCCTTCCCCATAACCCCATTCAAAAAGCTTGGTACCTCTATCTTGCTCATATTTCCCTTAGGCCTCGGTATGTTGACTTTGGTCTCCTCCAAAACTTGCTTCATGATCTTAACTCCATTATCCATCTATCCATACACAACAGCGAAAACCAATTAAGGAACATTGTTAATTAATCACTTATCAAAATGATTAATGATCAAATTAAGAAAGGGCCAGCCTCACCTTACCTTGTGATGGCACTCTCTCAACGAGCACCTAATGAGAGAAGCTGCGTTCTCATAATAGATGGAGGAAGACGGCTGGAGAAGAACGGCAGCATAGACAACGAAAAAGAAAGCAAGGAAAACCAAGTTGATTCGGATGACCAAAGCAGCTTTAGAAGGAGTGGCCTTCATAATCTTTTGAAGGCCAACATGTCCTTCAATCATCTTCAAAAGCTATCTGGCCAGGTGGGTTGCCTCAATAGGGGATCCTATATATATATATATCTAACTATGCTCTCTGTGATTAGGTTTAATTAACGCAAGTTAATCACGAGGATTATAATATATAATATGTTTGTGAAAGGAATTAGCTGCAGTGGTTAGAGAACTCAGACAATGAAATTAGAGTAAATCTCAAAGAAAGCAAAACCATTTAATACGCTCCAAGTGTCCTTTTCCTTCTTTTGGACTTCCTTCCTCTAGCAGACAACAACAAACAAGGTCGGAGAATAGAAAGCTTTGCTTCTTCCGCGTAATTATTCACCTGACAGTAATACTATTATGTCCTTTATATATGTGGACAATTGCTTTGTTTTTTTTTATTTTATATAATAATAATTTTTAATTCCTTACCTTAGTTTGTCTCCACCCTCTACTCTTCTCCATTTACAACTTATCTTTACATTTTATAACTTCATCAACATGTTTGAATTTCCGATGATAATTCAAATTCTGATAACATAACATAACAGATATCTAAGAAGAGACCGTGTTTATCAGTTCATTATGTCAAGAAGTATTTTCTAGCGCATAACAAATCCCAACAATTGAAAATGAAAAACACGGTCTCTTCTTAGGTGGTAGATCTCTAAGGAGAGACTGTTTATTATCTTATATCATATCTATTTTTATTATGAAATTTGTCTTGTCTTCCCGTTAAATAAAAGCAAAGGGATATTAGTAAGTAAGGCAGGGTGAGAAATGGTAACATGGGTACTTTAAAGTGAACATAAAGGTACCCCAAAGCTAGAAATCTTCAAAGAGGGACAGCCGTCCCTCTAACTCCAACAACTAATGGTTGGGCGGTCATCTTCCTTGCATGTAATGCAATGTCGCTTTTACCCCTAACGAAATAGTGAGGCCTCACCAATATTCCCATTTCTCTAATAATTTTCTCCCCCGTTATAATTGTTATTCATTTTATGCTTGTTTTAGGTTAGACATCATCATATCAGAACATCACGGTTAATAAAATGATTACAGGACATGTTTTGCACGATCTATCTATCGTGTGGTAAACAATCACCATTTTTATTTAATGTTGACATACTTGATTTAGGACCAACTGATGATGGGGGACCTCAAGTGTTGTTAGCCCATGAATTTTAATCAATGTAATACTTCTAACTCCTTTTAATTTCTTGTACTAATTTTTTTTTTGGGGGTACGTAAGAAGTTTGTAACAACATTTATTTGTACACGTAATATCGCTTGTATTAAAGAAAAAAAAACATAATTCATGGTTTGAAAACTTTATTAAAGACAATTTAATCTTAATAAAATGGCAAATTAATGCAAACGGGGTCTATCCTCCTAATAAAAAATTACATTAACTTGTAAACCTGTGATCCCATGTTCAAACCTCCATAGCACCTTAATTGTGTGTGTGTGTAAGAAATCTCTCGTACCCTTTTGAGCTTGTATTCAAAAGGACAAATTAAACATTCATTTCCTTCCCAGCCCTCTACTCTAGAAACTTCACCCAATTTCCACTCCCTTCATTTTCCCAGTACCTAAAATGACGAAAGCAGCAAAAATTCAACGCATCACCAAATACATAGAATCATACAAAACCCAAACTCCAAATTCTCATATAATATTACACCGGAAGCGAAATTTCCTTGTGGCAAACTAATTTCCCGTAGCAGGTTAAGCAAGCTTTGCATAAGTTGGTTTGGGGGTTGGGGGTTGACATTTCTTTGGGGCAAACTTTTTTTTTTTTCATGTTCATGGATAATCAAGCTTAACATTATTACTTCTTAATATAAAAAAACAAAAACAAAAACATGCATGTATAAATTTTTTGGACATTTGGTTATCAAGTTTGGGCCCATTTCCACAACAATCCTTAAAGTAGCACCCAAACACCGTCGTTTTACCAGACACTAAACTAGTTGAAGACTTTCAACATGGTGTTACACAGGGGTCGAAAAGCAACTTGATGTTTTAAGTAGTTGAAGACTCTAACCTCTATGAAATCAGAAACTTTAATACACTCCCTAGAGAACAATGATATCAAATTTATAAAGCTGTACAAGTACAGTTTGGCAATTCGCCAACCTCCACCTCCGTCCACTGTTGGCAATTTGCCGAACTCCAACGAAACATATTCAGGTTGTTCCATTTTTCTATTCTCTTCCAACCTCAGCTTTCCTTTGCATATCATTGACCAACTACAAGCCTCTAGCTCTGACCTGCTTTATTATGAACCTCTGGAGACATGCTATTGAGCTCACTGCCCAGTCAAATCCTTGTATGGTTAGTTGAAGATGGACTTTGTAGGCTTCAGGCTTTAACCACATCCTGAATGTGTTGGGAGTAGCTTTTTCCAGGTGGAATGAAAATCAGATCTTCCCAGCCTGAATTCTTTTCACTTAACTGCATCACATTATAAAAAAAAAATTCAGCAAAGATACTAGAAAGTAGGAACGCAAGAACATGTAATTCTTGCCGTAACGAGACTGTTTACCTCCATTTTTCTCAAAACATCTTCCAAACTACCAACCTGTAGACACATTTTAATGAGATGATGAGAATGCAATAATGTAATGAGAAGACTTATCAAATATCTAAAGAAGTTTCTTTATTTTATATAATACCATAATATGTTGAGAAACCCCTGGTCCTCTGGACGCTCTAGAGACCTTTGACAATTCTTTTTCAATATCTTCCTGCATAGTGGAAACAAAATTTAGCTTTGGCTAAATCAATCTCCTAAATGCTATTTACTTAACAAAGTAATACATCAACAAGAGCTCAAGGCCTGAAATTCAAACCCACCTTGGTGAAATATATTGGGCAGTAACGCTTGTTTTTCTTCTTCATAACCAGGAGGTCCGACTGTAAACACAAATTACTCATAAGATGCATTGCCATATTCGCACACAAGCAAGCACCATGACAATCAATTCTGCTGCATGAGGATCACCCAAATTATGCCCAAAAATTGCACTAGATTTGAAGACAACAATGTATGCCTGGGCACTTACATTAAACTTATATTTTTTAAACATACAATGCAAATGCACTACTCATTTGTGAACTACAGTCATCAATATTATGTGTTACAAAGTTGGAGGTGTTCATTTCCTGGATCATCCTACCCAATATTTGCATGTTTTGAAGTACTCCTGCAATCAAATAAGGCCATTGTAATCAACAAGTAGACTAGACTAGCCTACCTGAAAAACAGGAACTCCATCAAAAGCACTCCTGTCAGCGGATTTGAGCTACAAAACAGAAAATAGCTTGTTTCAGAAATGAAATAATTAAGTCAGGAAATAAATATCCAGTTTGAATTGTTTTAGCAGATACAGTCAATTTTTACAGGACAAGCAGTCGATTTTCTGTCACAACACAGTTTAACATGTTGCATCTGACATATCCATTTTATCAAAGCTCCTCATTACCACTATGCACTTGAACATCAACACTAAAAAGTGTTTATATGCGGGCCTCTATGACATAAATTCCTAAATTTTCTTCTAAATACTATTTCTAACGCAAAAGGATTTCCTGTATAGTGTATAGCACACACGGCTATTTGGGATGATAAGACCATAAGAATTAAATAAAAAGATCAATAGTTTCACATAAGAAGCAAATACAAAATGAAAAAGATGCCAACAGACAGTCAACCAAAATATTGTAAATGCTATACTAAGTGAACAGATGGGGCACTGACATGGCTTAGCATGAGACACAGCCAAAGGACATTCTTGAAGTAGATACATTAGAGAAACGAACCTCGAGTGCATTCCTTATTTGAACTGGATCAGGCAAAAACCGGAACGCAATTCCTTCAACCTTCAGCATGTATACCTACAAGATGAAGAGTGAGCAAGTTCACAGGCAAACTCATAATATGAAAACTAAGTTCCCATCTGATAATAGTTCCAATATCAACTCAGTACCCAATTAACCAGCATTATCAATTTAGAACTACCACTACAAAGATTTCAGGCAGCTGAGCTCCGAAAAGTCACCTGGTCGAGAGTAATTGGGACAACCTTAGCCGCACTTCGTAACTCTCTCCTCGACCGAACCTGAAAATCCAAACCACAAAATAACACAAGCATACTTCGAATCAATAACTTCTCAACAGTCCCAATTTACTCAACACTTTTTTTTTCTTTGGTTGAAAAACTAAAAAAGCATCCCAATTAAACTAAAATTAACCTAAATGCAACTAACTGCTCCATCTTATTAAGCTCTAAAAGCAACTAATTGTTCCACATTAATAAGCTCACCCAAAAAAAAAAAAAAAAAAAAAAAAAAAAAAAAAAAAAAAAGAGAAAAAAACTAACTTGAGCTAGGAAGGCTTCGGCATCTTCGTGGCGAAAGCAGAGGAGGCCAATGGACTTGGCTTCATTGGGATCAGAGATAAGCACGAACTCATTGTTCGAATTGCTAACCGTATACACCGCCGTGCCGGCTAGGCTCTTCGCCACGTGGTCCGAGTTGATGGTCGCGGCCAAGGCGTGATTGCTCTGAGACAGCCACGCCAAGGGCGGAGCAACGGGAGCCGAGCGCATACGCCTGCTCGCCGCGGGCGCCAAGTTTCCGGCGAGGGTTCCGGCGAACCGCTTGGTGTCTTCGAGACGGCTGGAGAGCTCGGCGCCGAGCTGGAGGCAGTTCTGGTGTATGAAAGTGGAGAGTGAGAGCAGAGGGTTTGAGCGCCCGTAGGGCTTTGGGGACTCCATTGTCTTGTCTCAGTATACAATGTGAGAGAGAAGCAGAGCAAAACGGCGTTTTGATAAGGCTGATTTTGACGAAACACGTTTATAGAAGTAGCGGTTTCAGGAGAGGGCTTCCTTGGTTGCGTTGCGCTGCGGCTTGTGCGAACCGCTATCAAGCCAAACGAGTTTGTCGTTTTTTTTTTAACCCTATCCGAAAAATAATGTTTTCTTGGGCTAAATATTCCAACCCATGGGCCATAGCCCAATCTACCATCAACCCATACAGTTCAGAAGCTTAGTTAATCCAACCTCTGCAGCCCAACAGCCACAATTCTGGCTCCGTATATTTTGGAATTCAAGTAGAAAGATTAATTTCGGATTATAAAAAATATAATATGTTATTAGCACTTAATTATACTGATTACACCATAGTACCAATAATGTCCCTTTTAACCCTTTCAAGAGGCTTCACAAACCCAAAAGTTGAATTCTTCCCTTCAATCACTGCCACTATTGGCAGATGAAGCATTTTACTGTTATAAACTTTTGGTATTTGGAGCAATAAATATGCATAAACCTTTTGACCATTTTCAAACAAGCATCTCCAAGGAAAGGAAAGCATGTATTATTTAGCATTTCTTTCTTCAGAAAGCATCTACAAGAGCTTTAGTAGTTAAAGTGATTAAGAGTACTTATACATGTATTCGAGATCTTGTGTTCGATTCATTTATTCTTCTATCTATTGATTTTTGGAATTTAATTGTTCAATTATTTGTAATTCCACTGATCTATGAATGCATTTGAATAAAGTGATGTTAAATTTTAGAGGGACGGGCCAACGGGCCCCTGTTACTAGCAATACCAATATTATATCCAACTTAACTACTTACAAAACTCAGTAAATGTGAGTTTTTATTACCAAATGCCTCGGTGATATTAGTAATGGAACCATTCATTTTATATTATATTTTATTTTGTAAAATTTCCGATGTGGAATTTATATTCTTCAACAAGTGATGTTAAGGTGAAACAAAATTTTAGTGTGTGTAGTACTTAGCAGTAGAATATATGCAAGGTGGAACATAACAAACGTGGACATACAAGGGGGCCAGACGGAGAGGCCTATATAAATCAGCCAACAAGGCTAAGCTAACAAGGCTAAGCTATAAGCCTTTCTTCTAGTGTCTAGAACAATTAATTTCAAGTAAATATATTATGATTAGGGGCATGGTTCCTCAGGTTTCCATTAGGGAAGAGGTTATGTTTAAGGAGGCTCATGTTCCATGGCGCAGGGAGATGGTGGTGGAAGTGTTCAAAAGTTTTGCCAAGGACGGGCAGCTTTCCAAGCATGAGTTGAAGGCAGCCTTCGACAAACTTGGGTCGCGTTGGAGCACTTTCAGAGCTTGGAGAGCTTTGAGCTATGCAGATGCCAATCAGGACGGCCTCATTTCTAATGATCACGAGTTCAAAGTCCTTGTCAACTATGCCTTAGAATGTGGCTATGAACTCTAAATTATTTTCTACAGTCTACCGGCCTTGGTTTACTTCTTCTACTCATGTTAGGAAAAAAAAAACAAAATGTTTGTGTAGTAGAGTAGTGAAGGAATGAGGCGACCGTATCCTTTTTTGTCGATAAATTATTGTATGGTACTGAAATAATTTCAGTATAAATGAATATTGTGATGATCTATATAATGTTTATCTAATTTTTCAATAACTAAGACCATATATACCATTTGTGGTGTCAATAGTATAAAATATCGATAATATCGACGAAATATCTAGGATATTATCGTTTTTTCAAGTCACAGATATTTCGGAACGTATCCATATACATATCGTATAAATATCGATAATATCGGAAACTATCGATGTCAATAATTTCGCTCACACTTTAGCAATATTTTGTCAAAATATCGCTATAATATCAGTATAATATCAAAAATATCGATGTAATGGAAAAAATGAAAAACAAAACAAAAAAAAACACAAAGCGCACACACAAAGAGGATTCAAACCTTTGCCATTTCACTCCTCCAACTTTTTAATCACCATGTTGCTTATGTTTTTGTGATAGTATGCTAAAATATGTATATTTATATTGTTTTATTTTGAACAATTACATGCAAAACTATTTTGGGGGTTTATCATTTGATGACTACTCTTCACAATACACTTACTCAACACATAGAGATGATGAAGATAGTGAAAAATTTGAACCTCATAATAACTCTGTGTGGTACTAAGTCACTCATGTATCTTACCATGCAATGTATATATAAAGTGTAAAATATTGTAGTAAATCATAATATATGAATGATTATGGTGTGTTTAATCTTATTCATTAATTACTACATATTTTCTACACTCACATTGTTTGTTAGCTCGCTATATATTCAACTTAAATCAGTTAACCCATCATGCAATGCATTTCCTTCTAATTTTTGGTGATAAACTAATAGATAATTGACTGAATAAACATTCTCTAGAGTTTCAATAAAAATTTCCAAGTTTTCTCACAATTTCCGTGGTTTTTATTCAATTTTTATCAATATCGATAATATCTCGATATTTCTATCGAAATTTCCTTGTTTTTGGACTACTAATATTTCCAATACCATCGATATTTTAGACCTTGATGGTGTCCAATAACCTTTCCTCAAAACCCTTGCTCTAAATATGGCAATTAAGCGTGTATACTCTCATACATTTGTAAAGAAAGGTTTTGTTCTTATTTCTTCAACTATTAAAATTAATAATCCGTTAAATTAGTACACGTAAGTCTAACTTAAAATTGATTATTAGTGAGTGCCAACTGGGTCTACTATAGTGAAAAAGGGCATTGATCTACAGATTAAAGATCTCAGGTTCGAACTCCTATGACATCTTAGTTGTGTGTGTGTGTGTAAGAGACCCCGTCCTCTATAATTTAGATTGTACTAAAAAAAATACCAGTTAGTGAGCAAGTTCACAGGTAAAGTCATAATTATGGAAACTGGCGCATATTCTCCAAACCATGCTAGCTTAAGTCCAATCTTCAACTCAGAAGTCAGTACCCAATTAGCCAGCATAATCCAGAAAAAAATAAAAAATAAAAAATTCTTTAGCTAAATAAATTTCCACTTTCAATTGTAATTAGTGGTCCACTCCACCATCAAACCGTACAGTTCATGAGTAGCCCAGTTAGAAAGATAGTTATTGTTATTTCCAAATTTATATTTGAACTTTTGTTCCTCATATGGTACTTTTTTTTTTTTAATACTAGTTTATCATTATCTAATATTCGGTCACAATATATATCTTACTTTATAGATTGTATTGAATAAATTAAAGATGATCGAGGGACCCCCCACACCCCACCACCTGTTTGGGTAATGGGAGTTGAGTGCTTTTGGTTTCACATCCACTCTTATCCATTTGGAATCTAATTTCTAACCTATCCATAGGCTAAAAATCTCACATTTGAACCTTGATTCTTGATTATCAATGGAAAAATAAAATTAAGAAAACAAATCGAAAGAAATCAAACTAACTTGTAACTTGTACGTCAAGGATAACCAAAAGCTCATACGTACATATGATATGAGATATACATCCTTCACTTTTATTCGATGTGAGATCTTTTGAGGCAATGCCAAACCAAACTTGGCTTTATTCTTACAAGGACAACAACATGTGCCATACTCTAGTTCTTGTTTGTATGTTTTGAGCATTTCAAATCTAAAGATTTTATTTTCAATATGAATTTAGTTGGTATTCAAATACATATATAATGTATTAATGTACAATATATAATGCATTTCTTTAGAAAATTTGCACAAATAAGACCATATGATTGAATTAATCATGAATGTTAAGTTCAATATCCATTAAAAGACTATCGCTTGTATTAAAAAAAATAAAATTACTCATTGACAAAATATATGACTGTAACTTGTCACATATAAATTGGTGATCACCAATGGAGTCGGTGGGACAGGGGGTTTGAAAAATTGGAATGTTGTCAAGATCAAAAGAAGGAAAAACTTTGGTTAGATAATAATAGGGACCAGAATATTCCATATAAATGCCATGCATATTTGGAGATATAGAAACATAAAACCAGCTCCATATTTATCAACCTTATGCCTTCCGCACTTCCAAGATCATAGGGCCTTGCAAACTATTATTCTACAAGATTTTTCATGAGATATACACTGTTGTAAAAGCTTTCATGCCAATGAATGATCGTAAAAATATCTTGGGTTGCTATCTTTATTTTGCAATTGCTCGATCATTATCCTAATTATATTATTCAAAGAAGGTCGATCATGAATTGTTCCATCGCTTCTCCCCACTCTTCTTTTTTCTTTTTCTAAAGAAAGATTGTTTTAAGCCTTTCGATTCTGATTCTCATATATCCCAATTATTAGTTCGACAGATTACTAAAGATAGAAACATACATGTACAAGATGTATCACGTAACTTTACTCGCTACCGTAGTATTCTATAATTATTAATTTTTTCACAATAGGCCTACAAGACTAAGCTTACTTAATTTACTTCATCTGCATATTGTGAGTGAACCTTTTAAAGAGGCTTCACGAACCCAAAAGTTGAATTGTTCCCTTCAAATCACTACGGATAAAAAAGTTGGCAGATGAAGCATTTCACTGTTACAAACTTTTGGCACTTGTGGTAATAAATAAATAAAAACCTTTGTGACCAACAAGCATCTCTCTACACTCTCTCTTTGAAAAGTTCCATGCTTCATGTACACGCAGAAAATTAAGATATGTATAGAAAGCCTCTATATTTTTGGGATTTGATTATTTATTGATATAATTGGGGGCATCCATTTCATTCATCTACGAGATTCAATTGTTCATAATTTATAATGGAAAATATTCAGACTCCTTACACGTAATTTATAAAAGGTATTTCTTTCTTACTCATCGATAAATTATAATTCAACATATGTGCACAAATTTTTCTTTCTAAGTTTCAGTAAATCACTTCAGTAGAAGGAAGTTGAGGTTCCACCCCAAAACCAATTGACAATGGAGAGAGTAGCTTAACTCCTTATAAGCCCTTGTTAGGTTTCTCAACTTTCCAATGTGGGACTTTTTACTTTCACATTCTCACATGTTAATTTGTGATTTTTGAATTAGAATTTTTACAAGGTCGGGCAACAAGTTGTGCATACATGGGGCCAGAGAGGAGAGCCCTATATAAATCAACTTTGAGCTCCATTAAGTATAATTAACCATCTAAATCAAGTCCCGCGGCAAAGCGAAGCCTTTCTTATTAACTATATCATGGTTAGATACGTCCCTGCTTCTCCTCCTCCGCAGATGATGGTGAAGGAGGCGTATGTCGCATGGAGTAGGAAGCAGGTAGAGGATTTGTTGAAAAGTTTTGACATGGACAAAGACGGCAAGCTTTCCAGGCAGGAGTTGCAGGCAGCTCTCAATAAACTTGGGTCGCGTTGTGGCTTCTTAAGAGTTTTGAGAGCTCTACGCCATGCAGATTCCAACAAGGACGGGTTGATTTCTATAGAGGATCACCTTGTCAACTATCTCTTTGAGTGCCGGTATAAGCTATAAGTTGTTGATTGCTAAGTACAAGATTAATTAGTATTTGTACTAATTAATCAGCCTTATATAGCTCTTTTTATATATACGATTATGTGTAGCAGCGAAGGAAGGAGGTGACCTGTGTTGCCCCTCTTTGCCAGTGTACATGTATTAGAACCCTGGTTATATATATGTGATGTTTATCTAATTGAAGTGATCATGACATGAAAATCCATAACATAAAAGTAAAAGAAAACCATATTGATATATGAGTGAAGCAATTCCTTTGCTATAATGACTATCAATGGAGATGAAAGCCTTTCATAATGAGTTTAAAAAACTAGGATCTCTCCACTTATTGTCAATTAGCATTATTAGGTTGGATGTGTGCGTTCATTCTAACATGGTATAAAAAATATACAAATTTATAAATAAACCCAATCCTAGACATGTATTTATAAAAAAACCCAAGCACTATTTAAACATAGAAACACACCCAAAATCAACCTCAAAATCAACAATTGTATATTTTTTGGGTGTGTTTATAAATGGGTTTTGAGTGTGTGTAATGATGGGTTTTGGGTGTGTTTATAAAGTGTTTTGGGTGTTGAGTTTTTTTATAATTTCAACCCCCATTTTGGGTGTTTTAGTGAAATTCCCTAAAAAATAATGCTTTCCATGTCCCATGCCACTCAAATAAGAATTGCTTACGTGAAATTAGGGGCAAAAAAACACGCTATACACAAAAGAGAGTGAAAATATCTCACATTAAGATTGTCTGATAAAAATTACAGCAAAAAGGAGAGTAACATTGACACAACGAGATATAGGGGAATAGGGAGATCGAACGATAACCCTAAAGCAAAACTCAAAGGTATTTGATTGATAATAAGATGGATAATTCAGGATACTCCAACACATTCCTTTTATACAAGAGAAACCCTAGAATTGCATGGAAAGCTAATGAGAAACCCTAGACTTGCTAGGAAAGCTAATTAGAAAACAAAAAGGAAAATAATGAAAGTTTCCCTAAATATTTTAAAAATTTTAAACACTGTAAAGTCAAAGTAAACGATAGAATTTGACTAAAATAGCCCATACGTCACAGTAAAGCAGTGAGTTACAATTGTCACGTCGTTCTCTTCTAAATGATAGGCCATGAGCCCGATTATGAGTTCGAAGCCCATACTTGCACATATTGAACTTTGCTGCCGCGACGGGGTGCACGCGTGTCCAGCTGTTCCTTGATCAACTCGGTCATGTGTTCTATATCAAGCATGATATGAGAAACAGAAAAAGATGAAACGATGGATAGAAAGTGAGATGACTCGTGACTATAATAAGCTTTGTTTTCAAATCATTTATCAAAATTATTTTTAACGTACGTATAGTAGGGGAGCCGGCCGATATACTCGACAACTTTCTATATATCCAGCATCTGACAAAAGGCTTACTATAATAGAGTGGTAACGATGTGGCGGGTTAGGACTGAAGTTTGGTATCTCTAAGATTCTTGATATCTATATTTTACCAAACTATTTTGGTATAAAATTGTGGATTCTATGGGTGAGGACCAGAAGAAGAGGCCAGCGAAAAGAATCCCATTCATCAGATCGATGCCTATCTTTTTTCTCAGGCCCCCCGTGGTCACATTGCTTGATTCTAATTCTCACCAATCCAAGATATACATGCATGTATGTAACGACTGGCTATGGTAAATTAGCACTTTCAAAACAACCCATTTGACCAAGTCAAACAAGAATCTATAAAGAGTAATGCTACTCTGTACACACACCCAACATTATTTTAAAGAATAAATTAAATGATACACATCTACAAATATTATGATTATTTATTGAGTGAACCATCTATAGAAATTATTATATTATCATTCTCATGGGATGGGAATAATTAAATATTATTTAATTCAATAACACAATTAAATATTACTTAAATTATACTTAAGTGGTATATAATAAGCCTCTAACCCCTTTTGTAAACAAGCATCTTGCTACATCTTTCTTTCTTGTAGTGCGTTGCGTTGGAATTAAGATCAATATGGTAAGAGATCTCCTTGTTCCGGGGTGTATTAATATCACAGAGCAGAAGGGCAGGGTCCAAATTTTCTGGTCTGAGGAGCAATTATTGGTTTTCTTCAAAGGTTATGACAAGGATGGAGATGGCAGACTTACCAAAGATGAGTCCAAGGCAGCCTTCGATAAACTTGGGTCGCGTTGCAGCACTTTCAGAACTTGGAGAGCACGATGCCATGCAGATACCAACAGCAAAGACAGGTCCATCCTCAACGTCGACGACCTTGTCAAATATGCCCTAAAACGTGGCTATAAACTCTGATTAACTCAGAAGCACATGAGGGTTTTAGTCAACTAATTAATATAATATATATGTGTATATGTGTGTATGTATAAGAGTATTTAATTACTTATCTGCGAGTTCCAGCCGTATAGACATATATGTGTGTATGCTAGCGAAGGAAGGAGGTGAGCTTTTGTTTCCCCCTCTTTGGCAAGGTTTGATGAATCAGAATTATGATTTGTGTGGAAACTTTTGTAGTTGTTTTTGTTTTTCGGCTCATTTCACAATGTGATTTAATAATCAAAATTGCTTATATTTTAGATATTCTTTATTAAGTATCACCGATTTAATATAATTTTATAATCCACACCAACTAGCCTTTAATTTAGTGATAATTGTCTCCATTTAATTGAATAAAGTCGTCTCAGATTCGATTCATATGAATACAACATAACCTGCTTTGTAAACATCGTATGTATAGTTTGAAGAGGAAAAGAATTATCATCCATACCAAATATAGAAAAACCAAATTATATAAATTACATGAGTTAGTAGTTACAAAGTCAATAATTTATAGAGTGTAGGTGATTGACCCCAACCTTTTAGGATGTTGGGCATATATAGCTAGCTGTCGCGTTGAAGTCGTTTTGGTTTCAGAGCGACACTCTTATCTTATCCATACAATATGTCGGTGTGCCGATGAAAGAATCTATTGATTTGTCCTTGCAATGCAAATGAAGGATAAACGGCAAACTGTGTGAATGTTTTTACTGTGATCAGTATGGTTGTAGAAACCAAAGCGAAGACCTAGCTAGTTGACCCAAGTCAAGCAAAAGAATCTATTATCTCTGCAATAAAGTTCCATGCTTTCCGTGCACGCACAAAATTAATGGATATATGCTATTGGTTTTTTGAATGAACCGTAATCTTCCAAATTCATGGACGGATGGGAATTGTTAACTTTTATTTCATTCAAAACAGATAGCTAAGGGGGCCCTAGCAAGCACAATATTGCTATATAAGCAGCCTCTCTAACCTACCTTACACTGCAAGTCCAAACCTTCTCTCTTGCAGTGCTTAAGCACCCTTTTCTTGTAGTATTTTTTTTTTCAAGGAAACCCTTTTCTTGTGGTGTTTCTTTTACCGGTCTTTCGATCCAAGCCCTGAAAATTTGGTTTTTATTAGGTTTAAGTAACCCAAGTTTTTCACAGAAGCTAGAATTTGAAGATAAATATGGTTAGGGAGACCCTTGTTCAGGTGTGGAACAACATGGAGGACGCGGTTGTTTATAGGAAGGTCCAAATTCCATGGACAAAGGAGCAGGTAATGGCTGAGTTCAAAAGATTGGACAAAGATGGAGATGGCAGGATTTCCAAGGAAGAGCTGAAGGCAGCCTTCGACAAGTTCGGGTCGCGTTGGAGTTCTTTCAGAGCTTGGAGAGCCCTCTGCCACGCAGATGCCAACAAGGACGGGTTCATTTCTAAGGAGGAGTTCACCGATATCGTCAACTATGCCTTGAAATGTGGGTATAAACTATGAAGAATTAGAATTCTTCATGTAGGACGTACGGCAGGCTTAGTTTTTGTGCTTGCTTACTGAGTAGTCTGTGATCATGTAATATAATGTCTCTGTGTCTGTACATATATGCGTATGTTAATGAATTAATGACCAGTGAGCAGCCATAGCTTTGTTTCATAAAATGGATAAGCACAAAAATTAGCAAATATGAGAAGGGCATTAGTTAATGGTTATGTTGGTTTCTTGTTAATCTCTAATCTATATTTCAGTAATACCATGTGACACTAATATTCAATCTGGATGTGGATAGAAATAGACATATCTTAACTTTTTCTTTATTCAAGTTAATTTACGAAGCACAAAAAAGAAAAGGAGAGTATAACTAACGAGTTCTTATATCCCTAATGCTACTCTTACCACATTTTTATACCACAATTATATACCACCTTATGTGGCAACTTAGGTGTTATTCCCGTGCCAATTAAATAGCCAGCTATACTAAAATTTCTTTCTATTTTTCAAAATGTAATTACGTTACTAAAAAATTATCACATCTTCTTACTCACCCTCTCTCTCCCACCAACCCATCCATCCATCGGAGGAAATTTTCAGATCTAGAATAGAGGGAAGAGAAGATCTGAACTAGAGAAGTTGAGGAATTCAGATGGAAACAATAGAAGGTAACACCCAAAAGATTTTTCCTTGGTGATGTAAGAGGCTGGCGGCTGGCTTCAAGGTAGGGTATCATTGTTTTGAATGGAGCCCTTTGACACTTCCAAGGAGTCGTCCCCTTTACTTTGGTTCATAACAGTAGATTGATAAAATTTGTTTAGATCTCTTTTGGTTCATATCAATATATTGAGATTTGTATTGTTGTTTGTGCCGAAGATGGAGGGAGTGGAGTGTAGGGGTATTTTCTCGGTAGTTTTTGTTTTTGTTTTTTAATTTTTTTGTTAATTAAAAATAATTCAAAACACTGTAGATGATGTGGATGTCCACATCAGCTGCCACACAAACGCGTTATCACATCTTCATCTTCTATGTTACCTATTATTAGACTCAACACCTACACTCAGCTTCATAATTTTTGAGTGGTGCTAGTGTAAATAACTCTTCCATTTAAAACCAGCAGCCAAAGAGGGGGAAAAAATTATGAAGCAATTTTCCTTCCAATGGTGATTGTGAATTGAGACGAGTGAGAGAGAAAGACTTAAGAGGCTGAAAGAATTGACAAAAGCTCGTGAATCATATGCTCGACATTGGCGCTGGCTGGTTTTCATGTAAATTTGTAGTATGCAAGTTCTGTTACAATCACCCTTTTCATTTTCTTTTATGGGAAAAAAAAAAATTGAAACCAAATGAGTTTGATTCACAAGAATTGCATAAGGGGTATATGATTGTCGCAAGTTATTTGTTGAAGTGTTTGTCATATGATATTATGAAGCAAAAACTGGCTTACCAGACGAACCAGCATCCAAGGAGCGAAAAAATTTATCGAACTAGATACAGAGGCTGAGTTTTGTATGGCAGAGATGATGCAATGGTTGAGTCTGATGATACGTAGGGTAGAAGATGAAGAGGCGAGAGAACATGTTTGTGTTAAACGCGTATTTTAGTAATTTTTTTTTAAAGAAAAATAAATGGGTTAAGGAATTTGTAGAGTTAAAATATTGTTAAATGGTGTGCCACATGTCACAAAACCAATGAAAAAATAAAAAGGCACCAGGAATTTGATAAGATGAAAATTGGACTCGTAAGAGTAACACCAAGTATTTTTGGTTTCAGAGCGACAACCTTATCCATATGGCATCTACAACACCGATCAAGGAATCTTTTGACTCCTTTTCTTTTCATAATTTACAGAAAAATTACACCATCCACCCCCACCCGCACACAACGGATATTGCTTTCGAGTTTTCATATCCACCACGCTGTGTGTTATCCTAGCATCTGTGTAGTTGAATTATCCCTTACAAACCGAAAAGTTGGATTATTCCTTTCAACAATTGGCAGATGAGGCATTTTTCTGTTATCAACTTTACTACCAAAGAAAAGCTCACAAACCGTTTTAGACCAAACAATTAAGCATCTATTATCACTACTTGCAAAGTTCCATGCTTTATGTGCACGCAAAATCTAGTCCATATATGTTACTCGATTGTTTGTAATAATCAACTGTAGTTTACCAATTTCATCTGCGGAAATTACATACAATACAAACTAGAAAATGAATTACAACAGGCAACACTTAGAACAAGAGAAACCTAACTCAAAAACAAGAAGAACAAGAATTTGTTTGATATTTCATCCATTGGAATCAAGTATTATTTTTAAGGAGAGTGATCGGGATCGGCTCGATGCCAAACTATAGTATGTATATAGCAACAAAATACCAAACTGGAGTATCAAAAAAATTTTGAATAAATTATCGATAATGTATCATATACTGTAAATATATTGGTACCCGATACCAGAGGGTCTTTCGCAAAATAGAGATCCTTGAGGCATGCGACTTGAAGAATATTAGAATACTTTTGTAGGTCCAACATGCGCGCAGGGGACCAGGCAGAGCCATGCATATATAAATGGGCTCTTTCATAGCGTGCAAGTCACCCAATTCAAGCCTTAGTTAATTCCTTGGTAGTTTTTGCAGTTCATAAATTAGCAGAAGATGGGTTATCACAGTAATCTTGATAAGGTCCATAATAAGAGGGCCAAGGTTCCCTACACAAAGGAGCAGATAAGGAACGTCTTCAAACGTCATGACAAGAATGGAGATGGTCAACTTTCCAAAAATGAGCTGGACGCAGCCTTCAAAGAACTTGGCTCGATATGGCCTCCTGCTAGAGCTTGGTTTGGTCAACGGTATGCAGATGAAGACGGCGATGGCTTCATTTCTATAGACAAGGAACTCAGCAAGCTCGTCCAGTATGCCCTAGAATTGAAGTATACACTTCAGTAATTATAGTATTAGTGGGTAACTAGTTCTTGTATGTGCTTGCTATAGATATATTCTCAGCAAGCTTATTGACTATGCCCTCAATTGAACTTCTCTATATATGTAATTGTAGTGGTGGAGCTAAACTTGGTGTCTTAGTGACCACAACCACTTCAAGTTTATATGTAACTCCGTCCGTGTGTAAGTGTCTTTAATTACTTGTAAGCAGCTGTAGTACCTATATATGTGTGCAAGGTTGAGGGAACGAAAGAGGCGACCTTTTGTTTCCCCTCGTTACCTGGGAAGATGAATTTGAACCCTGATTATGTATAATATATAGTGATGAACAAGAATAAAGTAACAAACTTTGTGTATTGATATCTATTACGTAAATATGTGTACGTAGGTGTGTCTATATATTTATGTATGTACATATATATTGTATTACATACGTATACATGCACAACTTACACTGATAAAAACTCCATGTTATAGAGATTACGACAATCCACTCAACACCAGATGTGGAAACATGGACATGACCAGAGCAACTTAATATGATTCCATATCAATATCTTGCCTTTTGCTTTAGTACGTTCTGATGTTTGGGGCACTGCTCCAGTTACTACTACTTCTCGTTTCCGTTGATTTGTTATTTTTGTGGATGATTGCACCCACATGACCCCACAGTTCTGGGAGGAGGCAATCACCTTTGCAGTCTATCTTCTTAATCGTGTTCCTGCTATTGTCCTGTACTTTAAGACACCATTGGACAAATTGGAGGCTTATGTTTCCCCCCCATCTCATCTCACTCTTCTACCTCGTGTTTTTGGGTGCGTTGCTTTTGTGCACTTGCACAAACACCAACGTACAAAATTCGATCTATGTGCTTATTGGTTATCACCCCCATCAGAAGGATTATCGGTACTTTCATCCACCGTGTCGACATTTTTATGTTACTATGAATGTTACGCTTTCCGAGTATGAGATGTATTTTGCTCACCCAGTATCCCATTCTTCTCTTATGAGGGAGAGTAGAGTTGAAGAGTTGAAATGGATGGAGTTATTTCAGGATAATAGTGAGGTTAATTGGCTAGCTATGCGTGACTTGACAGCTAGTAACGAACCAACCTTCACAGTATCGGCTAGTACCGCACCTGAGACTGAACCTACCTGCACCACCGCACCCACAGTTGATAACGTCTGTGCTGCCCCTCTCTTTACTACCTTTCTAGTACTCGGCCCCGAGTCTCCTCATGCTGACATTCTTGAGGTAAGTATAGAATCTTTGATTAATACTAACAATGATTGTGAAATTATTGAGCGTAGTGTGTATCAGTTACCAACAATGAGTAATCGTGGGAAGCCACCATATGGATATTCACCATAGCCTACGACAAAGGTAAAGTATCTTATTTCTCATTATCTGTCTACTCACATATTATCTGAAGCTTGTCAGGCATTTGTAAATCAAATGTCTACTGTGCCTATTTCTAGTAAAGTACAAGAGGCATTATCTGATTCAAAATGGGGCAGTGCTATGAGTGAAGAGATCCAAACTCTTGAGAAAAATAAAACCTAGGAATTTGTGCAACTGCCAGAAGGGAAGAAACCAGTTGGTTGCAGATGTGTTATACCATAAAACATAAACCGGATGGTTCTATTAACAAGTATAAAGCCAGACTTGTTGCCCGAGGTTTTACCCAAACTTATGGTATTTATTATCAAGAGACATTTGCACCGGTGGCTAAGATCAATACCATTTGAGTTATATTATCTTTAGTTGCAAACTTTAACTGGTCATTGCAGCAATATGTTGTAAAAAATGTCTTTTTACATGGAGACTTACAGGAGGAAGTCTACATGTCATTGCCACCAGGTTATAATGCTCTTACTGATGCCAGTGTTATGTGTAAATTGAATAATGCACTGTATGGATTGAAGCAGTCTCTGCGAGCTTGGTTTAGGAGATTGCGTCGTGCCATGAAAAATATAGTTACGAGCAGAGCAATGCTCATCATACTTTATTTCTTAAAAGGAAGAATGGTAAGTTAACAGCTCTTATTATTTATGCAGATGATATGATCGTGACTAGTGATGATCTTGAAGAAATTGACAAATTAAAAGGCTATTTAGTTTATGAGTTCGATATGAAGGATCGCAATGGATTAAAATATTTTTTGGGTATTGAGGTAACTCGTTCTGAACATGGAATTTTCTTGTCACAAAGAAAATATGTTCTCGACTTGCTAAAGGAAATAGGTATGCTTGGGTGTGAACCGATTGGTACTCCTATAGAACAAAATCATGGTTTGGAAGAATATCCAGATCAAGTTCCAATAATAAGGGACGATATCAGAGGTTGGTTGGTCGCAGGGTCGTACCCACTAGCATGCTAACTTGGGCTAAAGCCCAGGTAACTTTTTTTTTTTTAAAAGTTAAATTAATACTCTAGCCTAGGTCAGAAAACACACAAATAAAAAAAGTAAAAAAAAGGAAAAGAAAAATATTGGTTCTTTGCCGTCAATCAATGGCTACAAATGGCAACCAATTTTATCATAATTACTTTCAATTTCAAACAAACCTTCATCCCAATAAGTATTATTAACTATTCACATTAGGACTAGACTATCCAAATAAAATATTATTAACTAATCCTATTAGAACTAGGCTAACCAACAAATAAATAAAAAGAACTAAACCCCACACCCCAAGTGAAAAAAATTAGACTCCCACTAGGCATAGACATTCCCTCTCTCCTTTACCCAAAAAAGAAAAAGAAAAAAGAATTCTCTCTATTGCATCAGCTAGCGGCTAACTCCTGCTCTTCGACAAGAAGGAAAATTATGCATGTCCTCAGACTTAATTAAAGCAAACTAAGGTAATCTTCCATTCTTCATCTTCTTTTCTTTTGAAATTTTGGGGATTATTTAGGATTTATGAAGTATCAATTAGGGAATTACAATTAAGGTTTATCAATTAGTTTTTTTATTTTGGTGTTCTTGCTTGCTTGTATGAATTGTCAATTAGGGATTTTAACTAACTATTTAAGTATGTAATGTTTTTTCTTGAAATTTTTGTTTTCATTGATTCGTTTGGTGCTTATTCTTCCTGTGCCTACAGCAACAACAGAACGAGCATTTTCATGTATGAGACTTATTAAAAATCGACTTCGGAATAAGATAGGTGATGAGTTTCTTGTTGATTGTATGCTACTTCATATTGAAAGAGAATTAGCTGATAATATAGATAATGAATCAATAATTAGTGATTTTAATGCTGTGAAGACTCGAAGGGTGCAACTTATATAAGTGTTATGTGAGGGGTAAGGCTCATTATGTCTCCCCTGTGTATTTTTTTGTTATCAATAAAATTTACTTGTACCGTTGAGTTTTCAATAGGTTTGTGCATAAGTTAAATTTAGCCCATGTCATTCTGAAATCCTGGGTCCGTCCCTAGTTGGTCGTTTGATATATTTGTCTCACATTTGACCTGATATTGCATATGCAGTAAGTGTTGTAAGTAGGTTCATGCATAATCCAAGTCTATGATATATGGATGCAGTAGTCCGAATTTTGGGGTATTTGAAGTTTGCACCAGGAAAAGGTATGATGTTCTTAAAGCATGGGCATGTAAAGGTTGTGGGGTATACAGACTCAAATTGGGCAGGAAGGGGGGATAAGAGGAGATCGACATTTGGTTATTTCACGTTTGTTTAGGCAGTAACTTGGTTACTTGGAGGAGTAAAAAGCTTAAGGTTGTCTATTTGTTAAGTGCAGATGCCGAATATCGGGCTATGGTGAAAGGTGTTTGTGAAGTGCTATGGTTAAAAAGGCTTATGGGGGAGTTGATTTTCCTACTGAGGATACTATGAAGTTGTATTGTGATAATTAGTCAGCAATTAAGATTGCTGAAAATCCAATTCAACATGATATAATGAAACATGTAGAGATTGATCGAAACTTTATTTATGAGGAATTGGAAGAGAATATTATTGAAGTTCCGTATGTTAAGACTATTGAACAATTGGAGGATATGTTGACCAAGGCTGTATCAAATCGAGCCTTTACAGATTCACTTGTCAAGCTGGGTATCTGCGACATCTATGCACCATATTTAGGGGAGTGTTGGCGTGAATCACAATAGGAATTGTAGACAATTGCCTTTATTATAATTGATTTGTAATTATAGAAATACCGGTTTAACTTGGATTGTATTTATTTCCTTTTTCCTTATTGTAATTACTTACTAGATAGGCTTGTATTTGTATCACTATAAATACCTCATTGTAAGAAGAATAGAAACATACTAAATTATTCTTAACCCTAAATTCTATTTGAGTGGTGTTAGTGTAAATAACTCTTTCATATAAAACCAACAGCCAAAAATGGAAAAAAATTATGAAGCAATTTTCCTTCCAGTGGTGATTGTGAATTGAGATGAGTGAGAGAGAAAGACTTAAGAGGCTAAAAGAATTGACAAAAGCTCGTGACTCATCTGCTCATCATTGGCACTAGCTGGTTTTCATGTAAATTTGCAGTATGCAAGTTGTTGAGGCCTAAAAAATCCAGGGTTGAGCCCAAATAAATTCCCAACCTAGTGCGACACCTTATTAAGAAAAGACCCGGTTCGGAGCAGGCAAAATTTGTCATGCATGCTTGCAGAAGCCACGATCACGTGCCATGCCAAATAAATATGTAATCATCACGCTAAGAATTGAAATGAGCCTATAAAAGACATTGGCTCTACAAGCCCATGCTAATTATCCCATCAAGCATCATATCCCTTTTCAAGGACGATAAAATTCAAGCACGCCTGCCAAGCGGAAAATCATTATTTTTACACCTAGCCACCCTACAAGCTTAAGTGGGCCCAAGCCATGCAAATGCTCGAGGCTTGCTGAATGGGTTGTGGTATGGATAGTAACTAGCATTCATGAGGCCCATTGATGAGCTGAGAAATTGAAGTTTTGGGCTGCTTGGGAGCCCCAAAACTCGAGCCCATTTCTTGAGCCCAAATATGTGGGTAAGCATAAGGAGAGAAATAGGAAGCCCATTACTTTAGAAAATTGGCCTATCACCCTAATAAAAATGGTTCATCACTTTAGGAGGTTGGCACATTCCTTTGTACACTAACCCATCACCTTAGGAAGGCCCAAATGACTAAGAAAATATCTTAAAGTCTCCAGCACATAGTTGGAGACAAAACAACGACAGAAGCCAAAAGCCACTCACGAAGGTGGACTGCTAGGAGTCTCCAGCACATGGCCAAGAAACAAACCCAAGGCAAACCACTTGAAGAACCAAAGGATATTAGCGCACGCAGCACCTTTCAGACCAAAGCTGTTATCCATCTCTTTCTCCTACCAGCTCTTGCCATGAATATGGGAGGAAAGAAAGAGAGGTGGTAACCAAAGATAAGAGATTGCCACTGGAACAGCTTCGGGAAGGCTCTATAGCCTCCAAAAATCTTGTCTTTGAGTGCTTGGACTAAGGAAGATTTCACAAAACATGGATGAATTAAAGGAAGAGAAGAGAAAGGGAGGGAGAAACTTGGCAAATTGGCTAGGAACTATCTAGGGTTTCTTGGGAAGAAAGAGCTTCCAATGCCTATAAAAAAAGGCATTTCTTACCCATCATCTCACAACACAGATCCATATAGCAAGTTTCATCTCTTATCCCTAAAACCTTTGCAATTTCGATCCCCATTCCTCCATCTCCTCCCATTTTCTCTTCTGGTAAATCGTTCCAGAGCTTGACAGAGCTTTCGTTAAGCTGCCAGAAACTACTCAATACACCCATTGTTATTCCCTCACATCTCTCTATTCAACGAACCCTTTTAGAACCCCTTCCTCCTTGCCTTAAACCCCCTGTTTCTCATAGGAATTCACAGCCCTTTCTCTCTTTAATGCTAAACTCATGACTGCTTTGCTTCCATGCCACAAGCTTCTCATGCCAAGCTAAGAATCTATCTGTAAGCGGCTGTTGTTTTTGTTGGTGAAGATAACCAGTGTGCTTCCTCAAGCTTCACTACCATTTCGAAACATTTTTGGGGTCTAATTCTTGAACTCAGACACAAGGGGTAATTTCACCCATTTGCTCCTTATGGCACCCTAGCTCATTTATAGCTGCCGGAACGAAAAAGCCCCCACACAAATTTTATTGAAATCACAATTTTCATTTTCTTTTATGGAAAGAAAAAAAAATTGAAACCAAATGAGTTTGATTCACATGAATTGCATAATGGGTATATGATTGTCACAAGTTATTTGTTGAAGTGTTTCTCATACGATGGCTCCAAAACCAGAAGCCAAAGAAGGGGAGAAAAATTATGAAGCAGAACCTAGCTTACCCAACGAACTAGCTTCGAATGAGCGAAAAAAATTTATCGAATCAGATACAGGGGCTGAGTTTTGCATGGCAGAGATGATGCAAGTGTTGAGTCTGATGGGGATGCTTGTCCCAATAGTCATAGGCCAAATCTCACATAACGAATCTCGATCCAACTTAAAGAGTATAAGATGGAGATCTCAAGTACTCTGAGTCTGAGAATTATATTTCCAACATGAATTGGGTTTTAATACTTATGATTAATTTATAGTTAAAATGATTTTATATGTTATATTAAAACACCGAGTGGAAAGAATCCACTAGTGTAGTGGTTTAGAGCAATTGCTCTCTCAGACAACGTCATGATGAGTTCGAGTTCTAGCATTTGTGTAGTTGAATTATTCATTTCAACAACTGAAAAGTTGGGCACCCTTCAGAAAGAAAGAAAGATAAAAAAAGGTTTCACAAACCGAAAAGTTGAATTATTCCTTTCAACAACTGGCAGATGAAGCATTTTACTGTTATCAACTTTACTACCGAAGAAAAGCTCACAAACCGTTTTAGACCAAACAATTAAGCATCTATTATCACTACTTGCAAAGTTCCATGCTTTATGTGCACGCAAAATCTAGTCCATATATGTTACTCGATTTTTTTTAATAATCAACTGTAGTTTACCAATTTCATCTGCGGAAATTACAAACAATACAAACTAGAAAATGAACCACAACAGGCAACACTTAGAACAAGAGAAACCTAACTCAAAAACAAGAAGAACAAGAATTTGTTTGAAATTTCATCCATTGGAATCAAGTATTATTTTTAAGTAGAGTGATTGGCTCGTTGCCAAACTATATATCAACAAAATATTAGCTAAAATATTGACAATGTACCATACACTGTAAATATGTTAGTACTCGATACCAATGTTTTCAAAGGCGAGGCGTATAGGCGAAGCGTTTTTAGTAGCGCTATGCGAGGCGTAAGCCTTGAAGCATTGAGGCGTAAGCCTTTTGAACATTAAGCTATTTTAATAAGAAAAATTTATGAATAATACAATACAATTAAATTGTACAACTAATTCTTATTCAACCATAACAATATTTTAAATATAATCAAATATAAGTACTAATTGTACCATTAATATTTCTAAGATACAAGTGTGATGAATGTATGTCAAATTTCTACTATATCACATAAACGAATAAGATAACTAGTATTTTTTAAAAAAAATTGAAAAAAACTTATACGAAACTTCAAATTATAATTTATTACAGTCAAATTATACAAGTATGATGCATATACGTCAAAAAAGAAAAAGGAAAAAAAAGACTTACTTGCAGTCGAAAGATGAAGAGAATTCTTGAAATTGATGAAGTTATCTGGTAAGGGTAGAAATTAGGGTTGTACACGTACTATACATATATATATATATATATATATATAGTCCATGTGTTAATTATATTAAAAAAAAGAAAAAAAAAAAAAAAAAAAAAAAAAAAAAGGTACAAAAGCTACAGCCCGTTGGAGTTAGTTAATTAAAAGAAAGATATTAATTCTTGCCTATTAGAATAAAGGTATGGAAAAGAAAAACTGAAACTTACGGTTTTTTTTTAAAAAACACACTCCAAGTGAAACGACGTCGTTTCAATATAAGATTGTTTTTAAAACACTGCAACCAAAACGACGTCGTTTCGTTGCAAACCTAAAAAAAAAAATTGAGTCGTCTTCCTCGCGAGTTCGTCTGCCTCACAGAAAATTTGCAGACTTTCAATTTCTTCCGATTCAGAAGTTTCCAGATCTGGTACACCTTGCAACGCTTTGCTCCGCCTGGCCACGCCTTGCAACGCCTTCTCACGCCTTCCCAGCGCTAAACATGCAACTCGCGAAACAGCCGGACGCCTCGGGCGTTTTCCTCCCGCCTCGCGCCGACGCGCGCTCCGACGCGCGCGAAGGCATGCCTTTGAAAACACTGCTCGATACCAACAAATTCTTTTCCGGAATAAAGAGCCATGAGGCATGTGACTTGAAGAATATTAGAATACTTTTTTAAGGTCCAACATGTGCGCAGGGGACCAGGCAGAGCCCTATATAAATGGGATTGAATTCATAATGCAAGTCATTCAAGCCCTAGTTAATTCCTTATCCTTGGTAGTTTTGCAGTTAATAAATTAGAAGAAGATGGTTTGGGAAACAAATAGGTATAAGAAACCGATCAAGGTTCCCTACACAAAGGGGCAGATAAGGAACGTCTTCAAACGTCATGAGACGAATGGAGATGGTCAACTTTCCAAAGAAGAGCTGGACGCAGCCTTCGACGAACTTGGTGCAAAATGGCCTCCTTTTAGAGCTTGGTTTGCTCGACAGTATGCAGATGACAACGGCGATGGCTTCATTTCTATAGAGAAGGAGCTCAGCAAGCTTGTCGAGTATGCCCTAGAATTGAAGTATACTCTTCATTAATTATAGTATTAATTAGTGGGTAACTAGTTCTTGTATGTGCTTGCTATATATATATTCTCAGCAAGCTTATTGACTATACCCTCAATTGAAGCTCTCTATATATGTAATCGTAGTGGTGGAGCTAGACTTGGTATCTTAGTGGCCACAACCACTTCAAGTTTATATGTAACTCCGTCCGTGTGTAAGCGTCTTTAATTACTTGTAAGCAACTGTAGTACCTATATATGTGTGCAAGGTTGAGGGAACGAAAGAGGTGACCTTTTGTTTCCCCTCTTACCAGGGAAGATGAATTTGAACCCTGATTGTGTATAATATATAGTGATTAACAAGAATAAAGTAACTTACTTTGTGTATTGATATCTATTACGTATATATGTGTACGTAAGTGTGTCTATATATTTATGTATGTACATATATATTGTATTACATCAGTATACATACACAACTTACACTGATAAAGGCTCCATGTTATAGAGATTACTACAATCCACTCAACACCACATGTGGAAGCATGGACATGAGCAGAGCAACTTAATATGATTCCATATCAATATCTTGTTCAAGTGGCATGGAGATTTAAATTTAAAATCTTCATATAAGTATATCAAAAAAGAAAAAGAAAAAAAGAAAGATCTCTCACACAACTTTTCATTGTTATAACTCTTTTCTATAGAACTATTTCCTAGGGGTGTACATTGGTTCGAAACCAATATAATTTCACAAATCCACATTCGATCTAATATAGATTGGATTATAATTTTCTAATCCAATCCGATCACATTAGAGAGGTATAAATCCAATCCGATTTGATCCAATTTATATTGGATATTAGACTAGATTGGATGATCGGTTTTCATAATGAAAAAAGATAATAACAAAATATGAAACATTTATCTTCAATTTTAATATAATCAAACACTTTAATAGAATGTAAATTTAAAGTATCAATGAAATGCTAGAGAGAATTATTCTGATTTTATAATATATATTAAACATAACTTCATCAAATTACTTAAAATATTTATAACTTTCTAAATGAAAATTGCCTAATAAAAAAATGAGCATGAAACTAACTAGATTGGATTGGATTGAATTTGATTGGATCCTCACAAGCAAATCCGTCATCCAATCCAATCATATGTCGGTTTTGAAAATTAGGGATCCAATTCACTCCACAAAATCATCGAAACATATTAAAATTGGATTGGATTGATCGGTTTAGGGGAATTAAATTGGATCTTGCACACCCCTACTGTTTCCTTTGGTGAGCATTTACATTATACGTCACGATCTCTTAAAACATAGCACAACAAAATGAATAAATTTTTTTCAATAAAACATAGAAATATTCATGAGGATAATCAAATGGTCAAATGATTTCAAATTTGTTGATTTTCTTAAATCGAGATTGAAAAATTAGACAGTTCATAGCCTTAAACCACATGTGGAAGTGCCCAAAAAAGTAATTATTTCATGCATATTATCTACAAAAGAGTTCAATTTGTAAATAAATTTCAATTTTTTATACAAGTGATGTCTAAATTATTGTAAATTAATTAAATTTACGGGAAGGGAGGTTTGAACTTAGGTGTAAGGAGGCGGGCTCACTTTACTGACCAATTTGCATAATCCACATCTACAAATCATTCTTATTAATAAATTAAATAAAAGAGCATAAACAAAATATGAGACAAAAAAATTAGAAAGAATTATGGTATATGTATACACATATATGATATATATACATGTCGCTTAACGAACAAATGAAAGGGATGAAAAATGTTACTCTTTTTTTTCTTTAATGAAGAAAAATGTTACTCTTTTTTATCTTTAATGAAGAAAAATGTTACAATTTATAAATGGATAAAGTCACACACACCAAATACCAAGTCACATAAGTTAGGGGCAAAAAGGCAGACATTTCAACTGGCATGGAGGTCCCGATATTACACTTATGTTTATTTATTAATATTATACTATAGACTCATAAAATATCAACTATGTTGTTCATCTATATATATGACAAAAACGATATTCTAAATTACTCCAACCTACAGATAGGCAGGTTTGAATTCGAGTTCAGATTAAAGTTTCTCCACCCATATTAATAGCATATCAAGACACTGTACACCCAAAACCTTTTCATAATTTACAAGAAAATCACACCCCTCCCCCCACCTATTTGGATGAAGGCTATCGCTTTGATCGATGATATGCATGATTATCCATCCCTGGTTATCCATATGGCATATATGTGGGATATACTAAAAACTACAAAAAAAAAAAAAAAAAAAAAAAAAAAAAGCAACAGTCACTATTATTTGGTAACTTAATGCGAGGGTGACTAAATGTCACCAATAATAATAATGTATTATTTTTTTTTTTTTTTTTTTTTTTTTTTTTTTTTTTATTTGGTAGGGTGATTGTCCCAATAGTCATTGGCCAAATCTCACATATAATTGTTCCCAATAGTCTTCGGTTTGATTCTTATAAGGACAAACCATGTGGCCTTCGTGTTTGTATATATGCCTTTGGTCTGAGGATTCTATTTCCAACATGAATTTAGGGATTTTAATTCTTATTGTTAAAAAATGATTCATCATGTTGGCCAGCGGAAAAGTTGAATTATAGATGGAATAAAAACACAAACGGAAAAGTCGAATTATTCCTTTCGATCACTGTTCATAACAACACTGGCAGATGAAGCATTTTTACTATCATCACTTGCAAAATTCCATGCTTTATTTGCACGCACAAATCTGGTCCATGTATTTAGTATTATCGATTGTTTGACTCAACTGTAGTTGGATGAAATTACATAGAATACAAACTAGAAAATGATCAAGTACAACATGCAACACTTAGAACAAGAGAAACATAACTCAAAAACAAGAAGAACAAGAATTTGTCAGATATTTCATCCATCGGAATCAAATATTATTTTTAAGGAGAGTGATCTGCTCAATGCCAAACTATATATCAACAAATTATTTGCTAAAATATCGACAATATACCATATACTGTAGACATGTTAGTTCTCGATACCAACAAATTCTTTTTCAGAATAAAGACCCTTGAGGCATGTGACTTGAAGAATATTAGAATACTTTTTGAAGGGCCAACATGTGCGCAGGGGACCAGGCAGAGCCCTATATAAATGGGATTGAATTCATAGTGCTAGTCATTCAAGCCCTAGTTAATTCCTTATCCTTGGTAGTTTTGCAGTTAATAAATTAGAAGAAGATGGTTTTCGATACAAATTATAAGGTCGCGACCAACGTTCCCTACACCGAGGAGGAGATAATGAAAGTCTTCAAAAGTCATGACAAGAATGGAGATGGTCAACTTTCCAAAGAGGAGCTGAAAGAAGCCTTCAAAGAACTTGGCTCGAAATCTCCTCCTTTAAGAGCTTGGTTTGCTAAAAATTATGCAGATGACAACCGCGATGGCTTCATTTCTATAGACAAGGAGCTCAGCAAGCTCGTCAAGTATGTCCTAAAATTGAACTATACACTTCATTAATTATAGTATTAGTGGGTAACTAGTTCTTGTACGTGCTTGTTATAGATATATTTTATATATATATATATATATATATATATATTTATAGGATAACTAGTTCTCAACAAGCTCGTTGACTATGCTGTCAACTGAAGCTCTATATATGTGAGTGTATATATAAACGTAGTGGCGGAGCTAGACTTGGTATCTTGGGGGGTTACAATCACTTCAGGCTTATATATGACTCCGTTCGTGTGTAAGCATATGTAATTATTTGTAATTCGTATTACCTATGATACTATGTATGTGTACATCTATTAGGTATATGTATGTGTGTCTCTCGTTTCCGCTCCTATGATACTATGATTTAAAATTATTTAGGTAGAGGAAACGAAGGAGGTGACCTTTCTGTGCCTCTCGTTTCCGAGAAAGATGAATTTGAACCCTGATTATGTATAATATGTAGTGATTAACAAAAATAAAGTAACAAACTTTGTGTAGTGACATCTATTAGGTATATGTATGTGTGTCTATATATTTATGTATGTTATATATATATATATATATATTGTAGTACGTACTTATATACGTACACAACTCACACTGATAAAGTTCCATGTTATGGAGATTATTACAATCCACTCACCACCACATGTGGAAAGATTGTGATATGAGCAGATCTAGAGCAATTTCACATGCATCCATATCAATATCTTGCTCAAGTAGCATAGAGATTTAATGCATGGGCAAGCTAACTTAATGCTGACGTCAGCAATCAATTTAAATAAAAAAAAAAATTGAAAAAAAAAAAAAAAAAAAAACAAACCCAAAAATTTAGATTTTTTATTATAAATAAATACCTAACCATATTCTTCACTTCCCACACCAAAACTCTATACAAATTCCTCTATTTATATCTCATGTGAATAGTAGTTGTCCTTGGATTGCCATGACAATGAATGGAAAACCAACAAAAAAATTGCTAGTGCTGGCACTTTTCATGTGAATAGTAACATCTCTTGCATTCCCTTACCTTTTGCCATGACAAATGGGTGGAAATGCTCTTAAATGATGATTTTTAAATAGTGATATGAAAACTAGACATTTCATATCCTTGAACCACATTTTGAAGTGCCCAAAAAAGTCTAATGTAATTATTGCATTCATATTATTTACAAAATATAGTTAGATTTATAAATAAATTTTTTTTTTTTAATACATACAATAGTCTAAATTAATCTAAATTATGAGAATGTGGTTTGAACTTAGGTGCAAGAAGACGGAATTAGGGATCCTCAACCCTAACGAGGGGAGATTTCAGGGAAATTCGAGGGCAGGTACAGGGATCCCCGAATTTTAAAAATTCCCTATTGGATATGGGTTGGGGATGGTATTGTTATCCCTATTCCTGAACCCGGCCCGATAAATAATAAATTTATTTTTAATTAAAATAAATAAATATATAATATAATATAACAATTAACTTCTTTTCATTTCTTTCCTCTAAGATACTTGTTGTATTAAGTCTTGAACGGATAATCAATTGTAAATCTGCTATTCCAAAAGAAAATGTGTTTTCTTTGTGGTAAATACCAAATTGAAATGTTGCACCTCACTGACTTTTAAGTTTTAACTTGAGCAAGGATACAATGATAACGAGGTTGTTTTTGGTTTTGATTACTTTCGCACTGGGACTTTCCTTCAAGTTCAATAAAAATCATACATTTTTGTACCTTGGATATGACCTGGTTACAATTGATTTTGCCTAAATGGGATTATAGTATTAGGGGGTCATATTCTTTCTTTTTTGTATATGGCATTCAATTTAATTTCATGCCCATCTCTTACTTTCAAAATAAAAATTGTAAGTTGCATGGGATACCTTAATACCACAATAATGATCGACATCCAACCAATTTGTTGGGCTGCATTTGTTTGTATCGATAGAGGTTTTTAATTACCGAACCAACATTAAGAAAATATTCAATGTGTGTATATGTGTTCGTTGTTTTATAAATAAATCGGGGATTTAGGGTGGGTTTGGGAGATATTTTTCCAACGGCAACAAGGACAAGGATTCTCGAAAATTTCTTATCGGAGATGATATTGCCATACCCAACTCCTAACTGGCCCGTTGCCATCCTTAGACATAAATACCGTATATGTATATGACAAAGGAAAGGGGTGAAAAATGTTACTCTTATTTTTTCGTTAATGAAGAAAAATACACTTTATAAATGGATAAAGTCACACACACCAAATACCAAGTTAGGAGGAAAAGGCCACACATTCTTTTCTACTGTCATGGAGGCCAACGTGCACTACATCCACATGCCAATATATGCCATATGCCACCTACACAACACAGCCGAAAGTGCATGGAATCCGTGTCTTTTTAAAAGGAATCTCTTTTTAATGTGGGAAAGAGATTGTTAGGTCGCGACAACACTAATTTTCTTTCTTTTCATTCGGAAATAGATTTATAAATACCAAATTATTCTAGCTAATTAACTTTTGGTTTAGTGGTAATTATCTTTATTTAACTAGAAGAAATTTTTTTGACTAATCCAAATAGGTGGACCGTATATATTTGTGGTGAGTTGAATACACATAATTCTTTTTATTTATAAAAAAACACAATTATTCTAATTGTTTTGCCTCCACACACAATTTCAGCCATTTGTCTTAGTCTAAACATCTCTCACTCTTAATTAGCAATGTAGAGAGAGAGCAGCAACGATTCTTGTCTTTTTTTTCTATTTTCTATTTTCTTTTAGTAACCATTCTAGAAGGTATTAAAATTGAAGGCACATAAGCCGTACGTCAAAATTTTCCACAAAGTTCATGTTTATTTCATGATTAATTAGAATCTAATACCCTAATTAAAAAAGACTAAACTAAGAAGAAAGAGTCAGAGTGAATACAAGGACAAGTTATAAATATATGAATGAGAAGTAGAAGATTTTCAGGCTTTCACAAACAAAAAAAGGTTATCATAATATGGCGATTAAAAGTCGATGCATCACCAGCGAGGCAAGCATGTTATGACAACCGAGGAGTTGAAATAGTGGCTGAAGAAATTTGATATGGACAAAGATGGCCGTATTAGCAAAGAAGAACTCCGTCAAGCTATCTGCGCCACTAGAGGACGCTTCGTCACGTTCAAGAGCAGGCTCGGGTTACGGTCTACAAATGCGGATCGCAATGGCTTCATTGATGAGGATGAACTCAACAACCTTGTAGATTTTGCATAGAAGCATTTAGGTGTCAAGATCATACATTTCTGATCACCTCTATCTAATCTAGTGTACATGCACTCTATAGAGTGAATTCATAAATAAAATGCTTATTTACTGTAATGCCCTCTAAAACTATGGTCAAATATCACTTTACCCTATGAAAGTTAAGTGATCCACTTTACCCCCTTGACCAATGTCTTGCGTATCAATTTACCCACCACCATAAGTCAGTCAAAAATTCGGTTAAAAATGTTGACGTGGCACAAATAGGACCCACAAGTTGGTTGAATTAGATGCCACCTAGGTGAGATGTGTAAAATTAAATAAATAAATAAATAAGATTTTCTTTTAAAAACTTAACTCAATTATTAATAATAATATTTATTTTTTTATAAAAAAAAATTTCCAATCCCCTCCTCCAAACCCAGTTAGGCATACCCAACCTCTTTGTATCCCTAAATATGCCCCCATCATCCTTTCTCCTCCCTTTGCAACCAACCACCCCACCATCATACATTACCACCCAAACCCACCACAAGCCATGCCCATATCACTTTCCCTCTGCAACCAACCACCACCCCACCATCATCCATAACCACCCAAACCCAGCACAAGTCATACCCACCGCCAAAAAAAAAAGCAATACAAGAACAACGAATACATTTGCGGCGGGGATGGGTTTGTGGGTTGCGGGGGCAAAAAGCTTGGTGAAGAAGATGGTGGCGTGGCCTTGGTCTTCAAGGGTTCGATCTGATATTGTGGTTGGATTCAATCTGTGAAAGATCTAGGATGGCGATTGGGTTGAGTCCTCAGTGAATCTGGAGTATCTGGCTCGTTCGATCTGGAGAGAGACAGAGAGACAGAGAGACAGAGAGGTTGTCTTGGGGTGGGGAGACGTTGGGATGGAGGCCCCTCCTCTCAGCCGAGCCTGTTACACTAGATCCTCCTCACCATCATCAAAATCACAACAATCGTGGGCAATATTTTAAGGCAATTCCTTATTACAAAGAGACCACATTTTATAGATATGATTTTATATAACCGGGATTTATAAATAATAATAATAAAAAAAAAGGGTTGGCTAGGTACGAAGGGTGGGGGTGGGGTGAGGGAGGAGATTTATTAGTGGCGATGGTGGAGGGGTGTGGAGAAGATGGTGTTGCTGGTTTTTATAATTTCCTGTTAATTTTTTCTTTTTCTTTTTTCTGTATTTTTATGGTTATTTTTCTTTTTTTTTAATTAATAATTGAGTTAAGTTTTTAGTAAATTTGGCTTACACCCTTCAAATTCAATTTGCCGTACCTAAAACCCTTCACTTTTTGTTCCTATAAATAATACCCAATTTGTATAAGTAAAAACCTATGACTAGGATCTAACTCAGCAAATTACCTAATTTAGCATAAAATCTGATTTATTGTACTTTTCAGATTCCAAAAATACCCCCAACTAAGCCATTATTGCATTTTGTATATTAATGTAGGAATCAATATGGAAATAGTTTTTAATTGGATTGTATATAATGACAGATGTTGAATTTGGAAAGATCTCCAAATGGTTGTAATGGATGTAAGAATTAATTTTGAAACATTTTAAAAAAAATTTAACAATAAATTCAAATTTGGGTAATCGGTCTGTTTAATAAAATGTTTATGTTATTTTCTTTTTATGAATTATACATGACTAATAATCCACTTTATAATTGTTTATGAATAAAACTATACATACTAATTATGTTGAAAAAATAATGTACCTATTACTTGTTTGTTTTATGAAAAATATAATTTACCTAGTATGAAAAGTGTACATAATTATCTATTCCAATATACCTACATTATACGACATCCAATATACCTACATTAATTTTAATGTACTTACAATTAGGATTTAGGTATTATATGTCATCCAATGTACCTACCATTTGAATAATATACCTACTACGAATAAAGTACCTATTATTTATCTAATTAATGTACCTATTTTTTTCTATAAATAATATAGCCTTTTTTCTCTGAATAAAGTACCTATTATTTGTTTTATTAAAAGCAATTTTTTTAAAGGAACCTATTTTCTCTCTCCAAACCTATTTTTTCCTCTAATAATGTACCTATTTTTCCTCTCCAAATAATGTACCTATACACATTTACAGGTATATTGTAAAATAATTTACCTGTGGGTAAATAATGTACCTATATTTTATATAAATTATTGTGTACATATTTTTAATTATGAAAAATATACGCAATTAAAAGTAACTTTGTTTTTTTTTTTTTTTTTTTTTTTTTTTTTTTTTGGTAATATACCTATATTTTATATGTATATATTTATATTATATTTTTCATAGGTACATTATTGGATATGTAATTTACAGAATTTTTTTTTGTTTGCAATTTTAGTGGGCAAGATGTGAGAGGGAATGACAACTAAAAGAAATGGGGTGATTGATATGCTATTAATAGGGAGTATATTAATTACAATTATGGCAGTTAATGAAATGCTTGAAATAAAATTATAAATAAAATATGAAGTTTAGTGGCAACGATGTAAAAACATAGAAATACTACGACCTCTTATATCCTACTGGTCATTTAAATTTGAAATTGGGTTTTACACATAGATTTATAGAGTGATGGGTATATGTCTAGGAAATAGAAAATGTATGGGTCTATATTAGACAAGCCCTTAAGTTTTTCAAAATAACATCTTTATTTTTTCTATTTTTACACATGGTATCCAATTCAACAAACTTGTGAGTCTCATACATGCCATGTCAACTTTTTTAACAGAGTTTTTGACTGACTTGACATTAGAGTATAAATTGAGATGCAAAATATCAGTGTTTCAAGAGACACTACAGTAAATAAGCCTAAATAAAAGAAGAGTGCTAGTGACATATGTGGATATAGTAGCTCTTGACATATAAATGCCATTTGTGTAGCTCCAGTTGTATCATCATTTTCCTTTTTTTTTCCTTTTTTTTGAAGCGTTATTGGGATACAAGTGAAATCAAACATAGGATTACAAGTAAAATCAAACATAGGACCTCGGGTGTATTGATGCTTACTTGGAACCCATGTGAGAAAATGACATTACATTTGGAAACAAGAACTTTCCACACCAAATGTGTGGGCCTATTTTACCCATGCGACTTCCAATAAGACTTACAGATTGAAGTGTTCATGGGCAGACTATACAAAATTGGATTTAACAGGAGGTGAGACTGATTATCCAACTCTTCCTTGCATATCTTCCATATATTGTTTCAGGTCGCCAATAGATAAGCCAGCCCAGAACAAAGGAGACATTTAGCCATTAGTTCCAAGCTACATACGACCTGTGAGATTTGCCACCAAAATGTCTTCATAAAGCATTGTCATTCTACAACTCAAAATCACATGCAGAGTTTCTGACAGATTATAAGAAAATGAGAAATCAGGATTTACCTCACCAATTTTAGAACTAACCATATGACAAAAGTCATCTGTCTCCATATCTAGAGAGGGATAGAGAAAGCAATGAACTCTCTTCAACACCTCAAACATCGATATTAGGCGGTGGGAGTTTCCAGAAATTCCACGAATTATAGTCCTCCTGTAATGAACATGCCGGAAAGAAATTAGATATTCAAACTTGCCGGCTCTTGCTTTTGAAAGAAGGCTCCCCAACTATAACAAACTTAAAATGAAAAAGTAATGCAGAACCAAAACCTGCTCGGATGAGTTTGTGGGTGGAAACATGCCATTCACAAGAGCATGAAGGGAGGTATATGACTTCGTGTCAATACTGCGGTTCACAGCAACCTCACCCTGCATACCCAAATATCACAAAGAAAAGTTGGCATTTGGCATAACTAAATTATAAATATTTAGATTGCTGCTAAGGTATGATGAAGATCTTAATTACCTTGGGATTAATAATGAATATTTTTCCTTTAGGGATTCCAACCTTAAGGTAGCTGAATTCATCAGTATCTCTGTTTCCAAAACCAGCATAGAATGGATTGCAATCAGAAGGGAAGAGTGATTTTATATCCTGGAAAACAGAAACGTAAGATATTAAAATACTGTTTTTTATTTTAAAAACAGAAAAAATAGGTGAATATATCAAGATAAATATGTAACAGAAACTAACCTCTAAGCACGAAATCTTGAATTCATGAGGAGCTCTCCTGATAACTGAGGAAAACAGAACGTCAGTCGATGCATTAGAAATTAGATAGGATTTAGTGACCAGAAAATTACATTCCTGGTGATCAAATGAAGTAATTTCTTAGCATGGAAAACATTAATATCACAGCCATTGAAATATTTTTCTCCACTAATGCATTATTCAACAAGATAAGAATGCTCCTAAACTCTATGGAAGGCAGTTTACCAGTTCAGTTTATTGTCAAGATACGTGCAAAATGAAAAATGGAACAAACATATAAGATGCTTGAAAACTAAATGGCACATATTGCAAATAAATTCAACCTCTCTTTAATTTATAGAAAAAGAAGTGCATTAGAGACCACTTACCTTCCCGAAATAGAGAAGGAAAAAGTCCATCTGGGGAAATAACAACGGGCCCATCTGGTAAAGCCTTTCCATCCTATTTGAAAACCAAGAAATAAATAAACATGAGGTTTTGGTTTCTTGATATTGATTTATCAAATGCAAGTCGAGGATTTAGCATGAATTAATTATACAACACCTGCTTAAGGTTGAACAAAAATTGTCTGGTGTTATAGGCCTGAGAAATGGCACGTGCACTCAAAAAAAGTAATTGATATCCATTCTCCTGCAGTATGTGGAAAAGAATAATCAGATCCTTGGAAGTTTCAATGTCAGTGTAGTGAGTGTAGTCATGAGTTCATACAGAAAGCACAATGAAAGGTGAGATGAGACAAAAGGAACATTATAACAAAACATGAGCCTTGTAATTTTTAGGGTGATGACACAATACAACTGAATAAGTGGGCCAGAGATGGGGCCAACAGATTAGGTTGTGGGAAGTCGCCGAATGAAATTTTAACTAAATATGGTGGCTAAATGAACTGGCCATCCCATCAAATGGTATGGAGCCAATTCACCCAACCCACCAGAGTGCTTAATTATGCATATCAAGGAGTGATGAATGCAATATTCATATTGCAATCAGTCAATAAACACAATTTGAAAATCCTGAAATTAACATAACATGAGAACAAAACAAACCTTAATCGCTGAAAACAAATGCGTAACACCTGTTTGTGACCAATCTACCCCAACCATGGGCATGAATTGACCTAGAACATCTGATCTACAAAACCGATGCAAATCAAATGGGATCAGACAAATCAGGAGAAGAACTGGACCATTGTAGAAAACCTATTGTCATACTTCGATCTTATCTTGTTAATAATTTTCTCAGTGTACAATTTTGAACCCAAAAAAAAAGATTTGTTCTTTTAAGAACAGCTTACTTGGTTATTGTCCCATCCACATCTGAGATCACTATACGAGTGTTCCATTTCCAGAGATAAATTCTGGCATCAACCTGTTGAGTTTCAAAAATGAGAAGAAAGCACAGTAACCTATTTATGGGGGAAAAAAGCTAACAAATTAATCAAATAAAAATGAAAACCTACAGCCAGAAAGTGAACCCAAATAAAAATAACAACAAACTACCTCCTGCTTCCCTAGCATTGCAGTAGAAAATCTGAAGGTTACTGTATTCCTCCCTTCCTTCAGGTTCAAGGACGCCAGCTGCTCAGATGTTGGAGTGAGTACCCTTTCTGTTTTCTTCATCCCCTTGGGTGAAAGCATATCCTTATCTCCATCCATTCCAACGGTGCTCTTTGAAGCATTCTCGGCATCGGGATTTCTACTGTCATTCAAATCTGGCTGTATAGCCTTACTGGAATTTGATCTCCTGAAAGCGAATGGCCAGAGTATCCAGCTTCCAGTGGAGGCAACACTTGCATTCGATGGATCTCCTGTAACAGTTTTCTCAATTGGGTGAACAGCTGTTATACTTTTTCAATCAAATATTTGCTCTTTCCCAACTGAAATCATCCCTAAAACAATCGAAGCAGCCACAACCCATGGAAATCAATGACCACTAATTCTTACAACAAGCCTATCATATAGATAAAGTAAATTTATGAAATCCAGGATTTTGGTGTCAAATGCTTGAGAAGCAGTGTCAGCTCCCATCCCTTCCTCTAACAAATGTTTGCAGAGAGGTATCTTTCCATAAAGCAGAACTTATGCAGCTTTCTACAGTTTGCAACTTTAGGAATATTTATGCACCAAAAAAATAAATGAGATCATCGCAATTTGCATCACCTTGCAAACTCAGGCAATAAGTCTAACTCAGAATGAAGTGAAGGAAACTGGTTAGTGAGTTGAGTCATCACCAACTAGACTCCAATGGCAGTGAAAAAGAAATTCACTCTGACATGGAATATATCATTTCTTAGCACCATAATATAACCTTTACCAAGGAAAAAAAAACAAACAGAGTCTGTTCAATTGCCTGAAAAAGGATATATTTCATTCCAGTGCATGAAAATACCCAAAATGTAAAATATCATAAAAGTCAAAATCCAAGTTTCTTACCAACTGGACTGACAGGAACATCTTTGAGCTCTGCTGAACCCTGAGCATTCTCAATACCAGGTATTTCTAGTGCTAACTGTTGCTCTTCGTCTCCTTCCAACTTTCTACAGCTCAAATCATGTTTACCTTGACATATCCACTTCAAGGGGTTGGCACTTGAATCCAGAGAACGGCTTAAAGGATTCTGAAGATCAAGTACACTCAACTTGTCAGTCTGAGGCCTCATATTGGGTAATGACTCTACCAGCCTCCCAACTTCCTTATCAGCTGCTTTATGTCTTCTAGGAATACCAATTGCAGCCGATGTTGCCCTCAGATTTTCAATTGATTTCTCAAAATCATTAGAGGTGTTTTCTTGAACAAACTTTTCTGGATATGAATATGATTCATAATTTGTAGTGACCGATTCTTTATTGTCTTTTGGACTACATGAGAGACTATTTTCTCCATCTACACAAGATGGAGAACATGACTTGATGCACTGAACTTCGGTCATTCTGATTTCGTCATCACTGAAGAGGAACTGTTGTTCCTCTAATTTCAGTGGTGGCAGCACACTTGCTGCTTCTGTCACAACACCACCATTAATAGACCCAGAAGGGGTTTGTAAATCACATGTGATATCTTCATCTTTTCTATCTTTATCATTTTGAACTTGATGGCCAGAGTCGTTTAAACTAGATATGCTCTGTGACTCAACTTCTTTGACTGAATAATGTAATGGATTTTTATGGACCATTTGCTCATAGCATTCTGGAACTTTCGCTGGCCCTTCAAGGTCCATATTATAGTTACCTGTGCATGAATGAGCAGCTGTTTCTGGAGAATAAGTTTCAGGACCCTCCACTGGTTGCACCTTCATGGCAATATCTTCAACAAGTTTCTCAGCATCTATATCCTGATGAAGAACACTAAACACCTCAGTCTCAACGACTATTAAAACCCAGGTGCATGCTTTGTTGACAACGTTAGCTAATTGATAATTTCTAACCAATTTATGTTTCCTCACAGTCAAGCATATTTGCATCGCTTAATAAGTCATAATAAACATTCCATCTTAAAATTCCTAAATAGGTTAAAAATTCTTCTAGTTACTATTGCCACAGATTTGATAGGGAGATTACCTTTGATAGAAATTCAGCTATGGCATGCACTGTTTCAGCATGAACATGAACTTGCCCACTTCCTCCTCTAGCAATGTACAGTCTTTCATGAGTATGTTCGCTGGAACCATCCATTCCCACTACTGAGCTCTCTGATGATTCACAGTAAATAAAAGAGTGAACTCTATCTATCCCATCCACCTTCTCGGAAATGTCACATCCAGGTAACAGAACATCTTTTTGTTCAGCAGAATGCTTGCCAGGACAAGCTTCCAGCTCAACTGAATGTACAATTTGTGGATCAGAACCTGTGATATTAGATATGACTGCAATTTCCTTCCCATCATGTTCAGTTGCCTCAATCATAGATTCATCAACATCACTAGATACTCTAGACAAAGGCAGAGATGAGCTCGCCCTGGTTTGCTCAGAATCAATCCGCATTTCTTCATTAACCAACATATTGGGAGAAGAAAAACGGGAAGCACTATTCCTCCTGGGTTTATTAGTGGCAAGACTAGTGGACCAGTTCACCTCCAAAAGGTTTGCTGCAAACTCTGCACGCTCCAAAGAATCCACCTTACTTACCGTGCTATCATCACCCTCTTCCTCCTTACACTTGCGCTCCTTCATTGACCTGCTTCCAAATAGCCCAAGAATTCGTGACTTGCGGGAATTAGTCCTGGCCAATATCTTCCCATTGGGTGTATCAATCTGATCAACTGTTGCTAAACTTTCAGCACCATAATTGCAACTTGGGGTCTTCAACGGCTGCCTCTTTTCTTGAGATCGGTCATCATTCTCATCACTGGAAGACGAAGGATAAAATACAGCTTCCCCTTCTTCTACCTCCCTAAGAAAGTAAGCTTCCCCTTTATGATTCAAATACATGTGGAAATTAGCATCCTCCCCATTGACATTAATGTTGACCACCTTCTCTTTTGTCTTCAAAACCCCTTGAAATTTCCCAAACTTGACATTCCATGCTGACGATTTGAAGCTCCCATCTTCTTGCTCTACTACAATAATATCTATAGCCCCGCCAAAAGGGTGAAAGGGGCCAGAGACGGTGTACACGCCTCTGGATATGTAGCTCCCTAGCCTCCCAACCGCATACATCTTCCAATATTTGATTTCTCAGACCACCCAATTAACAAAAATCTCAACACTCAATCATAATTTACGACCCCTGTTGATTGCCTCAGGAAATCTCCAGGCTTTATAGCTTAAAGCAACGAACTTTATCCCAAGTACGTCCACACAACCACCAAAACTACCTCAAAATTCAATTTTGACACCACCAAGATGATCAATAAACAAGATTACAGTATAATTTAAGAACCCAATGGATCAAAACCCAAAATTTATTACGGTTTTAGCTCAAAGCAGTTATTGCATGGATCAGAAAGGAGCAAGATTTATCTCTAGGATCCCATTCTTTAATACGAAGCCCCACAAACCATTGGTTTTTAGATAGCCAACAAGTAAAAAATTGAGAAACAAACAAGAAAGCATCAATCAAAGACCAAAAGATGGGTCAAGAGGCTGTCTCTCTGCCACTATCAAAGACAAACCCAATTGAAGAAAGTGCGTGCCTGTCTGAGGAGCAAAATAAAATGAACTCACGGAACCGCCAAGCAAGAAAATAGCGGTTGGCGCAATGAAAGCATATTCGGTTTTAATTATCCGAATGTGCCAAACCACCAATCAACATTAAAATTGCAACAAATAAAAGCAGCGCATTTCCTTCCTTATCTCTCTTCTTCCTTCTTCTTCTTCTGACCGCAGGGCTGGTTGATCAAAACCCAAAAAGAAAAAAGAAAACATTAATTAATTTATCCAACTGAAATAATAATATTAGAATTGAGAATTGAGAAATGGAACTAACCTGAAAGAAGAAGGTCAGGTTGGAGAGAGAAAGAAATGGCCAGGGGCCTACAGTCTCGCTCTATCTCAACGGGGAGGGAGAGCAAGAGAGAGAGAGAGAGATATTGAGAGCTTCTTGTTTTCTTGGCAATCTGAGTTGTTGCATTTGGAGATATGATTGAAGTGGCAAGTTCATGTTTTTTTATATTTTTCTTTTCTGGGTTTGAGTTAGCAATTGAGTTAGGTGGATATTTGAATTACGTAGGCCCATGAAAGCCTCCCCTTCTTTTCTTTATTACGTCACTTTTGCCGCCATGTGGGCTTTGTCTTTTACAACAGAAAATATGAATTCCCTATTACTTACCTATTTACCTCAAAATCTTCGAAGCGCTTCAATTAGTACCACACCCTACTTTCTGATAGTTATTGTATTTTGGATCTTACATGTGTTATAATGTTCAAAATTTACTTACGAGCGAGTGAGCGATTGTTCTATCTTAATACTGTTATTCTCTTAAAGTTGAAGGAAAAAAACTCTTAAGCATTTCATGTGAATACAATGAATTTAGCGATAGTAGTTAACAGCGTTTGAATTACCTTCATGAACGCACAGAATTTTGAAGACAGCATATTCGACCTCACCGGCAACGCACACATCAACATAGGCATAGCTGTTGTGTTGCATATAGGAGGATGTCCCATTTTATTAATCATAAGATGGAAATCATCGGTTGGCTGTTAGGTGTTGACCACAACATGCAAGTCGGTTTATCTCTCTAAGATATTTCTTTCCAATTTCTGATTTTGCTACAGCAAGCAACAAGGGTCTTTCAAGTTTCAACCAGAGAGATAGAGCCGTAGAGACTAGGGCTCATGTTGGGAGGTTAATCAAACCGTCAAAAGGCAATAATGGAATTGGGCTGAGTCCCAGATAAGACCAAATGTTCCTTCTTGATTGTACAAGATGGACCTGACTCACTCTTGCACAAGCAGGCCTCCTCCGTTTCCAATCAAAACCGTGTCGTTTTGCTATCACTACATTCAAGGATTAAAATATCGGCCATGCATCGGGCCTCCAATTTACAGATATATCGTTATCATTTTAGGTATCGTGAAAAAATCAACAAAAATAACAGATATAGGCATTGAAACACATAATTTTAGTACAAAACTTTCATAGTTGTTATGTACATTATCAATGAATGTATTGAACAAATAAAACTCAAAATTTACTAATAATAAGATATACATATGATGAAATATAAGTTGTATGTAATGCACGTAAATGAAAAGTTTGAAAATAAAATGTCAATTAAAATGAATAAACCATGCATAAATTCATAGTTTGTTTAAACATTGGATTACAATTTAAATAAGTGTCCATCTACATAAATGAAGAGCTCCTATGAGGTTCAAATAATGAGGAACAACCATCTAAATTCATACAATAGTCATACCAAGTTATGTAACCCGAGCAGTTTGTAAGCTATGTTTGAACATGGTGCACATAGGTCTCTCTTGAGCTCCCTATTGGCTTCCCAATATATAGGATAGTTAGGATTAACCAACTAGTAGGTCCATAATCTTTTTTATCATCTTGAGCTCCATAACTAGTTCTATTATAATCAGACATGACATAACCATAGTCATCATAAGATTCATTTGAATTAGTACTAGGTCTAGTTCATATTCCCATAGATCCAAAACTGATCGCCATGTCCCCTTCAGATGAATTGGAGGTATGTGGGCAGTGGACTGTGCATAGATTCAATTATAGGGTTATGGGCAAGAATTAGTTATTTTTGGGTTTTAATTTGCTTCAATTGCCTTCAAAACTTCTGATTTTTTTTTGGGTTCTGTTATGGGTATTGGAAAATATCGGGGATATCTACAAAATATCGGGGATATCGCACTTATCGGGGATATATCATCGATACAGGGGAAGATATGGTCTTACCCCCCAATATCGGTGTCGACAGTTGAAAATATAGATATATCGGTGTATCGGCCGATATTTCAATCATTGACTACATTCAGAAGGGCATGTAGTTTGGCCGAGGGAAGGCACCACCACTAACCACATGCCCAATGCTTTAGTTCCAAATCCAATCATTGAAATTGTTGATATATTTAGGATCCATATTCTACGACATTTGGGCTTGTGATGTTATCAGGCCAACTTCTTAGGCTTTGAGCTGTGTAGTAAATCAAAGAAAGAAAAAATAAATAAATAAACCAGAGGAAGCTAGCTCTGATCGGCTGAAAAGGGTTCTCTGCAAAAGCAAAAAAAACTTCCACGTAACGAGGATAGCATTGTTTTGCTATCATCAACCAATAACGCAATAACACGTGAAAAAGTTATCTTTAATGTCATTGTATTGTTGACCGGAGATAGTAAAAAATATTATTCCCGTAACACGAGAGTCTCTTCTACAAAGGGGCGCACACAAAAAAAAAAAAAAAAAAAAAAAAAAAAAAAAGGACCACCTTGTATGCTTTTAACGTCAATTTATGCAGGTTTAATCATGACAGTGAGCTCTCCCTTGAGCCCAGCAACAAAAACTTTCATGCTGTCTTCCTTGGTGGTTGGAAAAAAAAATTTTAAAAAAAAAACAAGAAGTGGTCAAATCTGAAATGCTTTTCAAAACTCATATCAGCCCTCATCTGCAGCTGAGACCAAGATTCTCTCTCAACCATAGCGTGCACCGACACACATTGCACTCTCACGGTGCATATATGTGTGTAACTTCCAGTTAGAAAAAAAGGGTTTAGTTGTTGTGCCCCTCTCTCTTTTTGTAGGCTTAAAATGATTAAAAACGCATGCACTTTCAACTTTCAAACAGTTTGGTGGGTTGTGATTGTGAATATAACAGTCATAACAGATTGAATTGAACCTCAAAACTATAATTAGTCTTTCAGTCACTTTCTGCACCTCATGTTTAAACTCAAAGTATCATGGTTTTAATTACAGCCATAAACACACCTGATTCACTCATGTGTTTTTGATGTGTCAAACCAGATAGTATCATCAAGTCCCTTCTGCATTATTGTTATCTTGTGTCATCATTGTACTTGTTTGTTGCTTTTTTTTTTTGGTAGTAAAAGTTCTGCAGCCATCAACTCCTTAGAATTTAGACCCACAAAACAACCGCTTCGAGGAGAAAAACTTTCATGTAATGGGGATAGCACTGATTTGTTATCTTTGGCCAATAATACAATGACATGTGAAAAAGTTATCTTACTTATCACTGCATTATTGGCCGAGATAGCAAAAAGTGTTATCTCCGTTGCATAAAAGTCTCTCTCCACATTGAGCCCCTTCTCTTTTTCATCTCTAGCCCCTACAATTATGTTTCAGTACACTTTTCTTAGAAAAAAGGAGTTTCAGGTCGTTTCTCATTGCCTCTTTTTTTGTGGGGACGAGGAACTGATTAAAGCTCACTTGTTTCTTTTCATGTCAGTCTTCCCCTCGTGTGATGATTTTATAGTCATCATATATATTACAGACTTAATAATTGTATTTGTAAATTTTTTCCATGACTTTGGAAGATGGAAATTGATAATGAGCCTACTTTCATGAATTGGTAATGCCTAGAATGTCACAGGAGAGAGAGAGAGAGAGAGAGAGAGAGAGAGCTGGTGTTTCTAGAGCTAAAATGTCATTTTGTGGTCAAATGCTAAAAATGTCTCTCCTCTCAAAAGAAGAAGCTAATAATATACAACATCCTGTAGAAAGAATGACAGAAAGGATTATTACATATTGCTTAATAGTAACAGGACAAATTAATTATAAGCTACACAAAAGACAATGAATTAAATCAAATGATTCAACCTTGAACTTCCAGATGCAGTAATATATTGAACCATTCTTTCAACTCATTAAATACATCTTCTTCATATATATATGAAATCCACCTAATTTGCAAATAATATGTAAAACATAAAAAATTTCCCCTGTTTCCTCCTCCTATCTAATCTTAGCATTTGATCTTCTCTTCTGTGGCACTAGCAATGGAATTCTTGCAATGAGCAATTGCAGCTTGAATTGCTGCCTGCAACTCTTCCATGGTGCTGTCAATGGTGGAAGAAGGAAGATTAGTTGCTGATGTTGCAACAAGAAGGCCACTATTTGTTGGAGATGTTCTCATTGATGCTGGGGCTGAAAGCTCTCCTCTCCTTCCTCTCAGCTCATGCTTATTTCTCAAGCTTAGATTGCCCGAAAACGAATAAGGTTGCCTCCGGAATTGGCCCTTCTCTTTTCTTCCTCTGAATAACAATAGTGGCCTGACCATTCTCACATACCTCTTTAGTATATGGCTCACATCAAACCTCATCTTCCTCTTGTGCTTCATCTCCTTGTCTTCTTTTTCTCTGTCTTCACAATCTTTTCGCCATTTCGGTAACCCGAATAATGAGAAAGACTTGGACTTTGTTCTTCCCCTTGCCTCACTTTTGTTGCTGTGATGTGGGCTTCTCTGGTTTATGCTGCTGCAGCTGTTGTTCTTGTTGTTGATGATGTTCTTGTTCCTGCCAATGCTGGTGCTGCAGTTGTTAGCATTGTTGCTGCTTTCTTTGGTTGGTCTCTGATCATCATCTGATAAGTATTTGATGGGAAGAGTGAAGCTGTCCAGAGAGTTGGTTGATGAGCGAGGAGAGACAGGAAGGTGAGAGAGCAATTGGAGAGGAAGCAAGTGGCCATGGAAGAAAATGTCATCTGCAGGGGACAAATCAATGGCAAAAGAAGGTGGGGTGGATTTGGCCTTGTTATGATGATCAGGGATTGATGTGGAAGAAGAATGGAGAGAGATTGTGAAGGAGAATTCATGAGAGGGAGAGGAGGAAGCTGAAGGTGGTGAGGCAGGAGCTGTACTTGGTTGCTGCACTTGCTTTGCTGCTGCTTGCCTTAATTCTTTTCCAATTCCTTCCACTTTTAGCCTCCCTTCTTCATGCCTGGTTCCTACAGCTTTTTCTCTGGTCTTTTCCTGCTGATGGGTGCCCATAACTCCAATGATTTTTTGTTCAACCCTGATAAAGGGATCAGAACCAGTGTCTGGTTTTTCTCTCACTTTTCTAAATTGTGGTTCTTTGGATTGTACCAAATCTCTGGGGAGAGAAAGATAAGGAAGCAGTGGAGAGAGAGAGAGAGAGAGAGAGAGAGAGAGAGAGAGAGAGTTTTGTCAGTCCTGTGCAGTTGGGCTTCCAGAGTCTTTTATGCAAAACAACAATCCATATTGCCATGCATTATTTCTCTTTTGATATAGAGAAAGAGAGAAAGGTTGTGGTGGCCAATGACACTAGAATGAGATGATAAATTTAGCTGTATTGTTATAGGCTAGTGGGTCCTTGTCAAATCCAACAGCTACCGGGAGAGAGTTGTGATTTTGGGAAATGAGGTCAGAAAGATCCAAATTTTCTCTAAAAAGGCAGATGGGATTGGGAAGGCAGACTTCATTTTGGGTATGCGTCTATTTGTATTTAGTTGTTTTGCCAGTGAGACTGGTCCTCCCCACCCCAAGCGAAGAATTTCAGTCATGTTCACGTACACACTCAAAAATGCAAAACCCCTAGAGCCCCCCATATCAAGAAGAATCTTTGAATTTTTAAACCAGGCACTTATATTCTCCTTCCTTTAGCTTTTCCCATTGTGTGTTTTTATGATTTTTAGTATTTCTATGTTGTGATGTCAGATACCACTCAAATGGAAAATTGAAGGCCTTTTGATCGAGAAGATAAGATTTCAAACCAAGCAAATAAAAATTAAAGAAAGTCTCTGTCTTATCTCTCTCAAATTCAATTTCAAAGAAGTTGACATAAGTGGGTTAACCTAATTGGTTAGGACAATGAGTTTATCCTTTTACACGTAAGTTTGATTATCCTAATTCAATGAAAATTAGCCTTAATTTACAAATTAGTAATTTCAAGTTTGAACCCCCATGACAAATTGATAGTGTGTGTGAGAAACCCTCATTTTCTTGTAGTTTAGATTGTTGCTTTGTATTGATTATAATAAAAAAAAAAAATTTAAAAAAATCCAATTTCAAACAATCTTCATGACAATTTTCTGATTCTTAAATCTAAACCTCACGGGTTCATATCATCTTCATCATCTAAGTTGTGTGATCACCCAAGTTGTCTACTTCCAAGTGATACTGTGATCTTTTTATTCGAGGTTTTTGTATAACAATCAAATTGTCTAAAACCAAGTTGCGTGGAGAGACAGAAGAGTGGTCTTTGTATACACGGATACCATATAGGATTAAGATATATATGTACATTTGTGTAAAATGCCTACATAATTTAATGCAAATGATTGATTATTCATTGTCGGAGAAAAAAGGGACCCATCATGGATATTTTGTCATAATTATTTAAAACTATGTTGAGGAGTAACATTAACCATGAATCCATGATCCATGACATAAAACAAGTCCAATATCGGATTCACATGGTTCACTTCACCCCACCAATCAATTGAAAAGAGTAGAAGCCCTAGTTGAGAAAAATTATTGTACACAATCGATGACATGAATTAGACATGGCACATAATGTACGAGATAGAATAAGGATATATAAAACCGGAAGATGTAAGTTTTTCTTATATGATTATGTAAGTAACTAATTAGAACGGTCCTAATGATGATTAACATGTGATGAAAAAAATAGAGAAATGAAGTGTGTGAAGTCGGAATAGGTAAGTTTTTCTCTTTCGGAAGACTGACTTTCCATATGATCATGTGGTCAAGCCCTTTAGACGGATACATCGGACGATGATGAACACACACAACAACTAGATAACGGGTGGCATAAGTGATAAACAAAGGTTCGGGGGTGAAGGTAGACCCAAACACACGTGTACATAGTGGTCCAGATGATACATCCATAGTAGGGGAATTTTGTTCTTATAGTTCAGGTCAACATCTCAATCATGCAAGCATTATTGTGGTGGACTGACTCATCCTCACCACTTAACCATTCAAAAATCATAATGTAATTTTCTCTAAAGGATAAGACTTAAGAAGCAAACATGGCATGAAACAAAGATTTCGCACTCAGTCCATATGGGAGAGAGAGAGAGAGAGAGAGAGAGAGAGAGAGATCTTATTAGGCTTGGAAAAGTTTCCCTTTCCCTTTATGCTTTTGCCAGCAGCCACTCTTTCTTTCTTTCTTTCTTTCTTTCAGAGACTACGCACGGGGGTCATAGGAAGGAACCCAAGCCATAAAAAAGAAGCAGCAAAAGGGTAACAACTAACAAACAGAAGCCAGCGTGTAAGATTTTCGCTTTTGCATCCCCTTTTTTTCAAAATTTATTTATTTTGTTTTGACCGTAGTTCACATAAACAACGAAGACGATCTTTCTTTTGGTTACAAGAATTAAGATCAAAAGAGTCCATCACTATATATAACTTCATGTTTCGGTGTTCATCCCTACACTGAGCGAAAAACTGCCCTATGACCGATTGTATATAACTGATTACGCCAATCAACGGTAAATTATGGACAATAGAATGTCTTGTTTGGGACTAGTTCTCTCAGCATAAGTTTTATTTATTATTTATATGTAAAAATGGTCCCTTCTTGGCTCCTTGAAACAGGAACCAAGCGAAGCTCACATGTAAGTGTAACTCGGCTCCTTGAAACCAAGAGCAAAATGGTCCCTACATGCTGACGAGCACAGCCGTGCTCAAGGAAACTACACTACCAATTGAGTTGACAATGCCAACTCTAAACTAGCAACCTTGTCACTTTGATAACAAAATGATGCCTCTTTTTCCATTTATAAATTACAATTATAGCAACCCTTTTGACCATTTGAAGAACAAAGGCACGAGACCATGGAATTGTACAGAGATAAAATGGGCAGCTATCCAGTAATTTAACTGAGATACTAAATTATTACAAACAGGGGAAAGGAAACATCATTAGAAAATAATGAAAAGATAAATTTCTTCAACAAAAAAAAAAATAATTGTCAATCTTTCTATTTAATAGTTACCTTCCTAGTTATATGGAAGGATAGCTTCTTTGAACAAATACAGAAAAACCGAGAAGACAGGTTTTTTTAAATCTCCTAATGTGTAATGAATCTGCCTGAGGTTTCATCAATTTCACCTATATAATAATATTACATTGAAGAGTGGTTTGTTTCAATGTTAGCTCTGTAAAATAGAAGGGCATGGATCCAGAGAGAAAATTACCTCCGATGCATAGTTATGCACAAGTAAGTTCATCCAGCCCTTCCATGAACCTTTTCAAGGGAGGCAGGCACTGATTTTACGTCACTCTGAAGTTAGAAAACAGAACTTAAAAGAAAGCATGCAGCTCTATCTGGGATCTTCTGATTTGAAACATGAAAACATGAGAGAGAAAGAGAGAGATCCAGATAGGTTGGTTCCTCCTCCTAAGTTGAGTGCCAAAACTGATCGTAAATCCCCATTGAGAAATTGAAGGGAACTAATATCAAGAGAAGCACCACCTTCCCACTTCATGAACAACTTCAAAGTAATTGTTAGTGCTCTCAAGTTCAAATAACGCTCAGGAGGGTCGGCTAATCACTATCGCTATCACGTCTTCCTGAAAGAAACAAGCCAAGAATAAATTAAAGATTGTGCCAGAAATTTGGAAAAATAGAAATAAAATTAAGAACAATTTGGGAGAGAGTGGGGAAGGTTGTCATACTTCCTGAAGGTCTTTTTCCCTCCATAGCCTCTCTCTTCTCTTGGCAACTCGAGCAAAGGAATGGGCCATCCCAAGGTCGCAATTTTCCTGGGTTAGATGATCCACTGTGTATCGAAATACCCTCTCCCGGTTTAATTTCTACTTGACAAACTGCACACATAAACAACTTGAACATGTTGCAGAGCGGGTATTTTGAATCTAACCTGCATTCCACATGAAGATACTGTCAAAAACCAGTAAACCTACACAAACCCCCTCCATATAGAGCTTCACCCATAATGAAACAAACCCATCATACCAAGTTCAACTAATAACGAAAGAATGTTCCCAAAAGAAAAACTCAAAGTTAGAAAAGGGAACAGAAAAGGAAATAAAATAAAATACTAAGTAAGCAACAAACACTTCTGCCTGACCCAGAGATCAAAAATCAAGTTTTGGCCATGAATATGATTTTTTGAGCACAAACCTCTCAGAAAGCGAAGCAGAACCTTCCTCAAATAATTCCTCCACCATGTCTGGCTCAATATACTCTTTTTCAACATTAGAAGATGAGTCACAGGGCTTTTTCCGAAACATGGATTTAAACAACACTCCTTTTCCCTGCTTCTTTGGTTGCGACAACGGGAGTGGCTTCTCATGTGGTAAAATATCAATCACAATGCATGTTGTATCATCCCGAAGTCCCTTGTGGCCTACGGCATCCTGGAAATAGAACAAAAAGTCAGACATAGTATTGAAGTAAACAAGAAAGAGCCCTCCCAGCACAATAGTTCTGGCAGAGTGCAGTCAAGGTGCAAAAGCTATAAACTATATAACACATATAACATAACTTACAGGAAACTGAAACTTATAACTGCTATTATACCTTAACAATCTGTGCAGCTGCAGCATCTGGTGCCATCCCACGACAACAGTCAAGAGCTGTTTCTGCAGACAAGGCATCCCAGACTCCATCACTCGAAATGATAAGTCTACCACCTGCTGAAGACAACTGTAGGAAAAACAATGAAAAAAATTCTTTAAAATAATGATTTCAAAGTGAAGACATCATAGAAAATTATTGTTCCAACAATGAAAAGCAATAGGTAATAAAATAAAATTTTCACAATAGTATAGGGGTCGCTTTTACAAATGTCTGCTGAATGTTTTGGCACTAACATCTAAGGGGGAATCAAGCATATGGAGATTAAAACATGGACGCTGAATGTTGTAAAATGTGAAAACAGTAGAAACATACCTTCATTTGCTTTACGTACGGAACGGGAACAATGAACTCCCCAACATCCATATCACCAATAGATCGTGACAGACACAAGCCACCAGGCCAACACCTCAAAGGACCGATCTACAAAAAAAGAAATAAACAAATCATTTCGTAAATTAGTCAGGCTGTGCATTAAAAAATACCCAGAATTCAACACGTGGAAAACCAATAAATTATAACAAATGGCAGACTGATATCAACACTTAAAATTTTTCATCTCAAGAGCAATATTTAGAGCACAATTTCTTCAAGTTCATAATCTTATTAACATCAGGGCCTGACAATGGATTCAACCTATCTTTAAGCACACTTGTCCATGTCATCCACCAGGATTTGATATCGCTATCTTAACATCTAAATTTGTGCTTGTAAAAATTGACTCCCTGGAAAATACTCAACAACTTAAAAACAATAAGCATAAGTAAGGCGTGAAGAAAAGGTACCTCAGCCCCACCACCAGTGTTAAGCCGACCAACCTCACCCCCACTTGCAGTGATACGCAACCGCCTATTCACATATAGTTGGGGTGGAGGGTTAATAAAGGATACCGATTATTAAGTAAGTTAAAAACACATTATACGAATAACTTACTCCTCTTCATTGATTTCAAGCCTATGGTCTGCTGATAGATAATAAACTCCACCTTCAGCAGGTTCAAGTATGCAACGAGAATCGCCAACAGATGCAACAGATATTACCCATCCTTCTATAATCACAAAGGTGACAGTTGTTCCTGAAGTTTGAGCTGCGAGATGAGAATAAAAAAGCAATATCAGAAGAAAAACATTAAGACTTAATCAATCTTAAGGTAAAACAAGGGCTATCAATTCAATATCATAGGGTCAAAGTAAAAGCAGATTGAAATTAACCATACCTCTCTCTTGAAACTCTTTGTCTGTCTTGACAAATCCTGCTACAAAAGCCCTTGGCAATGCTGCTACCCATTCATCTCTGTTAAGATCTGAAGGCATAGCAGCTAAAACATTATTTAGAAGATTCTCCTTTGAGTAAATAGCAGCAGCAGACCCATTATGCCCATCAAATAGCTGCAAGACATGGTTCAGTAAGAGCAATCCAGAGCACTTAAGCAGTAACCATCAAGCTTTGAATGATTATCAATTCATTAGTAGAGGATACCCATGCTTCAATAGTGGTTTCGGTAGTATCAGTAAAACTTGGAAATAGAAGTAAAAAGAGTTCCCAAGATTAGGTAGAAGGGGCAATCAAAATAAAACATCTACCTAAGAGATCCTACAAAATGTAACAATAGTTGTTTTGGCAGACCTAGCAGCACAAGTCTTAAAATGGCTTAAAAGAACTTGTTTACAAAACATAAGCACAAGTTTAATATTCCCAGCATTATTCCCACATCCTTGAGCAATAGCTAGTCTAACAATCACCGCTATCAACTGCATATTCAAATACATCTAGTTTATCTAAACATGAAATAGAGCTTATGCGAAGTGATAGCATCATAAATTAGAAAACTCCATATATCAAAAGACAAAAGAGGGAAAGCATGTCAACAAAAATCCACCAAAACCAGCCGATCAACAAACTCAAGCAAACCATTGGGTAACAGTATTTTCCCCTTTGATTAACATCAATATTAACTTCTTAGCCAATTCTACATTTTCTTCAATATAAATGGCAGACCAGGTAAAAATGATAAAAACAGGAGAAACGGAGAAAGACAGAAAAATACCCCAAAAACTGAATACGTAGAAACTCCATCTCCCACAACTCTTTGACATTCCGTCTTTACCAGCGTAAAATCCTCCCCCTTCTTGCTCTGACTCGCCTGACCGTGCACAATCTCGGGTCTCTCAATCTTCTCATTGGCCAATTCTCGCTTCAGCAGCACCGAGAGCGGAACCGTCTGATGATTCTCATTCTTGTTGGACATTGTTCTCCCACACCCAAACACCTCAACACAGTCTCAATATCCTCCTCCTCCTACAACCTCTAATCTTCCATCTCCGATTCTCAAACCAAATCCTGCAAAACAAAAGACAGCAAAAATAAACGCACGTAAATCAAACGCTGCGTTTCGCGCATTCTCCAATCTAATAATCGATCTCGTTAATCTTAATAAGAAATCGTCGACATCAGTGGCTAAAACGGCCACGACGACAATGAAATCAGCGAGATCTTCAAACGAAACGGCACTCACAAAAACGCATCAAGCGATTTTTATCATCTCAAAAATCGTAACAGAAAATGAAGAGACAGTTAAACAATAGCAATGTCGATATGAACTCGAATTCGAGAAAGGAAAAGAGAAGAAAAGAAAAGAAAAATTACAGGGAAGAGGGAATGATTAGCAAATGGCAAATGGTGATTACGCGCGAAGAAGATGAGCGTAAGGCGCGAGGAAGACGAAGGTGGTGGAGGTGAGTCGCTCTGATCGAGAAACGCGGATCCCGGCGCCCTGCAGAAATTCCATTCTCTTCAAAAGGAAGAGAGAAAGAGAAAAAAAGAGAGCGAATATATGAAATGAAAAAGCGCAAATGAAGCTGTTCTTCTCCTTTTCTTTCTTCTTTTTAAGAAAAAAAAGGAAAGAAACAAATTTAATTAAAATAAATTACTAAATTACCAAATTTCCTGGCGCTGACGTGGCAAAAAACGCGCCGTTTCTCTTTTCGGCGCTTCGAGCCGCGTTTGACGTTGTTGTAGCAAGCCGTTTGACTTGTATGGTGCACAAGAGTCAAGAGCAAAAGGACGTGTTCGTGACTTCTTCATGGATCTCTCTCTAATTCTGTATGGGCCCACAATGAGGTGTGGGCTCCAGTGGGCCCCTTGATTGTAAGGAATCTGATGTGGTCGACCAGTTAGGACAAAACATAATGTGATTTTTTTTAAAGCAAAGAGGAGACCTCAACTTCAGTGAGGACTCGGTCAAGCAAAACAACCCCTCACGGACCGGAGGACAAGCAAAAATCATAAAAGTGAAAAATAAATAAACAATTTACACAATGGACGATTTTTGCCGTTGTACGGGGATCGTAGCTCAAGTGAGAATTTACATAATAAATATTTTAGTCTGTAATTAAATTGTTACGAGCAATTACTTATACACCAAAATTATACGTTTGAATATCTTTCTTTCAATATCACTCATATAAAAAATAAAAGACGCTTGAGCTGTTTACTTTAATAAATGGTTTGTTTATATTAAGTTATTTTTTTATATTGGTTGGAAAAAAAAACTTTTCTTACAGAAATATCCATTGTTCACCGAGGATAAGCAAAAAGCACTACGTTAATGTCACGTAGTTGAACATAGGGGGATTTTGATTAAATGTGGGGCCCATAGGGCCCGGGCCCACGGACACATTTATTTCGGGGCACCACTTTTTTGCTTGAAACCTAACCCCTTGTCCTCCACCTGGAGAGTGCGGAATTCTCGGCGCCAATTATCTAAACAACCAACTCAGCGTTAGTGAAGTCAATTAACCAGTCGCGCTAATTAAATATTAATGAGCGGCTCAGAAGCTCGAAGGGTTCGGGATTTCAATGGTTCATCGGCTTGGTCTGGTCTGTGACCCACCCAGGGTGACCCCACCGAAATTCACATAAAATAGGCAGTGCTGTAGACAATCAGAGCTCGTTCAGTCATATTCATACATACATGACATGTTACAGACGTAGAAGACATGTTCGATTTATTTGCTTTTTTGCAAGCTGGAAAAGCTAAAAGCCCTTTTGGCAAGCAAAGTAGTATTGTGTGTCTCTGTCCCGCAAGAAAAATATATAAAAACAACAAAAAAAAACCTTCACCCACGGCAACAGCTCACCACTTGGCTTAGTTTAGTCATTGCTTGCCCATGTTGAAGAATTGGATTAAAAAAAGAAAATAAATAAATTATATATATATATATATGATGTGAAATGGGAAAAAATCTTGGCTTTAAGGAAAATGGGGTGTGCTGTGATTGGCAATGAAGTCAATTGCTTGTATTGATTGCTATGGAAAAGTTTTAGGCTCTGAATACCCACATGCCCATAACATGCAATATAGCTGTCTTTCTTTTTATGAATACATGGAGAAAAGGGGGAAATTAAAGATAAGAATTAGCTCCTGTCCATTCATATTTGCTCATCATGTGTTCATACATATCCCTAGAGTGACACCAAATGTCATTGGGGCTGATTGACTCATCTGCTCAAACTACAACTGTCCATAGAACCTGAAATTGGTATCTATGTAGAATTTCCAGTTAAACAAAACATGTACCTCATGGCTAGTATCAGCCCACGAACGTGTGTGCGACTGATCTCAACATAAGTTTTATCTTAAGACAAAAACTGTTTTACCCGTAAAAGGTAAAACGGTTCAGTGAGAAAAGGGAAATACAGAGAAGGGAGGGAGGAGATAGGAGGATTAAACAAGGAAGAAAGCCATTCGAAGACAAAATAGGATACATATGGATTTTGGAAAGAGACCTATAAACCACAATTTGGTTCACTAACGTGAAGGCCACTTTGGTGCATTTGCATCACAGTTTCAGTCAAAGCCAATACAAGGCACACGGTTTCTAAGCGTACGCAAGTTGTTTCATTTATAGATAAAGACATCACATAGGCTCATGGCATACGTGGATCTTGATGGCTGAGCAATTCTGAGACCTCACTGGACAAATATGTTGTTTTTATGCAATGGACATAGCCAAATTAGCTAGATCAGATGTGCCTCACTCTGCACCCGAATTCACTTATCCCAATCTGATCACAGCAGGACAGGCCATGTGCTTGGTAGAAATATTAACAGAGTTTGAGACAGTATCTTAAGTATAGAATTTTGGGTTTCCATAAGTTGACTAGGTCAAGAGACAGAAACCAACCAGATCATAAATTGTTATTTTTATGTTGGAGAAAAACAAGAAAGAAACAGTAAGTAAATTCAACCACTACAAGAATGATCTGAAATAAATTACCTAAGCTTCTGATCCTTGTGCCTGTTAGAGTGGTAGGTCCTTCCAGGCATCAATACTCCCTCAACAAAAACCTGTGAGAAATCATAACATCACTGACACTAGAGATTTGCAGCTTTTTTGGTTTTTGTCTTTTAATTTCAGAGGCCCAGAAGAACCCAACTCAAAAATACAATTTTTAATGCTATGGCCTGAGAAAGTGAGAATACAAAAGAAAGCAGAGTGGGATGAGAGCTGTCTTGAACTAAGTTTTGAGGGAGACACGTAGATTGAGAGAGATAGGTGAAGAGGGAAAGAGGTGCTGGGTTTAGGCTTACAGGGGATCGATGAGCCTGCAGAGCAATCTGAGGCAGATTGAGTGCTTCCATTTTCTTCCTGTTTTCCTCCACCAGACACTGCTGAAAAGAGCTCTCGTATGATAACTTAGAGTTAGCCGCCACCATTTTTCCCGAGAACCAAACGGAAGATCTCTGTCTCTTCTTCTCCTACTTTTCTTTGGATGGAAGAAAGAAGGGAAATGGAGGCAAAATAAAAAATAAAAAACCCTCTTTGGTAGTCGACCGTTAAGTTCCTTTCCACTGCATTGAGTAATGGAGGCATCACAGTTGGAAGCTGATTAGTCAGCAGCAGACATTCTTTTTTCTTTTTGTTAATTATTTATTTTCATGTATTACTTTTTTTTTTCTTTCAATACAACCGATAGTCAAAACTATAAAGAATAAGAATTTCTATATATTATCTTTATCCTCAAACTGATTACGTGCACTTAGTTTTTTGCTTTAATTGCTGTAAAACTGATGTTAAATCTCAAAGGGTTCAAATTCTAACTTTAAAATTTTACGTCTGTAGTGGCCTATTAACTTGTAAAACTGGTGAAATGTGTTAATGCCGCCGGAATTTGTGACAGGTTATTTGAATTTTGAAAAAGCAAAGCTGTGATTGGCATGAAGTCAATTGCTCATTTGCTTGTCCTCGTTGCCAGGTTCTGAAGCACATGAATATTCTAAAATAGACAACGTATCTTCGTCTTTGATCAAGGCTTCAAATTTTTTGAGGTAAACAAGAAAGAAAGCCATTGCAAGACAAGATAGGTTGCTTCTTGAATTTTGAAAGAGACCTAAAAACCATAAGTTTGTTCAGTTACGTGAAAAGCAACTTCGTGCCAATGCATCCCAGCATGTCAGTCAAGTCATTATAAAATGCATGGTTACATTATAAACACAGATGGATGCATGATCTTGTGCCTCATTTGTGTTCCGTTGTATACGAAAGTTATTTTGGTTAGAGATGTGCTGCCCTTTACTTCTGGGTTCATGTAAAGACATCACATATGGTCCCAGGAAGCTCGCATTAAATTACAATTATCCCCTCTCTTTTTTCTCTCTTTTTTTTTTTTTTTTTTTTTTCATCCAGATAGATATGTATATTGAAACCTATCTCATCAGACCTCTCTCACAGTAGAACACAGCATGTCCTTGATATGTTAATAGAGTTTTAGACAATATATAGCGTATAGAGTTTGGGAAACCATAAGCCAAAGAGTGAAAGTATGACTTTTTGGTGAAAAGGAAAAGTCCTGCATATAGTGAATTGGGGTGTTGTGATTGGCAATTAAATCAATTACTTGCACTGATTGCCATTTGCAACGATAAAGACTTAGGCTTTGAACCCACATGCTCATAACATGCAATATAGTTGTCCTAGCTGTCCTTTCCACTCATATTTGCTGATCATGGGGTCATATATATCTCTTCAGGGACACCAGTGGAAATTAGCATCAATGTAGTGTTTTCTATTAGACAAAACATGTACCTTTCTAGGAACAAATAGAGCTCACTGCAAAACATATGCAAGTCTTATCCCAATCCCCAAACTTCTTTTTACCTGCAAAAAATAAAAGGGTTGTAAGAGAATGGGAAATGAGAGAGATGAGAGAATCAAGATCAACAAAATCTCTACAAGGAAGAAAACCCATTTGAAGACAAAATAGGCCGCTTATGGATTTTTGAAAGAGACCTATCAACCAAAAATTCGTTCACTTGTCACTTGTGAAGCCAACTTTGTGTACTCGCATCACAGTATGTCAGTCAAGCCAATAGAAGCTACATGTTTTCTACTTAAATACAGACAGATGCATGCCCTACGCCCTCATTTGTGGTCCTTTGCCTACGCAAGTTGTTTTATTTATAGATGTAGTAACTGCCACTCTACATATGATCATGGCAGACGTATATCTTGAAGGCTGAGTAATTCTGATACTAAATCTGGTCTCAGGTAGATAAGCTCTCGGCAATGTTGTTCCATTTTACTTCAGAAGAACAAGCTATGTGCTTGATAGAATACTTAAAGAGTTTGAGACAATATCTTAAGTACAGAATTTCTGTATCCGTAAGTAATTCTATGACTAGGTCAAGGCACAAAACCCAGATCATAAATTGTTATTTTCATGTTGGAGAAAAACAAGAGAGAAACAATAAATAAATTCAACCTCTACAAGAATGATCAGAAACCAATTACCTAAGCTGATCCAGCTGAGCTGCCTTCGGATCTTTTTACTCTTACAATGTACACCTAAATAGACAACATAATCAATGAAATTATATATAAAAAAAATATAAAAAAAGTCATGTATCCCTGAGCCCCCAAATCAAAATGTGATAATAATCAATCACCTTAAATGCAGTAGGCCGGATCAATTGAAAAACCAATGCATCCCCTTCCACCAAATCATGAGCAAATGCAAATTCTTTCCATCCAGCAGAGAGTCCAAATCTTTGGGCCAAGTATCGAGTCGGGTACTCGTTGCCATCTACATCTACCAATGTCATAACTTCATCACCCTTTGAGAGGTTCTCCATGCAGAACTGTCTTTTAAGACACTGTTGCCAAAATCAGATAGATAAATTACTCCTTACAATTACACTCTACTGGTTCACCAACTTGACTTGCTTAATGTTTTACCAGAAAGAATTCACAATGGTCGGGTTATCGGATCCCAAACCCGACACTAATTCCTGGGCTTCATGCAATGCGGCAGCTCTGGCTTCATCTGAAGCAGAAGCGTTTGTTCGGTTCCACAAACCCTTCTGCCAACTAGAACGGTAAGACCTTCTGGGCATTCTTACTCGTTCAACAAAAACCTGTGAAAAATCACAACATCACCAAAGATTGCAACTTTCTTTTTTCTTTTTTCTTCATTCGGAAGACATAAAGATTGAAACTTTGAACAATTAGTAGAGGGAAAAATGAAATCGGTCCACCTCTTTGTAAACCGGGGAAGAATGATTCGAGACGCGAGTGGATCTCCGGACCTGAACAAGATGCTTCTCGAACGTACGAGGCCTCGCGAGCTCCACCTGAGAAAGTGATCGTACAAGAGAGAGCAGAGTGAGAGATGTTTTGAGTCAGAGAGAGAGAGAGAGAGAGGTGATGAGGGAAGGAGGGGTTGGCGTACAGGGGCTGGACGAGCCAGCTGGGCAAGCTGAGGCAGATTGAGTGCTGCCATTTTCTTCCTATTTTCCTCCAAGCTCTGCTGCCGAGACTCCTCTTAGGCTTGGCCATCACCATTTTCCCAAGAACCAAGCAGAGAATTCTCTGTGTCTCTCTGTATCTGCCACTTAGCCGAAGCTTTTGCCCTGGGGTTCTGTGTTTAATTCAAAAGGGGTTTAGGAGAGTTATTGTGGAGGGAGAGGAAAAAAAAAGAGTTTCACTAAAACACCCAAAATGGGGGCTGAAATTATAAAAAAATCCAACACTCAAAACACTTTATAAATACACTCAAAACTCATCATTACACACACTCAAAACCCATTTATAAACACACCCAAAAAATATACAATGGTTGATTTTGGGGTTGATTTTGGGTGTGTTTCTATGTTTAAATAGTGCTTGAGTTTTTTTATAAATACATGTCTAAGATTGAGTTTATTTATAAATTTGTAAAAAAAAATTAAGCAAGTAAATTTTTTCGATTTTCCGATGATAATAAATATTTTATTTCATAAACAATCATGATGAAAGATTTGGGCTGGGCTGGGCTGTACAATTTGGCCCAACATTCCACTTTTGTTACTTTGAACATGGTCTATTGGTCCAGTAACTTGTGGTGAAATGCATACAGAATTTGACTGCCTCGTTTCGCGGTTTGCATATAATCAACAGTGAAGCTGAAGCCTCGCTTACAGTATGAGAAAATTACAAGCCTTTCTTCAGATATATATGATCATTTGTGAATCCATAAGCCAAAGGGTCAAGAGAGTACATAAGAAATATGCATTTACAATTCGAAAAAAATGTAATTAGTGGTCAATGCATAAGCTCTACAAGAATGATCACAAAACAATCGCCAACATTGACCCAACTTCACAGTAGTTAAAGCTTGTTGCCATCTTCAGGCCTTCCCACCCTTAAAATGTACACCTGAAAAGACAATACAAGTACATAAGATCAAACGTAAAACCGAAGGAGGAAGGTCTTAATAAACGTAGGAAATGGTATGTGTCTTCATAATTTACCTTGAATGCTGTACGGCGAATCAACTGAAAAACCAATGCATCCCCATCAACCAAATCATGAGCAACTGCAAATCCCTTCCATCCACCACTGAGTCCTGTCTTCCGGGCCAAGTATATTGTTGGGTACTCGTCGCCATCTTCATCTATCAATGTCATAACTTCATCACCCTTTGGGAGGTGCTCCTTGCAGAACTGGACTTGAAGACCCTGTTGCCAAAATTAGATAGAGTTATTACTAGTTCCCATCTACTGTTGAATCAAATTGACTGCTCCTGCATAGTTACACAATATGAAGCAGCACACTGTAACCAAAAACATGAAGCAGTACGTTGCCCTATAACACACATTTTAGTTTACAATTTCGAACCCGGTAGAATATCCATTAACAATATGAAGCAGTACATTGCCATAGAAACACTTAGTTTACAATTTGGAACCTGATAGAACATCCATTAAGGAGTAAATTGGTCTTTCAATTGGTTATGGAGCAGTACATTGCACAAATAAAGTAAACTACAGTGTTCAAAACATGTGGGATTTTGAACAGACAATGCCACACCAAAAGAACACAGAAAAGTAAAATGATAGAGTGAAAAAGGTGAGATTGTGAGCAAATAAAGCGACTTGATTACCAGCCAGAATCCACCAGAAACATGAGATGGGAGCATTGTTTTTACAAAGATCGGGTGATCGGATCCCAAACCAGACTCTAAATTCTCAGCTCTCTCCATGGCTTCAGCTCTGGCTTCATCTGAAGCATATACCCGGTTCGACAAATCCCTGTGCCTACTAGAGTAGGTCTTTCTGGGTATCATCACTCGATCAACAACAACCTGTCACAAATTGTAAGATCACAAAAGATTGAAACTTTCATATGTTTTTTAAAAAACAAAAACTTTGAACAAGTAGTGGAGGGAAAATGAAAGAACCCACTTCTTTGTAAACAGGGTTAGGCAGGTTTGCGACGCGAGAGGACCTCCTCACCACAACCATCTTCTTCTCGACGGTACGAGGCTTCGTCCGCTTCATCTGAGAATGAAAGATAAAGCAGAGTGAGATGTTTTTGCATAGTGGAGATAGGTGCTGAGAGAAGGAGGGGTTTAGGGTTTAGGCTTACTTACAGGGGAGGGTTTGGGAGAAGATGTGGTTTTAAGAGCCTGAGCAAGCTGAGGCAGATTCAGTGCTTCCATTCTCTTCTTGTTTTCCTCCAATCTCTGCCTACGAGACTCCTCGTAGGACAGCTTGGACTTGGCCATCACCATTTTCCCCATAACCAAGCAGAAATATTTCTGTCTCTCTCTGTCTCTGATTTTTGTTTCAGTTTTGAGTGGAAGAAGGAAGGAAAATGGTGGCAAAGTCTACATTTAAAAGACCCCCTTGCGAGTCGACCGTTAAGTTCCCACTGGTTTGAGAAATAGACGAATCACATTTTGAAGTTTATTATTATTATTATCCTTAAATTATGCGACTTGTCAATGGACGTAGTTTTATCCTTTTACTGCTGTAGCTGTTAATCGGTTGGCGTTAAATCGTATCAGACGATTCAAATTCAAACTTTCAAATTTTACCCTCTCTAGTCCGGGTCTAGTAACTTGGTTCCACAAAAAAAATAGTATTCCGGTAACTTGTAAAACTGCTGGAAGAACGATTGTAAAGACTTGGGGTGGCTGTGATTGCCATTTTCACATAAAATTGTTTTTGTTTATTTTTCACAAAACAACATGTACAAAGAACCAAAACTGGCATATATATATATAGATGGTGGTTTTGCAAGTATTTCAATCAAGCCTTTCTTTTGATATGATTGTTTAACCTATCTCAATCTCACAGCAGAAGGAACCATGTGATTGGTATGTCAATAGAGTTTTAGACAATATCTAGCGTATGGAATTTGGAATCCATAAGCCAAAGGGTAAATCTATGACTAGGGTCAAGGAAGTACATAAGAAATGTACATTTACAATTCTTAGTGCCATTCGTGGTCTAAATGACGACGAAGCGATAGAAATCAGGTCACAAATTGCTATTTCTTTGGTCAATGCATAAGCTGCAAAAGAAAGAGAGAACTAATACGTAAATTCTACCTCTCTCCAAGAAAGATCACAAAACAATCCCCAACATTGAGCCAAAAGTTCAATAGTAATCTTGTTGCCCTCTTAAGTTCTTTCCACCCTTATAATGTATACCTGAAATGATGATACAAGCACATAAAGTCAAAAATAGAAACTGAAAGCTGAAAACAAAGTAATGGGATGGTCTGATAAACGCAGCACATGATTCGTCTGGCACTTATCTAGTTAGAATAATTTGTATCTGTTGAAGGCAATATACTTATTTCCACCATTGGCTCAAACACCATTTCTCATGTATCCCTGAGTCCCCAAATCAAAATTTAGTAATCAATCACCTTGAATGTTTTAGGCCGGATTAGTTGAAAAACCAATGCATCCCCATCCACCAATTCATGCGCAATTGCAAACCCTCTCCACCCACCACTGAGTCCTCGTTTATTGGCCAAGTATACAGTCTGGTACTCGTCGCCATCTTCATCTACCAATATCACAGATTCATCGCGCTTTGGGAGGTTCTTGTTGCAGAAATGGATTGGAAGACCCTGTTGCCAAAATTAGACACAACAATTACAAGTACCCCTCTACTGGTGAATCAAATTAACTCTTCAAGCACAATATGAAGCAGGCAGCATATCACATAGATAACGGGTGATCAGCATAATGGGATATGCCACTTCCCTCTAACCAGACCTGGCTAATCAAGTAGGTGATAACCATTCACCTAGAAAGACATAGTTTACAATTTCGAATATGACAGAACATCCATTACAGAGTAAATTGGTCCTTAAATCAGTTACAGAGCAGGGCAGGTACGAGATTATGGCCATTATAGAAGCCAAACAGGATGAATATGCTGTTCAAAATCATGTGCCCTTTTGACAAACAATGTCATGCTCATACCAATACATAAGAAGCATACAATGGAAAGGTGACATTTTGAGCATATAAAGAAAAGCGACTTGTTTACCAGCCAGAATCCACCTGTGACATGTGATTGGAGCATGGGTTTCACAAAGGTCGGGTGATCGGATCCCAAACCCGACTCTAATTCCTCGGCTCTCTCTGTTGCCTCAGCTCTTGCTTCATCTGAAGCATATACCCGGTTCGAAAAATCCCTATGCTTCGAATTAGAATGCCTTCTGGGCATCCTCAATGGATCCACAGCAATCTGTCACAATTCATAACATCACTAAAGATTGTAACTTTGTTACTCAAAACCCAAAAAGAAAGAAACTTTTAACAATTTCTAGATGGAAAATGAAAGAACCCACTTCTTTGTAAACAGGGGTAGGCAGGTTTGCGACGCGAGAGGACCTCCTCACCACAACCATCTGCTTCTCGACTGTCTGAGGCTTTGCTCGCTTCATCTGAGAATGGAAGATAAAGCAGAGTGAGATGTTTTTGCATAACAGAGATAGATGCTGAGAGAAGGAGGGGTTTAAGGTTTAGGCTTTACTTACAGGGGAGGGTTTAGGAAAGGATGGGGCTTTTAGAGCCTGAGCAAGCTGGGGCAGATTCAGTGCCTCCATTCTCTTCTTGTTTTCCTCCATCCTCTGCCGTCGAGACTCCTCGTATGATAACTTGGCGGCCACCATTTTTCACTAGAACCAAACGGAAAATTTCTCCTATTTCTCTTGCTCTCTGGTTTTTTTTGTTTTTTTGTTTTTGTTTTTGGTGGAGGAGGGAAAGTGAAATGGTGGCAAAGTCCTTATTTAAAACACCCTCCTTCCTATCGGTCAGCAGCAGCAATTCATTGTAAGGTTCTATTTTCGGTGAAAAGATTCATTGTATTTTTATTTCCATGTACAGTTCCTATCATTTAAAATAAATTATGCTTATTAATTGCGAATTTGTGATACATCAATCAAAGGGCCTGCTTGCTTGTGGTCCTTTCATTGCTGTTCTGTACGACTCAATCAATTAGCTTCAAATCCGATCCAACGGGTCAAATTCAAATTTTCAAAATTTACCGCTGTTGCAATTGTTTTGAGCTGCCCAATGATTTTGTAACTTATACAACTGGTGAAACTGTTTTTGAGAATAGCAGTGTTAAGGTGAATTGCTTATGTACCTGAGCAATTTTTGACTGTCGATGCACGTGAAACTCAGGACATATTAAGGGTCAGAATTCACCCACATGCATACAAACTACTAATGGTGGCATCATTTCACAACGACGAATGCATGGAATACATACTTATTGAAAGAGAAGTTAACACACTAAAAACACCCAACTTGATATCAATAAACTGATGATTTTTAGCGCCACATACCATCAAATTGAAAATGTTTACTAGTTAACTGGAGTCACGTAAAGCAAACAACAAACCACACCCTCGTCAAAGTTTACGTGATCAATATTTGATCAAGCCCAAGTTCTTGAGCCAAGGCAACACCTCCCCCAATCCTTCTTTCAATCCTCTGGGACTATAATCCAGCTCCTGCTTGGCCTTGTCACATGAATATGCCCATTGATGCCTCAAAACATAAACAGTCTGCAACCAAATGAACCAACCACGACAAAATCAAAACCCTAAAATTCGAGCACAACACAAACGTTATCATCAACAACAAGATCAAACACAAAACCCACATTACATACCGGAGGACTAATCAGAGGGAGCTTCCCTGTAATTCGAGAGAAAAGAACAGACGCCCATCCGTACACCTCAATCAACCACAATGGGATCCCAAATTTAGGCCTCTGCGTCTGAGTGATGACAGCTGCTACATCGAAAACGTGCTTAAACGATGCGTTTTCACCTGTTAGCAGATACCTCTCACCTGTTCGACCTTTTTCCATAGCTCTGATATGGCCCTCCACAACATCATCGACATGGCTAAACGAATACCTATCGTTACCGGAGCCTATATATCCAGGCAATCGGCCGTTGAACCGCTCGACGATCATCCGAGCGACGACGTTTCCAGCGGTGAGCTTTCCGGGCCCGTAGATTACTCCGGGATAAAGCAGCACCAACGGCAGCTCCTCTTGCTGCGCGGCCTGTAGCGCGATTTTATCGGCGGCAGCTTTCGATTTCTCGTACTCCGTACAGAAGAACTTCTCGTGATGGACCTGAGCCTCGTCGGCGACGTGGCCATCGGTCGGTCCGAGCGCGAAAAATGACGACGTGTATATGACCTTCTGTACGGTCTTCGTCTCTCGTACCGCTCGCAGCACGTTCTTCAAACCCCCGACGTTGACCTAACGGGATCGGAGATTGAAAAGGAACGAACTTTACGAATCAAATACACAAAAAGGTGAAAACTTGAATTTTGATTAGATTTTGGGAGAAGCGGGAGCTTACGGAGAAGAACTTGGAGGGGTCGGGAAGCCAGGGCTCAACCACAGCGGCTGCGTGGAAAACGACGTCGCAGCCGGAGAAGGCGGAGAGTAGGGAGTTGTAGTCGTTGACGTCGCCGTAGACGAGTTCGAGGCCACCGTTACCGGTTGGTGACCGTGGAGGCAGGGAGGAGAGGTCGCTGGTTGGGCGGACCAAGGCGCGAACGGAATAGCCTTGTTTCAGCAGCTCGTGGCACAATCTGCCTCCTAAGTAACCGGAGGCGCCGGTCAACAGTATCTTCATCCCTCCTTTTAGCAAAATTCACCGATTCAGAATTGTTTTGACCTTTGAAGAAGAGTTGATATTCAAGGAAGTTCATTTGCCCGAAGAAACAAAAACATATTTTCTTTTATTTTCTGTTATTTATTTATTTATTTTTATTTGTTTTGTGTTTTGAAATAGTATTCTTAAAATGAAAGCTCCCTATATTTTGACGTGAAGAGGTAGATTGGAATTTAAATTACACAAAGTGAAAAGGATTCAACAAAGGCCAGAAGATTATTATTACTACTATTAATTTATCTATTTTTTCTTTTTGTACATTTACAAGTTCCTCTAATTTTCATTACAATGATTCTCATCACCCACCTAAGGTTCTTCAGTGAAGCCACTGTACATTTTTACGTAGGAGAAAGAGATCATCATCCTCCTTATTACAAAAAGAAATAAGAAATTTTTCCCAATTATACCATTCTATAATCTTGACCGACGTATGCACTTGATTGGATTAAAAGGGGCATGCCTTCTTCTTGAAGCCAATGAACGGCGGTTCCCATTCAACGAGCCCGACGATGATTTTATATCCCAATCCTCAACAGTTTTTGGAACACAGACGTCAAAAAGGATCTGACCGAGGACACCGTGGGCATTCATGGTTGGCGTTGGCGGGTTAGGCAGGTGAATCAAACCTTCCTTGCGCTCGTCTTGCATGGACCCAACATCTCTGCCTCCATCATACTCCATCGAGCCGGGCGTGAAGAAGTGATCACTGGATGCCAGAGTGACTCCGCGAAACCCATTTGAGCCACCAGCAGCTTTTCTGAGACTACTCATCGGTTCATTGTCAATGATCTCATCGTGTGCTGCCTGCATACCCAATGTTTCTCCTTCCAGTCGTCGAATTCTTTGAGAATAAACTCCAGCTGCTTTACCAAGGAGCTCAGTTACAGCAGCCTTGTAATCAATTGGGTAATGCTTGTAATGGCCTGTGGGTCACAGCATTGAATCAAGTTGTAGGATTTGAATCAAGTTGTAGGATTTAGTATATTTACTCTAAATAAGCATTTTACTAGTAAGAAAGCTCTAAATACAGTGAATAGCATTTGTTACTTAGTCTTTAAGTTTAGGTTTAGAAGCGGACCTACGTGAGGAGAGCCATTCCATTTTACTAGTTTAACATCAGCCCCAAGTTCTCGTAAGTGTTGAGAAAAATTATATATAACTTGAAATGGAGCGAGATCGTCGTTCTCTGAGCATAAGATTAGATACGGGGCCTGCATGCCCTGAATAAGAATGATACTGAATAAATGGAAGAGAAACAAATATGAATTTTTTTAAAATAGAATAGAATATAACCTGGAGTGTAGCTAGTAACTTACAACAGTGGAGTAGAGAGTCTGCCAATACTCGGCACGGTGTGACTCAAACCTGGTGAGGAAGAGGGCATCAAGGCCAGAAGCAATGCCATTCGCCATCCAGGATGCGAATCTCGGTGGATGGGATATTTTCAGGACAGTTGGGTGAAGAACAAATTTAGTACCCAGATCACTAGTAAAGTCCACTGGACTGGAATCATAGATGTGGCCAGAAATACAGTCCCTTACCAGTCGACAATCATCCTTCACAGCCAAAAATGAAAATTAATAAGATTACGAAATGGAACACACTATATTGCCCTTAACATAAAAACATAAACAATTACCCAAAATCTATTGATAGATAAACAATGAGAATGACAACATATTCTTTTTGGTCCCCTTATTTGATGCATCAATGTCTTTTAAATTTATAATCGATAACAAAATTACATTATTTATTCTTTTGATTAGTTAAATTATCCTTAACGGAATGCAAAAGAAAAAATTTACACACCAGATTCAGTTTTGCTTCACAAGTTCCCTCAATTATCTGCACAAACGAAACATGCAGTCATCGCCTCAATCAATAGGATGCTACTTTACATGAACCAGAGAAATCCTTTCAACATAGAAAATATGAAAAAATAGGAACATACAATGCTAAAAGGAGTTTACCTGAATAACTTTGAACATACAGGCTTTTGGACCACCAGAAAAAGAGGCAAAGACCACAGGGCAAGGCTTAATCTTCAACTCCTGCATTTAAGATATAAAATAAAGCAATTAGCTTTACCCGGAAAATCATACCATGACAAAAATTCAGGACGTTTGTTTACAAATGCCAATTTTTTTATGGAAACAGATCATACAACTATGGCAGTCATTTTCACTTTCAGGAATTGTGAAACTTCTACTTAAATGAATATGGTTTTGGATCTCAGACAGGTTCCTCAATATCATATCCCAAACACAAGTTCTAAGGGTAGGTTAATCAATAAATAGAACCTTTAGTCCCTGTAAAGCTATAGTTGGAGAACTATAATAGAACTAACCTCAAGAAGTTCATTCAGAATATCAGTCGCTAAAGTTGTAGCCTTCTCAGGAAAGAACCTGCAGGAATTATGTAAATCAAACCTTAGTCCAACATCAAAAGGATGAGTACAAGCTGCCCTTCTATTCTAGAGGCAGCAATTGTACATAATTGAATGATTGCAGCCATTATAACAGACAGATCCACGCATAATAACTCATGTTCTGCAAAAGTATATTGAGGAATTCAAGCCATCAAAGCTACAAATTAAGTTGAGCTTTGGAACATTTGAAGATTGAGGCGAATTTTTATATCACAGGGAGGAAGATATAAAACAACCATGTATCTCCAGGAAAAGGAAGAAAGTGTCCTCAGACACTCAGATATGCTTGTACAAAAGCTTAATTTTGTCAATTTACTTCACGGCAGTCCTTCATTTGTAACATGATTGCTATTGATAGCAAGAATGTTTCCATAAAAGTAAAAAAAAAGCAAGTTGCAGACCGTTAAAAAAATACTATTTCTACGAATTGTCCATTCATCAACGACATATAAATTGCACTGTGTCAATGATTCTATTTTGGGAGATTCACATTAAATTTAGAGGACAAGGACTGCAATTCCGGATAGGCTCTCCACCTCAATCATAAAACTACTAAAGTCAGCAATGGCAACTGCAAATTCCTGATTTCATAAAACAAGGAAAGGGGGGCTCAAATGCATTTCCCACCCAAAATCAATCAAATAAGAAAAGATAAATTGCACTGATTTAACCAGAATAACTCAGCAACACTCAAAATGCTATGCAACCAAGTTCCTCCAACGACCCAAAAAGCAAAAGCAACCCAATTATAGCAAACTAGTCAAACCCAGCAAGGTAAACAACAAACAACGCCCTTACTAAAAAAGAAAAAAGAAAAAAGAACCTTGTATTTTCCAATTGGGGAAAAAGCAAAGCAAAAACCTTGAAGAGAAAACATCAAAACTAGCAAAAAATTGGAACTCACATATTGAGAAATTGGCCGTGGCAGACGAGTGTGTTCCAACCCATAGACGAGTAAAGCTCCACATAGCTCTTCAAGTGCCGCTCTTGGCTCGACATCCATGCAAACACCACCACTATCCCTTCAATTTCATCACTCCTCTTCTTTCTTCCCCAGTAGTACCTACCCCCAAATCCCCACATCTCCTCCTCCTGCACCCAAGAACCAAACTTTTTGCACAATTGCTTGAGATTTCTTATCTGGGTTTCTTTGGAATTTGCGGAGAACTAATTGGGTTCAATTCAATCAAATGGATGAGAAGCGGGGTCTGCTTCTCTGGTTTTCACACCAAGTAAAAGTTTACAGCTTTTTTATACAGGGGAATGGGAGAGGCCAGCTTGGACCCTTTTGGACTTTTCTCCTGCAATTATAGAGAGAGAGAGAGAGCTTCATCTGATTTGTCTCGACACTCGGCCACACTTCGCCACAAAAAGCGGGCCAAATTCTGTATGAGCCATTGAACTTATGCTTGCAATTGAATTACGCAATTACCCTTGTTTCAAACGTGTCGATGCTTGATTGGATGGAGATTTAAAGGACTCGGGATAGAGGTATATACAACCAAATTGCCAACTTTGTGTTTTTTTCTTCTGAAACGAAAAATCGATATCTTATTTCCCTTTTCTGTTCGATTTGTTTGGGGGAGATTAATCGGGTGGTTGTATGTTGTTGACTTCTTGTCGTTTTCTCGCACTGTTAGAAGTCCATCTAAATCCGGTTGGTTGGTTTGCTATAGACGTAAACGCAAACAAATCGCCTTTGTCTTTCCAGTTGAGTTACGCTTCCATGTATTTCGGTCTACGATAGGCAAGAGAAAAGCTAGCCCTAGCTCTCATTGTTACTCGGCAAATTTTGATCCAAACATTGGACGATTTAAAGACATTTTAGACTTTGATTCTTAGAATTTCAACCACCCGAGGGAGTCTCGACCACGTTGGAGAGAATCTGAGAATTGCTTAAGGATGGTCGAGCCCTTGTTGAGAGGTTCGAGCACTGGTCAAGGGTTCGAACATTGGTCAATGAGTCGTCGACTTAAAAGCAAGACCAAAGGAAGAGGAAGAGGCTAAAAGTCAATAACGTGCTAATATCATACTCTATTTTAGCTTGCTTATGTCTATCCTTTCACGTGTATTCCGTAGCCTTTAATATGTTGAAAACGTACATGGTCATTTCTCATATTTACAACCTTAGGTGAAAATAACACGCACGTGATTTATCTTAGCAAGTTATCTAGCTTTCTAAGGAGGCAGTGAGAAATTTGGATCATTGCCACTACTACCAGGAGGACTTCAAATCTACATAATCTTTGAGGCCCGAATAGTTTAACAAGTCACTGACTGAGCTCCGCTATGAGTTTTTCAAGTGCCTCATTTGTGAGAGGGATGTGCAAGCAATCCTGGCCATCAGAATTCCTTTTGGTCTTGACCAACTCATGATCTTTGAATTCTGTCAAATGGGAGTTAAGCGTAAGCTGGCTGCTCACTAGGAAGCGCTCTCGACAGCTTGCATACAGATTATCAACGGGCATACCTGAGAAATCGATACATGAATGATAATGTATGATCAATGGATTAGAAAGGTTAAAGCTTCGAAGAGTTCATGTAGGCTTTTATAGCTACTTACCTTCTTCATTAGAATGAGATAGTTGATATTCTGCAAGAACTTTGAACACACTCTGGGCATTGGATGTCAAACTCTGCAAAACTATTGTAGCACTTTTGGCACTTTGGGTGGTATTTCCATGTGCAAGAATCAGGGGAATGAGCATTCCTTCAACCTTGTATGGCGCAAAGGTAGGAACATGATGCCAGCACCAGTTGAACTGTGTGTGAACCATCTTCTTGTCCCACACTATTAAAGGCAAAGAAGGTGTGATTAAACTTTATGACATATGCAATTCTTTGATGCAGCATTTGTTTCATGCAGACAGTTTGTTATCAATTATATAACAAATTATAGCAAGAATAGACTTACAAAGAGGTGCATTCACATGATCAATAGAGGCCACCATGAGAATATGGGAACAAGAAGCAACTCGTGCAAGAACTTGTTGGATTTCAGAGTCCCTTAATCCAGGCCCATCAATGTTATGAATGACAACGCATACAAAACATTCGTTTGTCCTATCCTCATCCAAAAATGCAAGAAGATCATCCATGGATCTAGAACTAAATGGCTGTTGAACTTTGGAGGAGCTCCCAGGATTCTTTCTTTTGGATTTCAGTTGATCCCACAGAAGTTCAGCTAAGGCTGCCACAACCTATATTTCAAACATTAGATAGCATGTTAACAGAAATGATAATGTTGAATGTTGCCGTTCACAAATTAGCCTTGAGGGCATATGCCTGTCCTGGGTTTGGGTCTATTTCCATTTCTTCTCTTCCAGGTTTTGTCATATTTTCATACAAGGAAGATGGGCTTGGCCACCTCAGAACAACTTAAGTGCGCTCAAGGTGATCAGCACATTGTTCACAACGTTCATTGTAGCTTGCGTATGACATGGTAGGGCAGGAATCAAAAATCATATTGCCAATAAGAATAAACCACACAATTGGCAAATCCAGAAAACTCGCATATTGCTTTGGAATGGGCACAAGCTCTTATGTATGTGTAAGCATGATATTATGGGTAAATGAATTATGACTATTTTGTATCCCAAGTAATTAATACCTGTTTTATATTTATTCCCGGAAGATATCCATTGACAACAACCACAGAATACTCGGTCAATGATGTTGAAGCAAAATCTTCAAGCAAGGCCTTCTTCGATCCAAATCCATACATAAGAAGGCCAAGACCACATCTAAGAACAATAAAATGGGTGAATAAGAACATAAAAAATAGATGTTCAACAACAATACAAATAGTATAAGCAAAGATATAAGTGTAAGACAAAACCACCTGCCCACAAATTAATAACTAAGAAACAATAAATCAAAGGGAAATCTCAAAACTTTAAACTACAATTTATGTCGAAACTGATTCATAAATAACAGGCATCAAGTCCAGAAGTCAATCAAGTGCTAAAAGAAAGCAATGCAATTCCTTCTGGTACAAAAATACTAGTCCCATTCCCCACCTAATAAATGCATCAGGGCACCAATTGCCATAGGCAATACTCAAGTACAAAAAACACTACAATTTGTAGCATAAGAAGCCAGAAAGATTATTGATTTTCTCTATTGGCACAAAAATTAACTTGAAAGCAACCTTGCTACATTAGATCCCAATCTACACAAATGATAATTTAAAAGAAGAGCATTTGAGACATTGCTGATTAATCACAAGGTAGGAGAATACCTTAGCTCAAAAGCCCATTCAGGGTACGAACTCTTATAACTGTTCATCAATTCCTTGACCTCTTTCTCATGTTTTGGTTCGATTTTAGATGCTGCTGCAATCAGTTCCTGCACATTAGAAGAAAACAAACAATAACCAATCAGCCAAAGTTTCAAGGTTTAACTAAAACAACAAAAGAAATGGGAGATTTTGAAGGAATTGAAGGCGACCCAGCATTACCTGTTCGTCAACGACGTCAATATCCGAGAGCTTAGAATGAGATCTCTTGCCGGAGCCACGGAGCTCCTTTGCCAGAAAGTAATTTCTGGAGAACCCAAACTCTTCGTTATCGCCATCGTTCATCTCCATGGCTTTGATTTCAATTTGATGGTAGCCCCCAAATCACCCCAAGTCTCAACTCAAGGGGCGTGCCCTAATAAAAGCTGCTTCTCCAGTTCGGCATTTTCCCGCGATTTTTCCCTTTCGGTGCGAAAACTGGGCTTGGGCTGAGCATCTGCCCATTAAGCCTTATTAACTATTTTATTTGTGAGGCCCATTCATTGTATTGAGTTTATTTAATTTTTTTCTTTAAATTAATTTTTTTCTTTTTTTTTTTTTTTTTTTTTTTTTTTTTTTTTTTTTTTTTTTTACAATTGATAAAACTCATCTAATATATGGGAGGGGGCTTATAAAATAAAATAAAAAATCTATATGGAGGGATACTCAAACTTGGGTGCAAGCGGCAAACTGCCATGACCAACTCGCCTAATTCACCCATATTTGCTTTTACTCTTTTTTTTCCTTCTCTAAATGGGATTGCAACTGCTATTTGATCCTATGTCATTAAAAAATTTATTTGCCCTTCGATAAAATTGAAACACTGCATAGTTAAGTCAGTGGGCTTTATACTGTGATGGTTGACTTTCTTACAATTACCAAAAAAAAAGAAGTTGAATTTCTTACAATTACCAAAAAATAGTTGACTTTCCTACATCACAATTTTTTTACCTTAAGTGGGTAAGCTTTATGCTTTATTGGATTGTTATATAGTTGGAAAATCGAATTCTTCATAAAACAAAACCATTTGTGGAAAATAAATAACTAGATTTTGTGTTATAGTTATACAATATAAGATAATATTCTATTAATGGTAAATTTGTCATGATTTAAAACCACCCAACTCAACATATAGAAAACAAGATTTTAGATGCTACTATTAAATGGCGACAAACATATGTATCATATCCTCATCCTATTTAAATTAAATAACAACTTGCATGTGGCACATCACATCTTTCATTGTTGCACACAAAATAAATACATAAATGTATAAATCACGTGATAGGTATGTCTCATATAGAGTCCAAAACTATGATGCAATTCTTTAATCACGAAATAAGTAATTCAATACGCGTTTAATTATAAAGTTACATCAAGCAATGAATAATGGTTTGCCTATTTTATGCAGGATATTCAATGTTGAAGATTTTAACCCAAGGCTCTTTAATTTGCGGGATCCAAATTAGTCAACTAAGTTAGAAAATACTCCACAATGAATTTCAGATATTGGATTAGGTTAGGGATTTAAGTGGACTAAGAATTGCGCTCGAGATCGATCACATCTACATAAAAAAAAAGAGCGAGCTACTTAAACTTCACTTTGTATTATCTCTAACTCATGAAATGGACTAGAATCTTATTGCTACCGTGGACACAATTAGATTTGATCAAGCCCATCAGAAATTTCTGTGTACTTTTTTCAATTAAAATGTTGCTTACAAAGTAGCTTTGTATGATGATAAAGGTTTTTTTTTGGGTCACTTTAATGATAAAGTTTGTACACACAAATTATTGAAGGGGATGAAATGGAGGGTAAATGTTTGTACCCAAAAAAAAAGGAGGTAAATAGTAAAATGTTACCTTTTTTAAAAGGAAAACACAGGACCTACACCCAAAGCGCACGTTAGCAGAAGGCAGAGGAGGCAAGGCAAATAGGTTGATTAGGCTTCCACTACTACCGAGCGAACAGCAACAATCACGGAATCATCTGAGAAAACACCATAATCAATACCTATCTTCCTAATAATTCCCCTGGGCACCTCATTGTTCATTAATTTTAATCATTATTTTAATAGCTTTCCATCCCCAGTAATTTTTTTTATTTGTTTATAATCACTGCATAACGACGGCTTAGCATTAATTCCACAAAATCGCAGCAAATTAGGCACGACAAGAAAAACCCAGAAGCCCAAAAACACTCATTTCACTGCTCCGTACGAATAGCCTGAGCAAAAGAAGACCTGGGTTGTGTCCTCAACAGGAGCCACGTTTCGAAAGTTTAAGGCTTTTGGGTTTTGATCTGTCTCTGATGGTGATCGATCTGTGACGAGGTAAGTGGATATGGTGGGATGAAGGAGAAGACACGAAGGAATGGCTCGGGTAGGAGAATGGGGATTTAAAGGCAGAGCGAAATGGGGCTGTTCGTACAAGAAGACCACTCTCATCGTTTGCTCCATTAACATTGTTGTTGCTCTATATGTTCTTCGTTCTCTCTACGCTTCTCTGTACATCTACTCCGATAGAGATTCACGTCCCAGTACGTTTCTCTCTCTCTCTCTAGCTTGTGATTTTATAAGCTTTGTTCAAATCTTGTTGCTTTGAATGGCCCACTTGCTGTTTGAGGTCTTTTTGGGAGAACCCAGTTGCAAATTATGAGGTTTCTCAATGTTGAATGCTTGTTTAATTAAGGAAATGTTCTGTTAATATATTGGTTCAGCTCTTGAGTACACTCCAGATCAGATTAGGAAAATGGAGGAATCAGTTCGGATTCGAAAAGCAGCTGAACCGGTTGAGCTCATTAGATTGGTAAGATGCATTTTGAGTGTTTGGGTGGTAGATCTGTTGGATTGAATCGGCAGAGCGGTTTGCTGTAACTTTTTTAATTTAACGGAGGACTCTTTGTTATGCTCAAAAGGTAAAGGCACTAAAGAAGGAGCTTTCCAGAGAGGTAGTGGTTGAATTGCCACAGCCTTTGAAACTGAAGATAACCAATGAGATAGTTGAGAGGTTGAAAACCTTGAGGCCCAAAGCAAATGTTACTGAGCAGAGAGGTTAGTGCGCCTTTTTTAGCTCATCTCTTTTTGTTATCTGAATTTCAAGGCAATCTTTATTTTGCACTAGAATAGTTAATCGTCATGCAATTGAGCGTAAATGGTTTAAACCATAGATCATCTTACAGTGACTGACAACTCTGTCCTTGAAATTGATAAGATTATGAATTTATGTTTTCTTCTCTGTCGAGTTTTCGTCTATGAAATCTTAAACTAAAATTCTCGAAATCGATTCAGCTTTCTTAGCGAAATTATCCCATTTCTGTACTCTTTTCAGAAATAGAACTAGAATTTTAGGATTGAAGGAAGAAAAAGAATTAAAATGAGGTTTAGGTAGATTTCGTATGAAAGGGATGTAGAAGGAAAATCCCGCTGTTTGTTTTGTCTCAAGGAACAAATGGCTTTCTGGTATTCTGGTAGCGTGTACATTTTCTCTATATATTATGACAGATCATTGGAAGAAAAGGATTTTAGTGCAAAAGGCTTATTTTAGGCACACCCTGTGTTTCTCTAGGCACTACAAATAATTATAACAGATTACAGCAGAAACTTCAAGGTTAATGTGGCTTTTTCAGTGCCATGTTTCTCTTTTGGGGTGGGCAGTGCGTGGTGGCCTGGATAATTCTTGTTTCAGTTAACTTAGAAAATACTATATGGATATAATTTTATTTTTCAGCAAGATTGGCCATAGTTTAGATATGTGCACATTTGTGTTTAGTACTTAGATATGCTCCAGAGTGTAAAGTGCTTACACTTTGTTCTAGTATTCAGTGCTTCTTTCACTTGTACCTAACAAGTTTATAACATTTTCTGTTTAACAATGAAATGCTGGTAAAGCTTTAATTCAACTCATTCTGGAACTTAATTGCATGTAAACCCACCCATATTCTCTTTGTAAACTGCTGTTCCCACTAATTAGCTTGACCTTTTTCTAATCTATAAACTTTAATTTAAACTCACATGTCCACACTAAGTTCTTTAGAAGCACTTATCAGCTGTTAATAATTAAACTGACCAAAGAGTCATATAATTCGTCATGTTATTGGTTTGTTGCTGGTAGTTATCAACTTCTCTTATTGATGCTGTTTGCTTAAATAAACAGAATTTGTCGAAAGATGGTGCAAAGAAAAACTGAAGGAAGCTAAGCAGTTGGCTCTTGAGACAGACGCTTCAAATTCAACAATTCTTCATGAGGAAGCAGGTGTGGTCATTATTTGTGAACTGTGTATGTTTCTTTTTTGGTCAAAATAATCTTATTTGTCTATGATGCAGTAGTCTATTGACGGTAATAATTATTGTTTTGACCGAACTCTGGTGTTTTGTATTCTGATTTTTTCTCTCCATAGAAATGCTAGTAAAAGCTTTGGAGTCTGATTGGACAGTGCTGTTGGAAGACATGGGCCTTTGGATACCTGCTGAAATTGTTAACACAGAACATCATGATAAACCTGAGGGTGAAGAGGAGGAGGAGTTAGGTAATTCATTAGTTTATGCTCCTTGCCCTTCTCTCTATCGTAAATAAACCTCCAATTCACATTTTATTTTCCTTTACAAGAATACAAAAGTCATGATACTTATCTGCTAGTGTTGAGAGATTTACTCTATTGTCTGGTAGAGACTTATTCCATGTGTTGATGTATGTATTCCTTTTTCTCTCTAGAAGATCAAATTTTGCCGGGAAGGCCACTTCCACCTGAATGCCATGCGGAAGTTCATACAGATTATGATGGTGCTGCTGTAAGATGGGGGCTTAACCACCACAAAGATAGTGCAGCTGACTGTTGTCAGGCTTGCTTGGATCAAGCTAAACGTGCTAAGCCTAACGAAAAGAGATGTAATATATGGGTATACTGCCCGTCTGAAAGCGGTTGCCATTCTCCAGATATCTATGAGCATAAACTTGGAGAGTGCTGGCTGAAATACGTAAGAATGAAACAACCTCTTCACTACAATGACACATTTTGTTTATTTTTCTTTTAATCTGGTTTAAGTTTCGTCCAGATTAGTCTTGATTATGTGGATCCAATCCAGTCTAATATTTGTTGTTTTCATTTATCAAAATGCAGGCAGAAGCGCCCAAACTCAATTTTAAGGACAAGTATCCTGAATCATACAGAAACAACCATCCGTCTGCACCACTTGTTGTTCCTTGGGCCTCTGGCATTGTTGGTGCATGATAGGATTTCTCCAGAAAAAAGAAAAAAGAAAAAGGACAAACCCTTGTCATTGTAATGTGATCTGCAAAGGCTAACCATGTTCTGGAAATATCACAAAACACACGCATATATAGCTTCACTGGAATCTCTAATCATGGTCTCCCTGGGTTTATATATTTTTGTTCCTATCAAATTGTTTTGTGAAAAATAGAAGAAATAGGGAGAAATTCTTTGTAAGAGAGAGTGGGGTGGAGTCACTGAAGGTTAAGGTATGCCCCATGCTTGTTGTTTGTTCACAAGTCAATTTTTTTGTAATACGGATTGTCATCGTACGAGTGCCGACGGTTCAAGGTGAAGAAGTCTTGGTCGGAGGCAAAGTGAGCTTTGTTGTTAGACATTGAAACTTTCCCTGTGAATGATTGATTAATTAATGGGGAATATGAATTTCCGTCTCTGAACGTTGTGCAACACTCTCTAATTCTTTTGATAAATATAATGCTCTGTCTTTTCTTAAGGGGACAAATACACTTGAACAAATTTATTTTCCAGAGAACAAAAATTCTTTCAACCAACTCTTATTAAGTGTTACCACAGTACAAAATTGAGGGGTTGCCTGCTACTAATATCTGACTAAATACAAAATTAAAAGGAAAAGAACTGACTAAATACAAAATGAAAACGAAATAAACAAGAACACCAGTACTAGCTTCAGCTTCCCCATTGATAGTTTGGAACTTGACCCCACATTCACATCTAAGTGCAAGCTTGAAAAAGGTGGCTGTGAGTGGAAACTTGGATTTGGTGGCTCTGAGTGGAAACTTGGATTAGGTGGGATGCTCTGCTCGTTCCTGAAGAAATTTTCTGGATCAACAGCAGTCTTCACCTTCACCAACCTATCAAAATTGTCATTGAAGTACTTCAAGCCATACACCTTCCCTTGTTCATAGCTTCTGTTACCAAATTTATTGACACCAATGTCAAGGTCCCTGTAATTCAAGAAAGCACTCCTTGGGTTCTTGGACACAAATGGGGTCAAGAACCTGAAAAGCCTCCTGGTGTCTCTGGTATAATTATTCTCTGCTTCAGCACCTGCTTCTCCCCAGCTCACTGAGTACTGAACTTTGAACAAGTTACCGGCACGGTGTGGAAAAGGCGTGGCAGAGGCCGGAATCCGACTCATCATCCCACCATATGGATTGAAAACCAAACCTATTTTGCCTATTTCAATCATCTTCTTCCACAGTAACTCCAACCTACTTTTGGAAATTGGGGTTTGAACATAATCAGACTTTCTTTTCAGGAAATTTGCATGATCAGGATTTCTATCAAGCAACACATCAGGGGAGGTCCCATTATCATAGTTATCCCACCAAAGCACAGACTCAATCCAGCTCATCTCCTTACAGTCCTCCTTCTTCAAACCCAACTCTGGAAACTGCTTCCCCAACAATGACACAAGTTGGTCAGCATTACCTAGAAACTCTGCGATGATTGTGGCTTTAACTGTGTTGCTCCCTGGCTGCAGTAGCATCCTCATAAACAGACCGTCATCTGTGGTTGGTGCCACCTCTTGCCACTTTGAAACAAAGTCGGTTGCATTCTCTTCCAACGTTCTCGCAGCCTGGAAAACTGTAACAGTTTCTGGGACAGAAACCAGCTTCAGTTTGTATGCAACAATGACACCAAAGCTTCCTCCACCCCCTCCTTTAATAGCCCAAAACAGGTCTTCTCCCATTGCTTTTCTATCAAGAAGTCTCCCCTTAGCATCAACAATCTGAGCATCAAGGACATTGTCAACAGCAAGGCCAAACTTCCTCAACATATTTCCATAGCCACCACCACTAATGTGCCCTCCAATACCAACTGTGGGACAAACACCAGCAGGAAAGCCATGAACTTTGCTCTTCTCCGAAATCCTATAGTACAATTCTCCAAGTGTGGCTCCAGCCTGAACCCAAACCGAGCTGTCCTCAATGTCTACAGTCACAGACCTGAGGTTAAACATGTCAAGGACAATAAAGGTCTGATCAGACCAGTAAGAAAGGCCCTCATAATCGTGCCCGCCACTTCGGATTCTCAGCTGTATGCCAAGCTGTTTGGCACAAACAACAGAGGCTTGAACATGAGATGCAGCAGAGGGTGTAACAATGAGGACTGGTTTTGGAGTCGAAGTGGTGTTGAACCTTGAGTTTCTGATGTAGGCTCTTAGAACAGATGAGTATGAAGGGTTGTTTTGGGCATAGATAATGTTGGACAATTGGGTTGATGATGGGTTTGTGTTGGTGTTTAGGCATTGAAGAAAGTTGTCATAGACAGAAGCTGAGGCTTCCCAAGAAGCAGAAACATGAAAAACTAGGAGGACAACAAGTGGAAGCATCATCATCCTAGGCATTGCTTCTCTTAGTGTCTTTGACAATTTGTTGTATGTTGTAAGGTTTTGGTCCTATATATACATAGATAAGACCTGTTTGGAAAGGGAATTGTCAACTTTAGAAATTTAAAATCAATTCCTTGACACAATAGGAAATGTTGACAGAATGGGAAACTCAATTCCAGCAAAACAAACGAGGAAAGTTTTGTTTCCTTTTTTGTTTTTCCTATCAACAACACGTACTAAATTCTGAAGTTTTTGGGAAATCAGCAAACCCATCAATATAACACGATCAATCCATCTTTTGTTTTTTGGGTAACAGGATCAATATGTCTAGTGTTGATAAGAAAACGCAGACCAAAACAAAGTGTTGATAGGAAAACCAACAAAGAGAAAAAGAAAAATCGCAACAAAAAAAAAAGGAAAAAAATTGGGGTCTTTATGAAAATTGTAGAAACGTTGGGGTCAAAACATAAATTTCAAAACTTGATTTAATCACACCCAGCCTTTCTTCTCGACAGAGGCTAGGTTTTCCGCTGTGAAGTTTCGGCATTTGCTCCCCGAAGTTTTTAATTTAATTTAAATTCTTTATCTTTCTTCTCGACTGTATCTGCCTGCTGCACTTAATTTGCATCTGCTCCCTCGGATGATGCCTATTTTTTGTTAGATTGGATTTCGCTCGGTCCACCAGATGAACTTCGAGGTGAGCTTATTTCTGTGTTTCTCTTTGGTCTTTGTATTTTTAATTTTCCTTTTGGTTGAATTTGTGCGTCGTTGGTTCATGAAAAGAAACAATTTGGTTCAATCTGGTTCTGAAGTTTGGCGCTTTGATTTCGTACTTTTTTGTTTAGCGATTCTGGAATTTCGAATCTGTGCTATTATCTCTGATTTAAAGCTTCGATCTTTGAAATTGAAATTTTAGTTCGTTTGCTGCATTGGTTTCCAAAACGAAGCTCAGATTTTAGAGTGTTCGAAAAATCGCGCTAGGCGCCCGCCTAGGCGCTAGGCGCCCGCCTAGGCGCTAGGCGCCCGCCTAGGCGCTAGGCGCTAGGCGGGAGGACACCGCCGCGATTTCACCCTAATCGTTGGGGGTAGGTGCCAGGGAGTTAGGCGGCGCCTGGGCGGGCGTTTTGCCGTTGAGGCTCCGACGAGGCGCGGTTGAAGCGCGCAGGAGGTGGCGACGAAGGAGGCGCTGCTTGTATTAAAATGGGCCTTTTTTGAAACATACGTTTTTTTTTAATATCAAGGTTACAGAAAATACAAAAGTACAAGTCAGATTATATCCAGGTTCGAAAATGTTAAAGTTTTCTTTTATATATCCTTTTATTTTGCATGATTTTTTATTTATAAATTTATAAATTTATAAATTTATAATTTATAATACAAAATAATTATTAAAAAAGAAATGCGCACCTAGGCCCCGATTACTTCTCTAGAAGCTAGGCCGCTGCTGTCCACCTACCACCTAGCGATTTTTCGAACATTTTTAGCTCAGAACTTTGTTTCACAGATGAATTCAAGCTCTTGTTGTCACGGAGTTTACAGAAATTAAATATGAAAGAAAAAGAAAAAAGGCCTCAGCTCTGAACTTTGGTCCACATTCATGCACTGCATTGGCCGGTACCATTGTTTTTCCCGGTTTAAAATGGAGAAGGATGGAGAGGGGCTAATGTTTATTGAGTTGAAAAAATATTTCTATGGGTCAACGATGTTTGTATTCGATTGTATTTTCTTGCTCAATGTCAATTTCCTTGTTATCCTTTGGAACTGTCTTTAATGCCTGATCTTATGTCTTTTGGTTTGTTTATATATTTTGGATAGGCAAAGATCTCAAACCTTAATTTTGTATGTGGGTGTGGCAATTTGAACACAAGCATCGGATGAGTGAGATGAACTTGATGGTTTATTAGGTTTTCTCATAATGTTTTTTTATATTTCATATGCAGTGAAACTAAGCTGATAACAAGTAGCTACAACCATGGTTCTTGGCACCTACTCCATTCAGGAAACTCACTATGACATACTATCTGTGAAACAAGATGCCAGCCATGAAGATATCCGAGCAAGCTACCGATCTGCCATCCTTAATAGTCATCCTGATAAATCACAAAATACATCTGGGTCAGGAGATAGGTTCTTGAAGGTGCAAAAGGCTTGGGAAATCCTTGGTGATTCGAGGGCTCGTGCACTTTATGACATTGCCCTTCGAGCTTCCAGACATGATGCTATAGTTGCAGAAGACATCAGCTTAGAAGATGTGATGGCTGAGGATGCAGGAGAGGTCATTCAACTCTATTACCAGTGTCGATGCGGTGATTATTTCTTTGTTGATTCTTTGGAGTTGGAGAAGATGGGGTATGCATTGTTAAGAGATGGAAGCAAGATATCCTTCGAGGCACAAAATGCTTTGCCAGCTTCACTTGTCCTTCCTTGTGGCTCTTGTTCCTTGAAAGTTCGGATATTGATCAATTCAGATAATTTTGTTTCAATCGATGATCACCATTGAATGGAAGTAGAGTTTTTGGTGTCACAGTTTGTAGCTTGAGAAGTCAAATTGATATGGAGTGAAATTAGATGTAAATTTTAGAGATATGCCTAAGAATATTACCAATCTAAAATCATATAATGGACAATTGATTTTGAGATTTGAAAGTTTTCCTTGCCTGCAAAGCAAGTGAGATCAGAAACGAAGATGAACGAAAGGGTCGTTGTATGGGCCTTTGTACATGTTTGATTTGGATCAAGAACTGGCCCATCTGAGAGGTCCATATATGTCCATCATTTTGGTTTCTTTTCTTTCCAACCAAAGGAAAAATGAAAAAATGAAACTAACAAAACTAACAAGAAATATACAAAATTGGAAGATAAAAAATTGGGTCTACGGTTCTTAGAGAGCTGATCAGGTTTCAGGATCTGCCACCAATTGAAGAAAATTGAACGCCCACTTCTCTCATTCCAGGTACAATTTCTTCCTTCCTTCTTCTTCTTGAGTTCACAAAAAAAATTAGGGCTCTGTTCTTCTTGGGAAATGAAAGAAATTTAATTTTCATCAGAGGTTGTATTTTTGGGCAATAACAAGTAAATTTCACAATTGGGTCGTTCTTATAATCGGAAACAGGTCCTGAGCCAAACTCTTGAGATGGGTTCTGCAGAAAAAAGCTCCCAATGGAGGAGTGTCTTTGATGGTGTGAAACTGAAGACTATCAAAGCCATGCCGGAAGCACTCATGGCAGAGATCAACACAGCAATTTGCAATCTTGAATATGCACGTGCCACTGATCTGGTCGACTGTCCATCTTCTTCTTCAATCTCAAGGTTTGAGAGCTCTCCTCAACCTGAATACAGTGCTCGCATGGCGGACCAAGCCTACAAGGCAGGGTGTGCAGCCTTGGCTGCTGGCAAGCTTGATGAGGCTCTTCAATCTCTGAACGTTTCTCTCTCCAAATGCCCGCCTGATCAGACTTCTGCTGTGTCTAAGCTTCATTCTCTTATCTCTCTCACATCACAGCAGCTCCAAAAGTCCACAAGCTGAAGTTATTACGACAACACAGTTTTTGGTTCTTTGTGTTTATGGCACTTTGACTTGAACTTCTTATGACAACTTGCTTTTTGGTGAAGAAAAGTTGAGGTTTCTGTTTCTATGCTTTCATCATGCAATGTGGATTTCGGCAACAAGAATTGGGAGCTATTGAATGGAACAATTAATTAGGAAACACGAGGACATGTTGACATTATTGTTTTGAAGCAGATTTCACGAGGACGGTTGGTAGGTGATAGGTTTAAGCTTTAAAACTGAAGATAAGGTTAATTCCTAGTATGAGCCTATTGTGTACATAATTTCCTTCAATTTTGTTTTAACCTTGGTGTAATTGTTTGATTACATCAAAGTTTCCCATGGGAAGGGAAAATGAAACCCAAAGGGGAGGAGGGTTACATTTTCTTCCCTATTTTCCTATCTGCCGGGTACCCATTTTCTATGCCTGGCTTACCAATTATGGGCAATTGATTTCCCCATCTGCAAGCTTCCTTCACCATGAACCAAACGCAGCCAAAGGGTTTTTAAAGAACTCCATGTCTTATTGTTTTACCTTTTTGGTTGGGCAACCGCACTTTTAAATTTAACTAGGTTGATTGCTTTCAATAAAAATGAAATTTGGGTGTGTTAATTTGTTTCTGTATCTTCCATTGAAATCAGGGGCAGGCTTTCTCACTTTTGGCAAATTTGACATATAGCGCAGTTTGGTAAGATGTCCTAGTTCACCATGGCTTCAACTTTAAGTGTAAATTTGAAAACTACAGGAGAGGCACTTAATGTAGGAAAAACGAAAGAAACGGATGAAGGGTCTTCAATGGAACAAGTAAGCGTTGCAACCTCAAAGGGGGGTTTGGAGTTTTGTTAAAACGTCTAATGCTTTCTTTTTAGCTTTTTCTTTACCCCAAAGGATATAAAGCAATATTCTCCATTTCTAATAAGCTGAGAGGCCACTATCACATATGCAGGTCAATTTGGACATCAAGTCGAGTAAGAATAACACACACCGACGCTAGCTTTGTAGATATCTTTTAGTCCCTGTGGTTTGCAAACCAACACTCAATAGAAACTTTTAACTCCAACATGAGCATCTTTTATCATGAAGAAGAGCCACCAAATCCTTCCAAAAGATGCAAATTTCTTGCTGCTTGTCTCACAGATGCGTTTTCCAATTGCCATATTGGCAGACGGCTTCCAACTTCGAGCCCAGATGCAGAGGATCAGTACATAACAAGTGACTTTGATGAGGAACAGGAAGTATTCACTAAGCACCCGAATGAATATTTAGATATGATCTTTTCATTCCCTTATGAGAGTTTTGTAGGTTGCTTTTATAGTTTTTTGGTGTTTGTTCTCAGGTAATTGTATCAGCAATTCGAAGTGCTGCAATGGAAAAGCTGAGGCGCAAGCCTAGCAGTTTGACAGATAGTTTTTCATTTGTCTACTCTTCAAAATCAGGAGATTTATTCATAAGCCAGAAAGGAGTACAAAACAAAAAGGATCATGGTGAAGAAGATGATGAGAAAGAAGAATTTTTATCTGTTAAAAGTTGCTTCTCTTGCTGCTCAACTGCTGCCACAAGTAGGGATGTGTTTCTTTCTGTCAAGACAAGTTTGTCCCGCTGTTCGAGCCTTAATGGGATTGATTTTAAAGATTTTCCGAGGCAGTCTATAATTCAGCAATTCCGTCATTGTGAGGGCTGGCCGTTTGGTCTTTGCCGGAAGGCTGTGTTGCTTCCACCTCTGCCCAAGTCGCCGTCTGAGTCGTGGTCATGGCGCAAAGGCACTAAATATGTCAAGATGGTTTAAAGGCAGAGCTCCCCAACCCCACCACCACCACCACCACCAAAGGTCCAAAGTTCTGTCCTGTTTAGATGATTGAATGCGTTGAATAAGAAAGCAACTAGAATAAAGTTTCTTTGTAATGCCATATCACTGTGAGAAGTAAAGCCTAATGGGAATTGAAACTCTCTCTCTCTCACTCACATGAATCATGATCACATCGTATATTTTATCATCTGCAATTTGGCTCTTGCAAACATTGAGCTTTCCACATGCCAAGTTGTAAAGGGAAAGACCACTTGCCTTGATTGCCATAACAATTGTGGTTTCTCAGATTGGAAGGTTGAATGTAACAATTATGTCTAACTTTATATCGTCAACTTTTATTTTTACATATGTTTTAAACTTTTAAGTTCTAGGACTGGCCATCTCCAAGAGCAACAAACAACTTAACATAAGGACTAGTCCCAACAAGCCCAAAAAAGAAGAAGCAAAAAACTGCCCCAGAGGGACAAACTGCAACCAAACCAGTAGCCTAAGAAGAACCCCAACACTCAAAGGACTATTCCTAAACAGTAAGTCTTTTAGACTGAACCTGGGAGTTCATTTCCAAGCAATCTCTGATTTGAGTTATTAATCGTCCCTCATCGCCACTCCCAATCTCTAATTCCTCAGAAACCTTCTCAATCTCAAAGCATTCCTTCAATCTGTCATACACATGACTTATTTCTGGCCTTTCTGTTGGTGTTTTAGATACACAAGCCAAGGCAGTTTCTATAGCTTTCTGTGCAGAAGAATACTTGTATGTCCCTTGTACTCTTGAATCCACTATGCTTTCAATTTCCATTCTCTCAAATTTAGCCCTCACCCAATCAGATACATTAACAGGTACAGTTTCTAATTCTGTTATTATTGCTGGTCTGCCAGTTATAAGCTCTAGCAACACAATCCCAAAGCTGTATGAATCACTCTTTCTAGTGAGCTGTCCAGTTGTGCAATATCTGTTACAAAAAAAAATCTATGTTGTATTAATATTTTGTTTTTGGACTGACTCTTTGTTCTAACATTATATTTATATGTAACAAATATCACCACAATGGCTAGCAGGAATTGTTGAAAGTGCTTACTCAGGATCCAGGTACCCATATGTTCCTCTGAGGTCTGTTAATGCATGAGTGGCAGAATCAGTTGCAAGAGCTTTAGAAATTCCGAAGTCCGCTATCTTGGCTTGCAACGTCTCAGTTAACAAGATGTTGGAAGGCTTCAAATCTCTGTGCAGTATCGGCGGTTTGCAACCATCATGCAGATATTCCAATCCTGCAAAATTTCAAGACAGCAACCATTGTCTAACGAAATTTGTTTTTCACAAGAGTTTATATATGTTTATTAATGTGATGATGATGATTTGTGTTACCTCGTGCTGCATCTACTCCAACCTGAAGTCTCTGCTTCCAAGTCAAGCCCTTGTAAGGTATATCTGCACATGAGTGTGATTAATCAAATGGAACATACATCCGAATCATATATTAGTGAAGTACACTATATAGTCAATCCCAATCGCATTGAAGCAAAGTGTATATATAAATACTAGAAAAATGATCAGATGTATAGCTAACGGTCTAGTCTTATTCTTTTTTGTAACATTGGAAAATGACACAAATTCGTATCACCTCATCCTGTTTCTTCTTTTCTTTTTAAGATCCACTACTGGTTGAGTAAGGGATGTACCTGCAGCTGATATATGCTGTTGCAAATTTCCATTTGCGATGTATTCGTAAATAAGCGCCATAGTGTCACCTTCGTCACAGTAGCCAATTAGAGAAACCAAGTTTCTATGATGAACTCTCATCAACAACTTAACCTGCAATCCAATGTGGCTACCATACTTTCAGCAAAAGATAGAAAGAACACTGACTGAATACATATATAGATGTATGTAGTTGGGCGACATCTACCTCATTTTGAAATTCTTCTGAGCCTTGACTTGATGATAAATCAAGTATTTTCACAGCAACTTGAGTATCATTTTCTAGAGTGCCATGGTAGACTTCTCCAAATCCGCCTCGTCCAATTAGTGTAGAATTGCTGGTAATCTTGTCGATCTCTGATTTTGTAAATTTTCTACCCCGTGGCTCGATTGGCTCTGTTTGGACGAAATTGTTTGTGAATTTAATTAAGAATATTTATATAGAACCAGAATCAAATTCCCAAAAGCGAAAAGAAAAACATTAACAAGTATCGGAAGTCTTACCATCTATTTCTTCACTTTTACATCTCCACCAGATAGCTGCTACAGTTAATAAGAGGATGATAGTTCCAACACTGGATACTACCACGGGGATAACAACATTGTGCTTCTTCCTTGATTTGCAAGAAACATGTCCGAATTTGGGTAGATTTGGATTTTCACACAGACTGAAACAAAACACAGAGTGGTTGATGGCAACTGTAGTAAGATTTTGATAAATCATACTGACATGAAAAAATATATAGTATCCCTATATAATATTTTCAAATAACCAGATGGAAAAATGGTGGCATATCTGTTATCCAATTAATTTATGCTCTAAGTAAAAGAAGAAAGCACACCTCAATGATAGGCCATCAGTTTTATTTCTATCAATGAGCCCTGCTGGAACTTGGCCTCTGAGCTTGTTTTGCCCCAAGTTTCTGCAAAAGTAAAGTCATAATACTCTATCACCATGCTTAACTTGTAACGAATATATTAGGATTATATGACTAACCAATTAATAACTTACAGGACAGTTAAATTTGGCATGTGAGACAAAAAGTCTGGAATTGGTCCTGTCAAGTTGTTGTTTGATAAATCCCTGAAATGTCAAAGCAGGTCAACTCATCTAATTATAATTATTCCAAATGAAATTCTGACCATATTAGTAACTCATTTGAGACTGTGCATACTTACAAAGCTTGTATCATTGAGAGATTGGCTATAAAAGGAGATATCTGGCCTCTTAATCCACTGGAGGACAAGTCCCTGCGCAAGTGCATTGTAACTTCAAATGCCAAGACTCAAATGGGATTAAACTGAAACCCTGGTCTGAGAGTGACATTGATATACTTACAAAGATATGATTCTTGGGGGCCTGGATTCATGATAGCTACAATTTAGTCCTTCCCACTTGTAAGCTTGAGGGCTGCATGGATCTCCTTGCCAGTTCTTACTGATTTTGTAACTTAACTTGATGTTTTCAATTGCATCAACTAATTGATATTTTCATATGCAACAAATTAGTTAGCATATATATCATCAAAATCAATCGATTATACAAGGCATTGAATTGACAGCTAGTGATGATATTTAGCTATAGCTACTTACTATCTCCTTGGTTTGTTTCCAATTGTAAGAACTTTTTAGCCTCGTAAGTCTCATAGGCATTGAGGATGGGTGGAAGGGTAGAGTTGTCAGTCTTGAGGATTGACATAGAAGAAAATATTGTACCGGGCCAGGTGGTGTGAAGTGTATACGTGGACAAGTAAGGTAGAACAAATGACGGCTCTTGAGGCCGTCCGTTCAAAACAATATATAAATTTCTGGGCTGCTGGTGGGATGGGAGCTTTTGAATTTCTGCAAAATGCAAGTAAACATGATATTCTGGATTGTTATCAACAGCATCCAAGTAAACATCCAAAGGATCGCTTGCATTTTTTGTGGCGACAGCAGTGCTCATGATAGCAGAAGGTATTTGGAAATCAGCATGAAAATAAGATTTGTTCACCAAGGCTGGGGTACTTAATTGCAACTCCTCATCATTAACGGATTTGGTATCCCACACGCGATCATGAATATCGGTTGGATACCTTAAAAATTAGTATAGATTTCTCATTAGTTTTTGTAGCAAAATTTAGGACCAATATCGACTAGTAATATATGTACTCAAGCAAACACAATTAGTCAGATAGAACAACATTTAGTCATCTAATTGTAAATACATGAATAGAGGAACACAATACTTTCTATAAATAATGAAAACATTTCATTCTATATAATAATCAAATGGTTAAAAGATTTCTGATTTGACTCATATAGTAGACGTGACTCACCTGAAGTTGTATGTTGTATCATTAGCTAATAAACCAGTGTCTTTGCGGGAGACAAGTGCCAAGGACACATTTGTTTCTGCATAAGATGTACTAAGTAAAGGCCTTAGTTCTATTAACGATATAAATGGAACCCCTCTGTTTGTGTTCACCAGACAAATATGTATGTAGTCTTGCGGAGGGGTATGTATAAGCTCTCTGGTTGTTTCATAAACAACCATTGAGAAATTCATTATTTCCCACAAATTAGGTCCGAGATGTAGTTCGAATTCAGGTGCTTCATTTTTCTGTCGTAATTCCCATATTGAAAACCCACTCGGATCAAATATTTGGTGCCACTTGTAATGTTTATTTTGTAGCAATTCCTCACTCCTTGAGGGAAGCTCCTAAGGTACCAGTATTGCTGATAAAATTTCGACTCACCCAATAAGTACTCACTTTCACCGGTGTCTATGAAGGTCGAGTCTGAAATATAGTTAATGCCTGTTGTCCTTTCAGTGTAGCTATAATTATACGGTAGACCGCAATCTATGCTAATGAAGCCTGAGACATGTACGAGTAATTTTTTAGTGTGGCGGACACATAATTAAATAATGAACAGAGAGACGTCTAATTGGATATGTATGTGTTAGTCAAATTGTAGATGGGAGATATATTTTGAGGGATCCATATTTCATACCTGTTTGGTTCTGAGAATCGACTGAAACTGCAACAGCAAAACCAACAAGCACTGCAAAGAGGAATTGCTTGTATGCTGGGGACATCATTAACTTGGGAGGGAAGCAAATGCAAATTTAATTTGTTCCCAATGAATGACATTTTATACAAGATGATGACCATTGACCGTTCTAGCAGACTTGGCAAGCTTTTTTCACCAAGTTGCCTGCCTATTTTAAACCTTATTATCTTGAAACAGCAAGACTCTGAAATGTATATACAAAGAGACATGATACTCAATAACCTTAGTAAAATGTTTTCAATGATAATTAAAGACTATTATTAAGAGACGGTGGTGGAAATTAATTTTAAAAACATGTAAAGTCTACCTTAATTACATTAAAAGTTATATTCAGTGAAAGATCAGAGAAAAAACATAATACCAAAGAAATCAAAATATTAATTAATTTCGAGTTGAGCGGCAGATGGAAATCACTGTCGTCCGTCCCTCTCACTTTGCAACCCAGTAAAACTCACAATCGTTGGCAACTTGATATTAAACTATATCTACATTCGACAATATTTCTTTAGGCATTGATCAGTTCTCTTTCCTTCTTCTACAAGTCATATAATTAATAAACAAGAGAAGACTTACAAACTACACAAAGAAAGAGCAAAATGCGGAATTTTATTTTATGTTTGTATATACATACAAGAATTACATGGGGAGAGGAAGATCAAACACAGTTACACATGAACTCGGGGATAGAGGGAAAACACTTGAGTTACAAACCCATTGCGTAAAATATTCACTGTGCCACCACCACTAAAGGTCCAAAGCTCTTTCCTATCTTTAGATGATTGAATGCGTTGAATACAGCTAGAATCAAGTTTCTTTGTAATGCCATATTACTGTGAGAAGTAAAGCCTGATGGAAATTGAAACTCTTTCTTGTTCACATCGTATATTTATAATCTGCAATTTGGCCATCTTCTTCAAATTAAGTTTTGCCTTTGTTCTTCTAAGACAGTGTGATGTGTGAGTAGTGATTTGCTTCATAGGGCTTATCCTTGGCTCTTGCAAACATTGAGCTTCCACATGCCAAGTTGTAAAGGGCAAGACACTTGCCTTGATTGCCATAACAAATATGTTGGGGTAATTTCAAAGGTCAGGAGTTAAGGAAATAAAGAGTTAGAATATAAAGGGTTTAGCTATTATGTCTAGTTTATGAGTTGAAGTAAAAGTGAGGTTTAGTAGGTATAGTGGTTATGGTTATGTTTAATGTTGAGTTAATATTATAGCCTATAAATAGGTGTTGTATCGCTATGTCGTGTGTATCAAGAGTGTGTGTTGTAGTGGAGTATTTGAAGTATCAATCTAAGAGTATCAATCTTATTGAAGTTTGTTTCAAGTATGTGTAGGAGCTCTGTGTAACCTTCGGACTTCACATCTCCAATATTATATTATTTCTTTAGTCTGTTACATTGTATTTCCCCCTTCACATTTAGAGTGTATGAGCATAATGCTAAATCCACCAATAAAATATGGTTTCTCATATTGAAAGGTTGAATGTAAATTACTCATTCTGGTCAACTTTTATTTTTACACATCTTTAAAGTTCTAGGACTGGCCCTGTCCAAGAGCAAAAAAACAACTGAACAGAAATAAAAAAGAGAAACAAAACTAAAAGCAACGCAGAAACCCAAAGAACCCAGCATCAAATGAAAACACACGCAGAGGGAACAAACTGAAACCAAACCTGAAGCCTAAGAAGAACACCAACATTCAAAGGACTAGTAATACTATACAGTTGATATTTTAGACTGAACTTGGGAGTTCATTTGACTAAAGCTGCTTAACCTTCTCAATTTCCAAGCATTCCTTCAATCTGTCATACACATAACTTATTTCTGGTCTTTCAGTTGGTGTTTTTGACACACAAGCCAGAGCAGTTTCTATAGCTGTCTGTGCAGAAGAATACTTGTATGTCCCTTGTACTCTTGAATCTACTATGCTTTCAATTTCCATTCTCTCAAACTTAGCCCTCACCCAATCGGAGACATTAACATGGACAGGTTCTACATCTGTTATTATTGCTGGTCTGCCAGTTATAAGCTCCAGCAAGACAATCCCAAAGCTGTATGCATCACTCTTTCTAGTGAGCTGTCCAGTTGTGCAATATCTGTTCAACAAAAAAAATTCTCTTGGCAATTAATATTTTGTTTTTGGACTGACCACTTTGTTGTAACATCATATTTAGATTACAATGGCTATCATGAATTGTTGAAAGTACTTACTGAGGATCCAGGTACCCATATGTTCCTCTGAGGTCTGTTAATGCATGAGTAGCAGTTTCAGTTGCAAGAGCTTTAGAAATTCCAAAATCAGCTATTTGGCTTGCAGTGTCTCATTTAACAGGATGTTGGAAGGCTTCAAATCTCTGTGTAGTATCGGCGGTTTGCAACCATCATGTAGATATTCCAATCCTGCAATGTCTCATTTAACACATGTTTTCCACAAAAAAAGTTTATGTCTGTGAACACGATGGTGATGATCTGAGTTTACCTCGTGCTGTATCTACTGCAATCTGAAGTCTCTGCTTCCAAGTCAAGCCTATATCTGCACCTGAGAGAGAGTTATCCGTGTTGTGTGTTTAATTGTAAAGAAATGAGGTAAATCAAATGGAACATACATTCCGAAACATAGATGGATCGTGAAGTTTTGATAAAATGATTAGTGAATATATAGTTAATTCCAATTGCATTGAAGCAAAGTTTATAAACGCTAGAAAAACTATCACACGTTTATAGCTGTCGGTAGTCTTATTATTTTTTGTAATGTTGGGAATGTCCCAAATTCGTATCCATACTATTGGTTGAGTAAGCGATATACCTGCAGCTGATATTTGCTGTTGCAAATTTCCATTCCCAACATATTCGTAAACAAGTGCCATAGTGTCACCTTCGTCACAGTAGCCAATGAAAGAAACCAAGTTTCTATGATGAACTCTCATCAATAGTTTAACCTGCAATCCCATGTGGCTACTACATTTTTAGAAAACTGAATAGAAAGGGCTATGACTGAATACATATAGATGTATGTAGTTGGACGGCATCTACCTCATTTTGAAATTCTTTTGACCCTTGTCTTGATGATAAATTGAGTATTTTCACGGCAACTTGAGTATCCTTTTCCAGAGTGCCATGGTAGACTTCTCCATATCCGCCTCTTCCAATTAGTGTAGAATTGCTGGTGATCTTGTTGATCTCTGATTTTGTAAATTTTCGACCCTGTATCTTGAATGGCTCTGTTTGGATGAAAATTGTTAATCTCCTCTACACTCATATCATCACTATGAATATAATTAAGAATATTTACATAGAACAAGAACAAAACTCCCATTGAACAAGTATTTGGAAGTCTTAACATCTTTCTTTTCACTTTTACATCTCCACCAGATAGCTGCTGCAGTTAATAAGAGGAACATAGTTCCAATTATGGATACTACTACGGGAATAACGACATTTTGCTTCTTCCTTGATTTGCAAGAAATGTGTCCTAATTTGGATATATTTGGATTTTCACACAGACTGAAAAATAAAAATAAAAAGGTTGATGGCAACTATAGTAAAAATTTGATCAATTATATTGACATCAACATAGTATATTCCTGTATAATATTTTCCATTTGGGAGCTACCTGATCATTGATATTTTCCTATAAAGAAACAAACTTGAAAATACACATATAAAAGTGTTGCCATCTGTGTTAACCAATTAATTCAAGCTCGAACTGGGTTTAGGGTGAGTGTTTGAGCTCTAACCAAAAGAAGAAAGCACACCTCAATGATAGCCCATCATATTTATTTCTGTCAATGAGCCCTGCTGGAACTGGGCCCGCGAGCTTGTTCTTTCCCAAGTTTCTGCAAAAGTAAAGTCATGATACTCTATCGCCATGCTTAACTTGTAACGAAAGGATTTGTAGTTTAGTTTTATGTGTATGCATAACTAACCAAATAATAACTTACAGGACATATAAATCTGGCATTTGGGACAAAAAGTCTGGAATTGGACCCGTCAAGTCATTGTTTGATAAATCCCTGAAATATTCGAGCAGCTCAACTCATCGGTTATACAGTAATTATGCCAAATGGAATTCTGACCATTGATACGAACACACTTACAAAGCTTGTATCATTGTGAGATTAGCTATAAAAGGAGATATCTGGCCTCTTAAGTCACTGGAGGACAAATTCCTGCTCGAATGCATGTAATTTTTGTAACTTCAAATGCCAAGACTCAAATGGGATTATACTGAAACCCTCCATAAGTTGGTCTGAGAGTGACATAGATATACTTACAAAGATATGATTCTTGGGGGCCTGGATTCAGGATAGCTACAATTTAGTCCTTCCCACTTGTAAGCTTGAGGGCTGCATGGATCTCCTTGCCAGTTCTTACTGATTTTGTAATGTAGCTTGATGTTTTCGATTGCTTCGACTAATTGATATTTTCGTACGCAAACAAATTATTTACCATTTATATTTAATGGGTCATGCTAGGGATACCAACTTTTGATACCAACTTATGTACCATCTCTCTAATAGAGGTGAAGCCTACTAATACAATGGGTTCCACGCTCTATTAGAGAGATGGTATACAAGTTGGTATTTAAAGTTGGTATCTCTAGTATTTTCCATAATGAAAATCAATCAATCATAAAAATGGAGAGTGAAAAGCTAGCTACTCACTATCTCCTTGGTTTGTCTCCAATTCTAGGAACCTTTTAGCCTCGTAAATCTCGTAGGCATTGAGGATGGGTGGAAGGGTAGAGTTGCCAGTCTTGATGAGGATTGAAAAAGAATGTTTTGTGGACCCACTATAGGGCCGGGTGTTGAAACGTGTTACCGCTTTCAATTAATCAGGGAGAACAAATAGGCTTGGAAACCATCCACCGCTCGAAATCATAGAGAGATTTCTATGCTGGGGAGGCCGAAGCTTTTCAATTTCTGCAAAGTGAAAGTAGATATAATATTCCGAATTGTTATCAGGAGAATCCCAGTAAAATTCCAAGGCATGGCTTGCATTTTTTGGGGCCACAGCAGTGCTCATCACAGTAGATGGTATTTCGAAGACATTTTGATAAGATTCATTCATGATGGCTGAGGTTCTTAATTGGAACTCTGTCTCATCAGAAACGTAAGAGGGCTCCCAGATGCGATCATGAATATCGGTTGGATACCTACATTAATTTGGACAGATGTTTCGTCAGTTTTTCATTAAAAAATTAAGTCAAATATATTGAATCTACTAGTGATTAGTAGTAACATAATCATGTAGATGATAGAGATCCCAAAAAAAAAAAAAAAAAAAAAAAAAAATGGACAACTCTTTCTTAAGGAATGTGCTTATTTGATTGCTTTTAGACTGAAAGAAAACAAACTTAGAAGTTGGACAAATGTCTAGATGTGGGTTAGGCCAATTAGCCAGAGTAATAAGCTTGTTCTCCTTATACCCAAATTTGAATCCCATCACTTAGATTAATTTTAGACTATAAAAAATAAGCTTGTTCGCCACCATTCAAATTTACTACATAGCAATTGGTGTGTCATGAATCATCAATTGCCACCATCATCGCCACCTTAGCACTGGCAACCCCAACACCAGCATCAAACATGATATCATCTCACCGTCATTAACACATTTATCAACCACCGCCACTCATTTTTTAAGTGCAAATTCCCCCCTCTCCAATATATAAATATATATACTTACTCAACATTAATTTGTGAGCCTTATCGTAGATGTAACTTACCTGCTGGATCCTGTATCATTAGTTGTAGACAAACCAGTGTCATACCGCGAGACAAGTGCCAAAAACCCCGGTCCTTGTTTATAAGATGTATTGAGTAAAGGCCTTAGTTCGATCGATGATATAAATGGAACCCCTTTGTTTGTGTTCACCAAACAAATATGTATATAGTCTTGCAGAGTGACATGTATGAGCTCTCTGGTTGTCAGATCAAACTCCGTCGAGAAATTCACTTTATCCCACAAATTAGCTCCGAGATGCAGTTCGAATCCGGGTGGTTTATTTTCCCCGTCATAATTCCCATACTGAAAACCAGCTCGGATCAAATACTTGGTGCCATATGTGACGTTTATTTTGTAGCAGTTCCTCACTCCTTGAGGAAAGCTCCTTACATACCAGTATGGCTGATAATAGTTCAAATCATGATTAGCCGATAAGTACTTGCTTTCACCAGTGTCTATGAAGGTCGAGTCTGAAATGTAATTAATGCCTGTTGTCGTTTCAGTGTAGCCGGAATTATTCGGGAGACCGCAATCTATGCTAATGAAGCCTGAGGCGCATAGGAGAAATTTTTCAGCGTGACCAACGCGTAATAAAATAATTAAATAGAGAGAAGCCTAATTAGCTTTATGTGTTGGTGATTCATATTTCATACCTGATTGGTTCTGGGAATGGACTAAGGCTGCAAGAGCAAAACCAACAAGCACTGCAAAGAGGAATTGCTTGTGGGCATGCGACATCATTAATTATACTTGGGAAGCAAACAAATAAGATGCAAATTTGTTTTCCAAAGAATGTCATTTTATAAAGGATGAAAAGTTTTAGCAGACGTGGCAGCAGCAGCTTCTGATACACTCTTCTATTTCTAATACTAATTAATCATAAAACAAGCGATATTAGGAGAGGGGATTCGAACACATAGCCTCGGATGCATGACTAACATGCCAGTCTACCTTAAAATACAAAAATTAAATGACAATTTCTGTACATTTTCAATTGATATACACAATTGACTTTGATCATATGTTCTATTGGTTCTAGCATTGAAGGAGACTCTTTAAACTAATTAATCATTTTACGTATTTTCTGCGAAGCATCGAATCACATACATAAAGTTATAGTCGGCATATTGCATCAGATCAGATCAACATCAGACTGTCAAACTCAAAATATATGGCTGATGACTGAGGTGGGTCAATGGTGCTAAAATGAATTTTTTACATACTATTGATTTATTCTTTTAAACAATAAAACAATAAAATGAGTAATTTATTTATTTTTTGGCTTGGAATAATTTGTAATTTATTAATAATGGGTTTTTCATACAAAGCCATTCCACTCAGGTCATCTTCCGTCTAAATTTGTTTAATTGTCCGGTTTATGGAAACCACATATAAATTCACTCTCTTTCAAACTTGACAACCAAATCAACTCACGCATCACAATCCTTGGACTTGATCAAACTACCATATCTACAATTCTTTTGTTATTGGACTCGATCAAACCTCCACACTCATTCCCACAAAAAGTTCAACGAAAGAGTTTCCTGACATGGTATAAAATGATTGCAATATTACATTTCTCTCTTTCTTCTTATTGATACAATGGCATAGCCACGTATAAAAAGGGTGCTATTAAATGAATTCTAAAATTAATTGAGTACGCCCTATTACTAACTATTTATTGAATTACTAATTTATCCTAATATAAAATTACCAAAAAAAGATATACTGAATCGTGAAATAAATGTAATTTTTATAAGTACACCATACTCACCATATTCAACACTAATCAAATGTAAGCTCCTCCTCATATTTATGGAGTCAAGCTTTTTCAAATTTTATTTGTTTATCGCACCAAAGTCTTTCAATTTGGCTCGAAGAAGTCTCGATTTTGAAACTAAATAGGAATGACCCAAAACTGGAAACATATTTGAATCGACTGAAATTTCTTCCATTTGATATAAATTTACAATGTTATCCTTACAGACATCTTGATCACTATTGTTGGGAGTTTCACTAAAACACCCAAAATGGGGGCTGAAATTATAAAAAAACCCAACACCCAAAACACTTTATAAACACACCCAAAACCTATCATTACACACACTCAAAACCCATTTATAAACACACCCAAAAAATATATAATTGTTGATTTTAGGTGAGTTTCTATGTTTAAATAGTGCTTTGGTTTTTTTATAAATACATGTCTATGATTGAGTTTATTTATAAATTTGTATTATTTTTTTTGGGTGCAGAACCAGATGCATTTACAATGTGGTTTCATCACATCACAATAGTAAGAATTTCCAAGCAAACGTGTTAAAGATGGAAATTAAAAGGCAGAAATTGGCAAAACAAGTATTGATTGGAAAGAGATGACCATTTAATTAACTAATTCCATAACCCAAAGAGGAAACTATTTTCTATTGCAACCAAAAGCATAACTGCGATAGTCAAGATCTCTGTGCACAGCTTTGTACTACTTCCATGTTTAAAGTGCTGCATACCATCCATCTAAACTTCACCATCTTTCTTTTGTACAGCTCCCCAAGATTGCCCAACTACCTAAACTTTTCCAGGTATATACACACGCCACCAAGTAGTCAGTCAACGTTTCATCAGAATCAGCTCAGCAATCAATACCACCACCATTACCAGCCACCCATTCATTTTATTTACACCAGCAAGACCTACTCTAATAATTACAAATTCACAGTTAAAATCGATCGCTTGGACTGAGAAACTGAAGGCTATGAAAGGTGGAATGAGTTTTGTGTTGTGTGATAAGAGTGTACCATGGATATTTTTAGTAGTTAAATAGAGTGTACTTAGTTAATTTTACATTTTGATTTAAATATTAGCGTGTACTTAGATCATATGTTGTACCCAGTTAATTTTAGGGTACGTTTAACAACATCCTACAAAAAGGACAAAGAAATGGTAAATATACGTTAATTTTCATCTCGTATTAGTATTCCGTTATATCGATAGCAAATAGCCCGACATAATCTTAGTAAATTTAGGTTTTAGCCACATAAAAACTTTCATTTTTGGAAAAAACCAAAATTTTTCATAAAAAGACATAAAAACCCATCAACTTTCAAATCAAAGACATGTAAATGTAAAGGATTCTTTAGGAAATCCAAAAATAAATAAGGGCATTTTTGTTCATTTTGGCTTCTTTTAAAAATATTTCTCTCTCCTTTGGTCTTTTCCAAAATGTCCCCATAATCTTCATATGACATAAATAAGAGGATGATGTAGTCTTTTTGAACACTATCGCCTTTGTGTAAAAAAATAATCTTTTTGAAAACATTACACTTGTCAACAGGGTTTAAGAGCATCTCCAACTGACTCTCTATCCTCTCATCCTTAGCTACTTTGACTAAAAAGAAGGAAAATTCTCCTCCAACAGACTCTCTACTTGGCTCTCTATTTTGGAGAATCAACTTTTGGCTCTCTACATATATCAAGGAGGAGAGAGACAAAGACATTTGGGAGGTTGGTGGGCTGGGTTTCTACTTTTTTTATTTAATATATTGGATTTGCAAGAGAAAGATGGAGAAAGAGAAAGAGAAAATAATAATAAAAAGTTTCAAGTTAGCCAAAATAGAGAACATTGCTAGAGGAAACACCTTTTAAGTGGTTTGCTACAATAGCTTTCTAGCTATTTTAGCTTGAATTTGGCTAAGATTTGGAGACTCTCCTGGAGATGCTCTAATCCAATAGAAAAGGGCCTAGACTTGCATATAAAAGATCTCATGTTCGAACTTCATGACATCTTAGTTTTGTATATGTGACTCGAACCTCCACATATGTAATTTAGACTATGCTTGTACTCTGAAAAAAATACATCACACCTTGTTTTCGAGATATGGAGTGGCTAAATACGACTTGGGCTTAGAAAGAAATGGACCCTCATTGAGTCCGGCTTCAACATTAGACAACATTTTCAAGTGTGTCTCGAATTTCAAACTTTAAAAGAGAAGCAATAACATTGGTTGCAACTCTGTTGTAGGAATCATTTGACATAATTTGTTATATGAATCAGTAAAACCCCTTTACATAAAGGAATGCCTGTGGCTGGAAATCAAGCATTTAATTACAACATTTGATTGAAGACTGCTAGATTCCCCCCCATTAATATAATCAAGATGATATTAACATTTGATCAAAACATGATTGTAGCATACTGTGGACAAGGGCTCCATGTATTGTCAACTCAACAGAAGCAAATGAAACATATCAAACTGAAATTACAGAAAGGAACCGAACTTACAACATTATATGTTATCACAAAAGCAAGAAGATGCTACATTATTCCATTAACTGATCAAGAAAGACACTCTCTTATTAACTGGCAGCAGAACCTACACATCGAGGTTTTCCAGGAGAAGGCTGATTGGCCTATTTTCAAATATCCAACAAACATGATTCTAAAAACCAGAAAGCTTCCAATTACATCAACATTCTCTGAAATTCTGAGGCTAAGCTCTTTGCTCAACATATGACCCGGAAAGTCCAGAAGTTCCGAGAACAGTGATCTGTAATCAGGATACAAGACCACATGAGCAAGTAAGCAAATAGATTTGCATTCATTCACAGACCAAATGTCAATGTGCATTAGGACACTGCAGGATAATAACAAACCATGTGCCACGAATGCATAAATGAAAAGCTAGAGAGGCTAAAGCATCCTATATACTGACAGCCCCTCCAGTTCCCATTACATACAAAAAATAAAAACATGTGGCGAGAGAGATAGAAAACAAGGGCTGAATATTGTCACTAGACTTCAAATAAATAGCCTCACACAGGTCAAATTTGATCTTGTTTTCTCCTAACTCCTAAGTGGGCCAAATGATGAGGATAATATTGCTTGAATTGAATGCTGCTTATACAGATAAGCAAAGTACCAAATGTGAACTGCACTGATTGACTTGTTATGGCTTTTCTCATGGGGTAATATCATGAATTAGAAAAATTATCATTGTCCATGAAGAATCGCATCTAGTTATAATGTTAAAGTAAGCATGTCCAAGGTTAATATTAATACCTTTCCCCACTCAGAGCCTATCCCACTGCATCTCATCTTCAAGTATATCAGCTTGGTTCCCAACTCTGTCTCCACCTTCTTCCGCAAATAAGTCTCCTCAGGCCCAAATGCATCCAAATAGGCAGTATAGCGGTTGTAAATTGTCTTTAGTGCATTCACATACTCATCTGACAAGGGCTTAACATTCTACAGACAATTGTAAAACATGATATCAAAAGAATTGCAGAGACAAATGAGATTGAAACTGCAAAGTCCCTACCTAAGCAACCAAATTATAATACCTCTCCACTCAAACCAATGCTGTCATCGAGTTCCATCTTCAATGTTGTAATCATCCCACCGAACTCCTCAACAGCTTCGGCTGCACGGAAAACATTAGTGACAGACTCCTTCCCAGTCTGGTCATCAGTATTCTTAGAAACTGCAGCCTTTGCATCATGGACAACACTATCAGGTAGCTTGTCCCAACTTGCAGCCATCAAATCTTTGAAAACATTGAGCAGCTCAGGGTCTTTAATGGGAGGCATGTGACTCAAATCATCACTATAAAATCGCCTACTTCCCAAACCGGTTGAAAGAGGGGACCTGCAATCATCTGCGGATTTGCAACATGCCAACATGGGATTTAAACAACAAAAAAACAAATTATGCCAAGCACCCACTTCAATACGACACAAAACCCAAATATTTTTAAATCAAACAGATTCAAATTTGCATTTATAGTGCTGATAATGAGATTCAAATAATAACCCATTTCAATTTTACATCATATCTATCTGAATTTCAAAAGTACGCTTCTGCTTGTATGAAGAAAAAGAAACATATGTATTTGGAAAAATAAATTGAGGTCGAATGGATAAGAGGGAGTACCAGAAAAGAGGTCCTTGGCCATGGGGGATGAGAAACTGAAGAGGGTTCGAGCAGCGCCAGCGTTGTGGTGGTGAGGTTGGGAGTGACATAGCAGCTGCTGGTTGAGGGCTGCTACTCGATAAGATCTGGAGGAGAGTGAGCGATACAGCGATCTCAGAGCTACCATTTTCTCCATTATTACGGACTTTTACCACAAAAACAGTGGGCAGGGAAGAACTGGAGAGGAGAGACGGGTCGTAGAACGGGAAGTCGATTCAGTGAAATGCTAAAGGTGACACCTTTGACAACGCCGGTTAGCGTCGCAGGTGGAAATCACTTTTGGGCTTTTGGGTTAGATTGGGTTGGGCCTATGAAGATTGGGTTTCAGTTCAACGTTAACAACAAGAAGCCGTAAATGATGGGCCAGCATCCTCAAAACAAGGCTTTGATGGGTGATCATTGGCAGACAACCCGAATCGCCTTTGGCCCGTTCGGACAAAACTATTCCAATCTTTTTTATTAACGACGAAGAGAGAATCGAACTTGGAGTGCATGATGACAAAAACGAAAATAAGAATAGGATTTTACTTTTAAATTCTGATTATGTGTTTTTATAATAATGTGGTTCTTGTATTTGAATTATTTTGATTTACAACTTCGCATGTGTTTACTAATAGAAAAGGATGTGAATATCACATTACAATTGGTAATCCAATGCTCATTCCTTCTCTCCCTTCTTCCCCGTACACGACTTCTCCCATTTCAAACATGTCAACATGTTGATCATTATTTTTTCAATTTTATACTTGTAATGATGAAGGAAATTCTTCAAAGCTAAGTCTAGTCTATCTATATGAGCGTGTACTATCCTTTAGCGAAGCTTCTAGCTTTTCTAGCTGCTTCTTTTGGTTTAAGGATTTATAAAAGCTTTCTTAATCCACACCACACCACACTTTATATAATCTACATGAAAAGTCAAAATTCAAACTGTGAAAAGTCAAAGTTGTTCATGCTTTCAAACTTCAAGCTGTGAAAAGTCAAAATTGTTGGGACAATGATAGGCATGTATGTATAGAGTTTCAACAATTTTTTATTTATTGTGAAGAAATAAATTCGAGAGTAAAGCTCACAGGAAACAAATGAATCTCCACCGTATCAATTAATATAAATTTAAAAAGTTGGTGTTTTGAATATTATTATTATTTTTTCCCACCTCCGACCACGAGGGTTGGCACGTTTTCACGTTCCTGAAATACACACGTGTTAACTTTTTCTATTGACTCAATCAAGAATGTTGTTGGTGGGTGCTTATATATATATATATATATATATATATATATATATATATATAACAGACTTTACTTAACTTCCAACTGATTTTTAATCATCTTATTATAATTTTCATCGGATCATTACAGATTTTTGGTACCGCAAAGAATGTATACATCCACTCACACCAGCAACTTGATAGCGAATTCATGCTGCTGGAGTTTCCTGCAAAACTTTGAATATAAGAGTGGCTTAGCAGCGTGACCTAGCATGCAAGAGACTTCTTTCTTTTGAATTAAAAATAGTGAAATGAAAAAACAGAATCAAAAGAAATAAAGTTTGTACGAGCATTTGCCCTTACATCGAAATTATGTGTTCAGTTATCTTGTTTCATATAACACGATTCGTATAGAAAATGTTGCTTGGCTCATTCTCCTCCTTTCAAAACAAATGATTTGTATATGATTTGATTAGGAGGTGCCGCAGGAAGATTTTTATTTTATTTCATTTCATTTCATTATTTTATTATGCTACAACAATTGTCTTTAACAAAAAAGTCTTGCAGGAATTCAAAAAACTGTACCAACCAATCACCATAACTTTTGGTATTAAAATATAGTTGCCAGATTTTGACTTCATAGCCTTACAAAACTTATTTTTGGTGCATTTCACACTTATGTCATCTCCCTAAATAAATTGCATGCCAATTCTCCAAATCTCTTGCCCCTCTAATTCTAGTCATACGTGACCTTTTCTTCTTCTGCTTCTGCTTCTTCTTCCATACAAATGGCTTCAACCACACCACCGGAAGTCTCACTTGAAGTCTTGCCCTACCTGCGAGTGCTCAAAGACGGAACAATTGACAGAATCGCCGGAACCCAAGTCGTCCCGGCCGGCTTGGACCCTCAGACCGGAGTTTTATCCAAAGACATCGTCCTCATACCCGAAACCGGAGTCTCGGCCAGGCTCTACCGACCCAACAACATCACCAAAACTGATCACAAGCTTCCCCTCATCGTTTACTTCCATGGCGGGGCCTTTTTCATATCTTCAGCCGCCGACCCGCTTTACCACAACAGCCTCAACATGCTTGTTGCTGAAGCAAAAGCCATCGCTGTTTCAGTAAATTACAGGTTGGCCCCTGAGCACCCCCTCCCTACTGCATATGAAGACTCTTGGGCTGCACTCAATTGGGTGTTTGGTGGTGGAGAAGATGGTGATTTGTGGGTTAAGGAGCATGTAGATTTTGGGCGGGTGTTCTTGGTTGGAGACAGTGCAGGGGCTAATATTGCACACCATTTGGCCTTACGGGTGAAGGCATTCGACCCGGATCTGAAGGTGAAGATTGCCGGGATTGGTTTGGTCCATCCTTATTTTTGGGGAAAGGAGCCAATTGGTGGAGAGGTGACAGATTTGGTGAGGAAGTCAATGGTGGACAAGTGGTGGCAGTTCGTTTGCCCGTCAGAGAAAGCGGGGGATGACCCGCTTATTAACCCCTTTGGGGATGGAGCTCCGAGTGTTGAGGGGTTGGCTTGTGGGAAAGTGCTTGTTCTTGTTGCGGGAAAAGACATATTGAGGGACAGAGGGAGGCTTTATTATGATGAACTGGTAAAGAGCAGTTGGGGAGGGAGGAAGGAGTTCACTGAAACAGAAGGCGAGGACCATGTGTTTCACATCTTTAATCCCAATTGTGAAAAAGCTAAGAGCTTGATTAAGCATTTGGCTTCTTTCATAAACCGAGATTAGTGCAAATTCCATGAAAAAGGTTGCTTTCTGGACAATATTATATGTGGGGAAATTGACAAAGTGGTGGGTTTCCTCTGTCAATCTTGTATCAGGCATTTTCAATGTCATTAATGTTGTTGTACTTATTTCTTGTCTATACTTTTTCGGTTGCATTACATACGTAAGCTGTTTGAATAGGCAAAAGCTATTTTCAGTAGGATTATACTAGAGTGCCGAGCTTGTATACTCCGCGGGCTTGAACCGAACCAAATCAGACCGGCTTAAACCGAAGCAAATTGGACAACCTTTTACAACCACAAACGTAAGTGGGTTCATTAACCCAATATTATTATCGCCTTAGTATCACAGAGGAATCCTTACAAGGTCCAAATCGAACTTTAGCTTTCCGCCAAATAGATCAAACTTTGGCTCTCTCTATAAGGACAACTCATTTCCGACAATGAGATGTGGTGTGTGATGCTTAATAGTTTTAAAATATATCTCTTTTGCATGAGTGTGTGCTGTGTTCCGCAATGTCGTAGAGATGATGTGAAAGTCGTATGGATCAGCACCAAGTACTTGATCAAGAAATCACAGGAAAGTGGGTTGCGGGTGATGGTGATGGTGATGGAATAAAATCTTGTGGTAGTTGAATATTCATTTACTGTAAAACACAATCCATAAGTAAATTTATGTCCACATGGTTGAACTTTCATGGAGATCTTTAAGTTCAGCTAAAACTAGTCTTGCATACCAACACTGTTTCAAAGCAATAAAGATTATCAGTGGCCCCACTCACACAGCAATGCAACCTCAGTTTCCGGACTTGGACCTCGAACTCTCTAGAACACAACCGTATCAAGCATTGTTCCCAAGGTCTGGACTATGTTTGAGGACATCAGGTTGGAGACGTGTTCTTCAAGGTGCTTCTTGGCATCCTGCCTTCCAACGTTTGCAATTGCGAGCTTCTCTGGAGGTAACTCGTCCTCCTCCTGGACTGCTTTGTTGTATTTGACAGCCAAGTTCTTCATCTCCTGCAACATCCAGATGCAAAGGAATTTAATCACGACTTCAAGCAGTAAATTTAGTCGACCTATAATAAATCAAAACCAGCTCACATTTTAAACTTGCTGATAAAAACATTCCAACAGTCACTCTAGAGGGAGAGGATAAAACCCATAGTCCAAGGGGGCATAACCATTAACCCTTTTGAAAATTAATTCAGGCAGATGGTTTTAGTTTTATTTTGTGAGAAATGGACTTCTAACCAGGAAAACTACACTAAGATGGAAACTTAATGGTTTTTTCTTAAACTATAATCGTAGTCTATATACTTCAGCTATAAGAAGTCACTAGTGCAAACCACTATAAATTGAAGTTCATGAAACCTTCACTTACCTCAACAGTTTGCTCATTTGTCTTTGAATGATTATCAAAGCGCCTAAGTGTCAACCCATCAGTCCATTTCTTCTTGTGAAGGTTAAGCAACATTTTCTCCTCAAGTTCATTCTTCCTGTAATTAATTGCTATGGAGTAATAATGCCGGTTTAACCCATGGATCAATGCCTGCAGAGGAAATTGCACAAGAGGTCAAAAAGTTGTGATTGCAAAGAATGGAGTTAAAATTACTTGTTCAGGACTCACTTGAATGGATGGCTTATTAAGATGTCCAAGATTAGATGTAGTCTGGCGTGGTTCTTGGCCAAGCATCATAGTTTGTGGGTTGATAAGACGGAAGGCATCAATGACCACCTTTCCCTTCACACTCTGAATTGGATCCACCACCACAGCCACAGCACGTTGATTCAATGCTTCAAAGCTCTACAAAAGATTAAAGGTGTAAGACAATATTGCATTTGGGTAAATAACAGAATGAACATTAATTGCCAGAACCCCTGGCCCCCTCTTTCTGACCATTCTAAGCAACAACAAAGTTTCTACTCAAGGGTATCACCAATAACAGTACAACATCCATTGAGAACAGTCAAACTATTCTACGCTGCAGAAGACTCAATCTTAGTTGATGAAAGTAGGATAAACAAGAATGCTGTACACAAACATAAACATGATCTTGATTAACTACTACGATTTTTGACATATCATAGACTGCAAAAGTAAGATTCAGATTTGGGCCTAAAGAATTTTGGGTGTAATAGTTAATATAATATTAGGGTGCTAAAGAAGAAGACTATGATGATAAAACAGACAGAAGTGAACAGACAATGTGGAACCGTAGTCAAGAAAAAAGAGCCTACAACCACCAATTTCTTCTTCATAACAAAGACATCAGTATGCATGCACCAACATACATAAATATATATGACATCAAGGAGAAAAAATAAACTTGTGTCCAATGAAATAGGAAATATAAATCAAACCACAACCTGCTGTGTATTAATGTCGACACCAGATAGCCAGCAGCCAAATCCAGGATGTGAATGGTACCACCCCACAACCATCTCTGGTCTGCATTACCAATAAGAAAAACATAAGTTACAGTAAGGCATCACCTTAGATGCTCATTTATAACCACATAATTTGAGAACACAGAGAGTGAACTGTGACACAAACGTAAAAGTATTAACAATGAAGGTGTTAAAAAGCTATTCTAACTTATCACCTCACACAAACTTCAGTTTGCACTCATAATTATTAATGCAAATACAAAAATATAAATACTGATTATAACTCCCACAAAGGGATACACAATTTAAAAACCAGCAACACAAAGATAAATCTTTGCACGAGCTCCTTACAGAAAAGTCTCCAATCGAATCATAATGTTCTTATTTATTCAGTCATTTCCCGAAAACAATAAGTTGAATGTAATCTATTTGCAAGCCAGAAGTAGCAATGCCATGTTTATTGAATTAAAACAACCTGTATAATGCATTTTTAACAACTACTCTACATTTCATAAATCAAAGTGAGAAAGAGGCATACCGTCCAGTCTGCTTAAGCATATCAAGCATGTTAGTCTGGAAGACATGATCAACAGCTTCGACACTAACACCAGTACCACTCTGCGGCATAGCAAACACATCGACAACACGTACAGTGTACTCATCCACAAACTCTCCGAGCATCAATCCCATAACCTCCATTGGAACTCCCGCCCTTCCTAATAATTACCAAATCCCAAACCACAAGTAAGCATTAAATAAATAAATCACATTACAAAAAGCTCCAATTAAGCTTCAAAACCCTAATTAGGATCCGTAATGCACAATTTCGACAAGATTTACAAACATCGTCGCCTACTTAGGGTTTCGAAGTCCATACGTCAAATCCATAGCTAAGAAAGCAACAAAACCCTAAAACCCCAAGTTAGGAACTGAAATTCGATCAGACTGGACAAGATACGAAGTAAAAGAAAGAAGAAGAGGAAGGAGAGAGCTCACCGTGCTTCAGCATCTTGAGGAGGGCGAGGGAGGAGATGTAAACCTGCTCGGAAGAATCGAGAGTCGGCGAGTCGGGAGGTGGGTGGCCCAAACCTCCTCCGGCACCAGCGAACATCCTCTGAAGCCTCTCCATGCCTGACATTCTCTTTGCTCTTCTCTCTTTCTCTCTTCTATATTTCTCTCTTCTCCTTCAGTGTTTGGGTTGGGCAGCTCCGCTTTCTTTTCAAGCAAGACAGCTCTGCTTTGTTTTATATTATAATCCCTCTCCATCGTTTTGTTTTTGTTTTTCTAAATTCCTAATATTTCCAACTTATTTTACTCTGGGCTGAACAGTAAATGTAATCGGCCCAATATAACCAGTCCAGCTTAAAACCAGCCTAAATGTAATCGGTCCAGCTTAAAACATTCCTCCGGAAGTTGGATATGGGCTCATACTCGATACATTTAAGGCCGACCATAGAGATAGTGATGGTTTCATTTTAATCTTATCTAATAAATTTCTGAGAGATTTTAAGGTGCGATGGGGACGTGGGTTTGTCATACACACACACACACACTACTAAGGTGTTGTTGGAGTTTGAACATAAGAGTCTACAAGTCAAGACCTTTTTTTATCGGGCTAGACCTTGTTGGTTTTTCGTTTACATTACTAAATATGTCGACTAATTTGTAATCGGAGTGAGTCTTATTAGCAATCACATTATTAAATACTGAAATATCCTTCAATGGGAGCGACTGTCATTACTTGTTATAGACATGCCATTAAAGATTGGGTTTATCTGATAAATTTGTTGGCATAAGTAAGCATTTCCCACGGGGAGGAGGCAGCCATGCTGGACCATCGCAATCAAGTGAGCCAGAGCCTGTACAAGACAAATTAAGAAGCTGGGCCAGACCAGAGGACCTGGTATTGGTAAATAAAATTCAAAACACAGGAAAGCAGGATGAACAATTCATCTTGGTTTGGATGTTCATATGTGTGAATCTCAACGGAAGTGAATTGAAATGTGGGATTTTAAATCAATATTACGTTTTAACATCGTGAGTTACATTTAAATATGAAATTTCGCACTAAAAACATTGCAACTTGTCGATACATACAATGCATTGAAAAGACGTGTTGAAAACTATATTAACGTATATAGTCGTCTATCTAACCCTAGCGATCCACTAACAAGTAACAACAATATTGATGATGATAATAATAATAATAATAATATTATTATTATTATTTATACATATAGACACATGCAAGTACATTTACACACACATACATATACGTACACAGATACATAGGTAAATATGGTGGGATATATAAGGTGTGTTTAACATGTGAGGTATAAATAGTGATGAGTATTTCCACGTGCAGGAATCAATGCATTTGCAGCAGTACAAGTTAGAAAATAGAAAATAGAAAATTCTGTGTAGGAAGATTTATGTGATCACTGCGAAGAACATAAACTTATTCTGGCAAACAAATGTTATGTCTTGGACTTTGAAACGACAGGAAAGCATGTCTAATAACAATATAAGGACTATTCAAAAGACATGTCTAATTACAATATAAGGACTATTCAAAAGACAAAGTAAACCGCAAATGAAAAAGAAAACTGAAACAACTCGGTCAAGATATACATAAGTTTGGGGTCAAGATTTGGGGGGAAAGAGCTCTATATAAACCCCACAACCAAAGCTTAATTCCTACAACCTACAACGCCTTCCTCTTGAGATTCTTCAAATTTCAAATTAATCTCTCTCTCTCTCTCTCTCTCTCTGAGTTTTCGTTCCTAAACTAAAGTCTTGTGCGTAACCTTCTCTTGTATCACTAATGGAGAAAACAAGATCATCCCTTCACTCTCCCACAAATGGAAGTCTCATTACTGTTCTTAGTATTGATGGAGGTGGAATAAGAGGGATTATCCCAGGAACCATCCTCAACTTCTTAGAGTCTGAGCTTCAGGTAAAACAATGATCAAACCAAAACTTTAAATAAATACACGTGTTATAATATAAGTGGATTGATCACGCCATCACATGGTGTTACACCTAGCGAGCATGTTTGCTCCACTTCTCATAATTTGTTGGTGTTTCTCATTCTTTTTAAATAATAAAAAATAAAAAATCTAATGCGACTAACTTTTCGCTTTACTTGTTTGCCATATGCAGAAACTGGATGGTCAGGATGCAAGGCTAGCAGATTATTTTGATGTGATTACAGGGACTAGTACAGGTGGCCTTGTGACAGCCATGCTTACTACCCCAAATGAAAATAACCGTCCTTTGTATGCTGCTAAAGATATCAACCCTTTTTATCTCGAAAACTGCCCTAAAATCTTCCCCCAAACCAGGTATAGTTAATTCTTCATAGATTTTTGTACTACACATTTGTATACATAATGGTTCACGATAATTAATTTTCATCCATGTACAACAGTTCTCCACTCGTCAATGTCGAGGATAATTTGAAAAGTCTAGGGAGACCAAAATATGACGGGAAGTATTTACATAAAATGTTGAAGGAAAAATTAGGAGACAAACATTTGCGCGACACATTAACTAACGTTGTAATCCCAACTTTTGATATAAAGCGGCTGCAACCAGTTATCTTCTCCAGCTATCAGGTTTGTTTATTAATTATCTCTTAATTGAAACACATGCATGTACTTACATAATTTAATTATAATGGTGCTCTTTTTATGAACATTTCTTGATTTTGTATATATATGTTTGTCATGATTTTAGTTGAAAAAGAAACCCAGCTTAGATGCTTTGCTCTCGGATATATGCATTGGAACTTCAGCAGCCCCATACTATCTTCCAACCTATCAATTTAAATCCACAAATTCAAATGGTGAATCAAGAGAATTCAATCTCACCGACGGTGGAGTTGCTGCCAATAACCCGGTATACATTGATCAAATTGCAAAAACCTAATTTGCATAATCTGAATTATTTCATATATATGATCATCATTAATATGTGTGTATTCATTTTTTCTTTCTTTCTAGGCCTTGGTTGCTATGAGCGAAGTGACGAAACAAATCCACAAGGGCAACCCCGACTTCCTGCCTATGGGTGAAAATGAACAGTTGTATGGGGCGGTTCCTAGTCATATCACTAGGGACGGGTACAACGTCTGAGGAGAAGTACGACGCCAAGGAAGCGGCTGAGTGGGGTGCTTTTGGGTGGCTTATCGGATCCGATTTTTCGACTCCATTGGTGGATATATTTACCCACGCAGGTAGTGACATGGTTGATTTCCACCTTGCTACCATTTTTCAAGCCCTTCAGTCTCATGACAATTACCTTCGAATTCAGGTAACAAAAGAATGTGCAATAAAATTGAGATAAATATCACTAGATCAAATGACTGTTTTATATACAAAAAAAAAAAGAAAAAGAAAGAAAAAAAAGGTATTACGTAGACAAACTAAGCTCACAAGTACTCGGAAATGAATATGCAGGATGATACGCTAAGTGGAAACATTGGCTTCCGCAGATATTGCCACAGAACAAAATGAATGATTGGGAAAAGTTGGAGAGGCATTGTTGAAGAAACCGGGTTTCAAGAGTGAACTTTGATACCGATAAAACCAAGCCTGTTCGTCCTGAGGTTACAAATGCAGAGGCTCCTTGTGAGTATTTGCTCTATTATATATTATGATTAAGTTGTAGCATGATCATGTAAATTCAATAAATTAACATACTAAGACTTTTGTTTTGTTAATTAATTTGCATGTGTAGGATAGCGAGCGTTCTCTGAGGAGAGGGCTCAGAGGAGCAAGGTCGTTCATGAAAGGACTGATCAGCAGCACCACGAAGAAATAATATGCTGCTCTCATAGTATATATATTAAAAAAAAAAAAAAAAAAAAAAAAAAAAAAAAAAAAAAAAAAAAAAAAAAAAAAAAAAAAAAAAAAAAAAAAAAAAAAAAAAAAAAAAAAAAAAAAAAAAAAAAAAAAAAAAAAAAAAAAAAAAAAAAAAAAAAAAAAAAAAAAAAAAAAAAAAAAAAAAAAAAAAAAAAAAAAAAAAAAAAAAAAAAAAAAAAAAAAAAAAAAAAAAAAAAAAAAAAAAAAAAAAAAAAAAAAAAAAAAAAAAAAAAAAAAAAAAAAAAAAAAAAAAAAAAAAAAAAAAAAAAAAAAAAAAAAAAAAAAAAAAAAAAAAAAAAAAAAAAAAAAAAAAAAAAAAAAAAAAAAAAAAAAAAAAAAAAAAAAAAAAAAAAAAAAAAAAAAAAAAAAAAAAAGGTACCTAGCAAGCTATTTAACATCAATCTTAACTTCAACTCAATGTCATTAATCTTGTACATGTACATCAATTATTAGTATAATTAATCTTAGCTTGAACACCTTTTTCTTTTTTAATATTATACATATATAGTGGCTAACAATCACATATGTTTTTGCTTGTGCAGCAACTATACATTGATTGGTGAGGCCATGGACATGGTAAAAGCTGTGTCAGGACCAAAGTATGATGGGAAGTATTTACATAAGATAGTGAAGGAAATATTAGGAGACATACGATTAAGTGACACGTTAACAAACGTTATAATCCCAACTTTTGATATAAAGCGGCTTCAACCAATGGTCTTCTCTAGCTATGAGGTTTGTTTTCACATCTTTAAATATATATATATGTGTGTGTGTGTGTGTATGTTTGTTTTGTTAAATCTAATATAGTTACATGGTTGGTTTTGTGTTTTGATGGTGATTATAGGAGAAAAAGAACACTAGCATAAATGCTTTACTGTCGGACATATGCATTGGGACTTCAGCAGCCCCAACCTATCTTCCAGCGCACCATTTTGAAACCAAAACTTCCACTGGTGAATCAAGAGATTTCGATCTCATTGATGGTGGCGTTGCTGCTAACAACCCGGTATATATATAATTACATTATGACCTTGATCTATACACACCATGCAATTTCAAAAGCTTATTTAACTCTCGTTCATTATATTGTTGTTTTTTCTTATCAGGCTTTGGTTGCTATAAGCGAAGTGACAAAAGAAATCCACCAGGGAAATTCTGACTTCTTTGCTATAAGGTCAACTGAGTATGGTCGGTTCTTAGTGATATCGTTGGGTACTGGTTCAGCAAAATCTGAAGAGAAATATAATGCCGATGATGCAGCTAAATGGGG